TTGAAAAGAAAAAAAAAAGAAAATCTGGATGAGCCAAAGCTGCTGGAAATAATTTTCACCGATTATAGTTCGGTTTGAAATATGAAAGGGTAATATAAATATCAAAGCTAAAGCCGGAAACACTGTCGTTTTGTCAATTCAAATAAAAAAAAGCATCAGAGAGTAATGGAGATAAAAGGTATGGAGAGGGAAACAATTATCACCTGTTTCTGGCCCGAGTCATGCTCTTGCTTTTCCTTCGCTCAAAGCGCTCTTCATCAGAGGATGATGTGGTGTCACTGCTGTGAATGGCATGTTTCTTCACTCTGGAAAAGTAGAGCTCTATTACTGCTTGCATTTTAGTTCTGAGTTTTAGTCAAATTAATGACAGACTGCTTGAATGTTGAGCTATTTTATGCTTGTGGAGCTACTTTTTAAAATCCTTGCCCACCTAATATGGCTTCTTCTTGCTGGGGATCTGTGGGTGTCAAAAAGGGAGGGGTTGCTCTGTTTTCTATTCACAGGCTCTGAAACGGCAAACACAAAGAAACTGCTGGTTAAACAACAAATAAATCATTTCAACAACTAGAAAGTAAGAAAAAAAAGTTATTTTTTTCCCCCCATTAAATACCGATGGGTGGAGCTTCATATCTTTGTACAGTTTTACGCTGCCTCAGGTTATACGGCCTGTCGTTTTCCTCGCCCGCCTCTTCAGCTTCATCCCCTTCGTCATCTTCATCATCCTCTGCATCATCATCCTCCTCCTCTTCTTCTTCACCATGAGATTCTGAAAGCAAACAAGGACAATTATTCCCATACAAGAAAACAAAATCAGCTTTCAAAGAGACTCCATCTTAATGTCGCATTAGGAGCAAATGAAGCTGCTGAGTTTGATTAATGATGACTGGCTAATGTTGCTAAAGCTCATTAAAATATCCGTTATACTGGCAATTTAACATCTTTTTAAAATCCTTTAGAACAGGCATTCCCAAAAGCCGGTTCTCGAGGGCCGCTGTCCTGCAGGTTTTAGAGGTTCCCTGCTCCTGCACAACTGATTTACATTGAAAGTTGATCAACAGGCTTTTGCTGAACTGCAATCATCAGAATACGCTGTGCTAAAGCAGAGAAACATTTAAAACCTGCAGGACAGCGGCCACAGAGGACCGACTTTGAGGATGCCTGCTTCAGAATATGTGAAATTTATTCTATGTAAAAAGAAAAGTCTTTTCAGTACTTAAGGCCTCAAGAGCCAAGGTTGAAGTGAGTGTATGATTTAAAGTTTGGAGGCACTCAAGCAGCTCTGTTTCACAATCTGAGACATTTACTGTAACCTACAATTAGATTTGTTTTAAAGTACCATCCAGGGTGTGTGAATCCCTCACTCTATGCAAGGTAAAGATTCAACAACCAGAATTCTGCAGTTGCAGTTTTTGCTAAGCCAATGCCTATTTTACCTGGTTTATATATTCAGTGAAGCAGCTCTCCAAACAGTGAGTTTAACAGAAATAAGCTAACTTTGTTTTTTGTCCACTAAGTAACAACAACCACAGTTAAGACAGCCGTCTTGAAACCTGGTGGCCCCTCAGCACATAAGGTGCATCCTCTGGTTGGAAAAGGATATGATCCTGACTTTCCAACCAGCTAGTCACCAGTCGAGGCCGATCAAGTTGAAAATTATATTTTGAGCATCGGAACGAATTCTCTATGCATCTGTTGTTGCATATTGACCACCTTACATGAGATCTGGCTTAAAAACTGCAGTTAGAACTACATTACACCAATGACAGATACATTAATGCAAACCAACCAAACATGAATAGAATTTAAAACATGATAAAAATATTTGGGTTCTAAAAGCCTTCTGTTTTTTCATCATTTATGCACCTTCAGTCCCTTCTTCCTCCTCTTCTTCCTCATCCTTGCTCAAGACTTTGTGGTGAGCAGGCATGTTATAAGTGCTTCTACGCATAGATTTCCGGCGCTTCACCCTAGAATACATGTCCATATTCTCCTGAAAGAATCGAAAGATGGAAAACAAAAAAGTTAACAAAAAACCCAAAGCGGTAACAAAGTTAACAAATGCAGTGTTGAACTCCAAATCAACGTTACCTCCTGTGTTTACTTCACAATGTCCGTCTCTTACCTCTTCAGTTTCTCCGTTCCACATGCGAAGCCGCTCCAGCTCACGGTTCTGCCTGATGCTGGTGATGTTGTCCATTTCCTGAAGAACGGCCTCAGCAGTGCTTCGCAGAGACAGAGACAAAAACAGTGGATGGGAAACTATGCATATCAGGTCTAAGTGAAATGAAATTCAGAATATGCAAACTCTAAACTAGACCTAAAAGATCAGAAAAGTTTCAAGTTCAACCATCATAGATTTAGAATTTCTTCAATAAGACACAAAATCTGGTTTTGTTGCCATCATTTCCAACTTCTCCACTGTCTGACCCAGAACTGCAAAGTGAAGTGTCAACAGTGTGACTGCCAGCTACCTGTTGACCAGCTGGTCGAACAGCAGGCTCTGATTGAGGTGTTGAAATTGGCTCTTCCTCACCCGGCAGCTCCTCTTCAGCTCCACATGGCCATTCATACGGGAGTGATCTCCCCCTCCACTTTCCTCACTCCTGTGATTCATATGGGCTGCAGCATCACAAGATCAAACAGATTATGTTTTGTCTAAACAAATGCTTTTTTAAATGCATGACATGAGGGGAAATAGAAAAAGATATAAATTACCATGCCCATTCTGCATTATGCGAGAAGACAACCTGGAAGGAGAACACATGTAAAATATGTTTAACATTAATTGCAAAGAAATTGAATCACTTTTGTAGTTTTTGCTTTCATGGTCTGCAGAATGCAAAATAAATGCAAGATAAATGTGGATGAACATACGCTGAAAATTTATTCAAAATAAACAAGTCTAAGCCACTGACCGGGTACGGTAGGTGGGCAAACCCCAGCTGACCCTCTGGCCCTTTGCCTGAGGAGAAGGGGAAGTGTCACTGGAGCTCGGCTCGGAGGCTATCTTCCTGCGCGTTCGTTTGGCAGGGGGTGGCAACCGCGGACTGCTGGGACTGCTCACATCACTGCTGGGCTCCTTCTGTTGAATAAACACATGAAAAACTGTGGCTAAAGGAAAGGGAAGACTAGAAGAACTTTAGGAAAAAAATAAAAGATTATTATATGAAAAAACTGAAAATAATCATTAAAACTAAATAAATCTGAAAAATAGCTGGATTTTTTTTTCTTTTGTAACATAAACTAGTTTAACAACACAAAGCCATAGTGAAATAATACAGAAAGCAGAAATAATACTTAAAATAATACTTAAACCAAGCTCTGTGTATTATTTAAAATAAACCAGCACTGACTGAAACCCTTATAATTGAAGCATTTTACACCGCTAACTTAAAATATTTGCACAGCAGGAAGGACAGGTTGTCTTATATACATTTGTCTGTCTTAATGATCTTTTTTGACAACATTGGGAAATTTCACAAACTATTGATCCAAAAAGAAAAGGAAACAGGAAAACATGTTTGAAATTATGTGGATTTCCTCTAATCCACTACAATAAAACGTGTTTTAAATCCCTCAATGATATTTAGGCAAAGAAAAGTCGCAAACAAACCGCACATTTTTAACCACAGCTAGACAATTAAACTTCCAGCCTGACCAGTATGGAAAGCAGCTGGTAGATCCCGACTTTAAAGAAGGGACCAAGGAGGGAGTCACAGAGTCAGCAGAAACGGTACAGATGTCTTGCAAAAACATATTTTAAAAACAAAAGCTCTTACAGCAGCCAACTGTTAGTTGGATGGCATTTTAAGTCCATAATAAAGGGCCTCATTAAGCAGTGCTCTGTTGTGGCTGCAATCTTGACTGTTATGATTACAGTCAAGAACTGTTGCATCATGGGTAAATCTGGCCCAAGCATAAACTCCTGCCTCCCACCCTGTGATTGGTATAGTCTGAGCCTTACCAGACTGACTGAATCAATGTTTTGCTTATTTTATTTCTTGTTCAAACTTGAAGTTGAAGGCCGCCTCTTTATGACCCCTGAACCCTAGACCCCTCATCATGATGCTGCCAACACCAAGCCTGAAAGCATATAAATCTACACTTTGACTCTTCCAAACATATTTGTCCTCACACTGACACGTAGAAGTTATCCCAAAGTCTCAGTGGATTTGGAGAAATCTGAACCATCTATTTCCTCTTGAAAATTACTGAAGAAATTCAAAATTAAGGAAATCCAAAAGGTGACATCACCCACCCAGCATGCCATTAAGTTATGCATGGGTCCCATTCATTTTAATCAGGGAGCGATCTAAAGCATGTTGGGCTTTGAAGAGCAGGGTTGAATGTTACAGATTTAGCAAATGTTTTCAATACTAAACCACTAAATTGTGAAGGGGGTTCATCCTAGCTTTATCACACAGGGAGCAGCATATACATCTACATCATTCCTCCATTTTGCAAAAACATTGCTATTAAACAAGGGGAATTTTTAGAAGTTCATACAACAACAAGAACCCACTGCCAATTTCTACAAAAGTTGCTTTTTAAAAGCTAATACTTTCAGAGAAATAGATGTTCAAAAGCCCAGTGGCCACAGAGAAGCCTGGCAGTAAAAAATAACAAAAACAAAAGTACTAATGCAAAAACAAAGGCTACCATCCAAAGGGTTTTGTTTTAACTATAGCTTTCTCCCTTTTATTATGATAATAGAGTAAAAACAAGGCAGATGCAGACGTGCATGTCTCAATGTTTACACTCTGAGACAAAAGGCTGACAGCTTTGTCAGGTTGCACCAAAACTTCAAATATAATTTAAAAGTTTTCTGAAGTAGCAATGCATTGATGAGCACAAAGCTGTTTTTGGGAGTAAAACAAGCATTTCGGGAACAACAGGTTTACGATCCTTGAGGATATTTACAAGAAAAAAAAAGTTCACCAAGTTCAGACTTGCTAAATAAGGGACCTGACCAAGCCAACTGTTGTAGACCAGGACTCCCTTCCCCCACTAAGAGCTACCAGGCTAGCTCTTTCCTATAAACGCTAGCTTAGATAAAGGCTTTATCTTCAGACAATTGGTAAAATATTAAAGCTGTTCCTTTGACCGTGTGGGGTTAAAGTAGAGCCGACTGGTTTTACCCTAATTACTGAATTTAAGAAGCTAAGTTTTGCTGACAAAGCTGAAACAAGTCAGCAGCCAAACACAAAGGGAACTCAACTTGGGGCTAGCAGGAGTTAATGTCGCTAGCTTGTATTTTGACAGCTTCATAACAAGTTTGATGCAAATGACACGCTCACGGGTAGGTGGGTTCGCGAGTTTTACTAACTGCCCGTAACACCGCGTGGATGTCAGGTTAACTGCCGTTACTATCTTGCCGTAAATAAAACATTAGTGGGAGCTTGGGGCCAGAGCTACAGCTACTAGCCAACTAGCAGAGTTAGCTAGCTAGCTAGCCCCGGTTAAAAAGAAAGGAGACCGGCTTACATGTTCCTCTGAGTTTCTCTCTTTTCTCGATGACGAGCGCGTCCTGGAGGAGATGAAGGTGCCGCTCCGTGTCCGGGGGCTCTTCCTCGTCTTCTCCATGTTTTCTCCTGTGAAGTGTCCTCACTGAATCTCTGTAACCGGCTCCAAACACCGCTTCAGTGAGCGCAGCATCGAGGCGCCATTTCTCCCTGTCTATCTGCTCCCTCCCAGGCTGCTCTCACTGCTTTGGGCAGGTGTGTTTATTCATTTGTATCTCACAAGACAATCACAAAAACTATTTAAATTAATTATTTTTAAGATAAATGAACAGTCTAAACTAAGAGTTTAAAATTTGATTTAAACTAGTATAAAAGGTGAGTAGTAAACAGACTTGCCAAATTATCTGTTCAAGCTTTTCTTCTATGAGTTCACTATGCCCTATAGCTAATAAAAACGCTAAATTCAATTCCTCAGAAAACATGCAGAAACCTTTTTGCTATGTTTTTTTAATCACATAAATGTTACATCAACAAATCATGGATAAGACCACTGAATCAATGGAGAAGTTGTCTGTTAAATGGCTATTAAATGGAAAGTTAAGTGGAAGGAAAAAGTGCAGTAAAAAATTCACAAACAGGAATGCCTATTCTTTTTAATTTTTTAACAGTGTCCTGTCTGGCAATATGGCAATAAGAATAATTGTCTTGATGCCAAAAAGGTTACTATTGTAACAACTGTTTACATGCATCTTGCACTACTCACCTTGACTGAATATTGTTTACGTATACATCTGCAATAACCTACTTTAACTGTAGTATGAAATTACCTTCCACTGCACTTAAATTTAGATAGCTTCTGTCCTAACGTTATTTATTCGTCTTATAGTAAAACCCATCTGTATATATGCTATTGTACATAACTTTAAAAACCCTTTTTATAGTAATATCAACCTGTATATTATATTCTGTACATATCCAGCTGTAAATGTAGTTCATAAAACTAGTTATCTATATATTGTATTCATCTATGAGATTCTGTTTATAATGGTATTCATCTCTATACTTATTCAGTAGAAACCCATGTCCTGTATTTATGGAACGATTACTTATCCTGCACTTGCTGCTATTGCACTTCTGGTTAGACCTAAACTGCATTTCGTTGCCTTGTACCTGTACCTGTGTAATGACAATAAAGTTGAACCTAATCTAATCTAAGCAAAACAAATTTCGCTTTCACAGGTGGAGCAGTACGGCTACTGCCATCGTGTTCCACTTGATTTATGCATAGAAATTGCTTTATTATAATTCATGCAGGTAGTTTTACAGATTATATGGACACTGCAATGAAAGTAGAACAGGGAAGGAAAATCTGAAAAAAAATAAAAAGAAAAGATGAAAGAAAGAGGAGATAAAAGGGGAGATGATGATAAAACATCTTCAGTCTGCTTCATCACCAGCAAAGAGATGTAAAAAGCACAGCACAACCAACAGATACAATATAAGAGATACAATAAAGTAACGCCTAGATACTACCGCTAAAGTATAAGTAGTATTATTTAATCTGTCATGTACACTGTGGTAGCTGAAGATCAGAATATAGGCTTTCTGTATGAAAGGGTAGGTGTCCAAGGATAGGAATCCCTATCCTTACAGTCATGGCCACAACTTTTTTAATCAAAACGATACATTAAAATAAATAATGAATCTACAGATCATCCAACATGGTGCATAATAAACTTATTACTTTTAATGAAAAACAAATAAATACATAATGAACAGAAAGCTGTTATATACATTTAGTATGGTCCAAAATATATAAATATCTACATCAATATCAAAATGATCTGCAGCATTAGGAATAGTTTGCTGAAGTCACATAAGAAAAAGCTTAGATGTTGCCAGATGCTATAGAGTTGAGAAAGAGCTTTGAACATTAGTCAAACTTTTGAAAGTTGGTGCTAACTTAAGGAAGCAAAGGCCCTCAGAAGGTGCAGAGGTTGATGCTTTTTTTTTTCTCAACAGGAAAGTTAAATGTTTGCTGTTGCTTCTTCTTCTTCTTGAGTTTATTGGCTATTGGCAAACAACTCTTGGGTGTGCATTACCTCCACCAACTGGTGAGGAGTGTGGGTCAGAATGGCCCTATTTCTAAAGTTACTTATATTTATATATCTCTAATATTAATTCATAAATACTAAATCTTTCTAATTGCTCCTGTTATTTTTAATTATTTAACTAAATATTGATAACATTATTTTTTTTTATTTTTTTTCTGCAGAATATCCACTATATCCAATTTAACTTTCTCCCATGTAAGCTTTCTTCTTTCTTCTTCATCCTTCTTACAATACATAATTACATGCTCTAATATTTCTTCTTGTCCACAATATACACATTAATCTAAAAAATGTTTCACTATTCTAAATAGTGTGTTATTTAATCGAGTATGTTCAAATCTGAGTCTTGACATAACAGTTTCTTCTCTTCTGCTTCCTTCTGCTATCCTTATTTCTTATTTCATTTAATCCTATAAAATCCTCTTCATCTCCTTTCTTCTTCCCCTTACTTTTGCCACATTTCATTCAGTCTTTGTTTAATGATAATTTTAATTTCTGTATTAAATTAATCATCAAATCCATGGTTCCATTTTTTTAATGCTTTCTTAGGAAGTTTCTCTGCAATTTCATTTCCATTAATCCCTATATGTTTTGGCATGATGCATCCAAATAAATGTAACATTAATACCCATCAATTGAACTTGATAAAATATGCTGTAGTTTTCTAATGCTAATGCCTGGAAGAGTTAAAAATATATGTCACTTAAGAGTATCATTACCTTGTTTTCATTTCAGTAAATTGAAATTAAAATGAAAATGTCTTTTTAGATGAAAACCCATTTTTGCATTTCATTTGCAAATCCAGGTCTCAGCATCATGAGAAGGATTAGGGAAGCAGAAGCCAAGCTGTGTGAGGTTTTTACATGCAACCATTTTTTAAATCCCAGCGCTGCGTAAAATGCATAAATGACCCCTCACACCCCCACTATGGACTGTTCTCCATGCTGCCCTCTAGGAGGAGGCTTCGAAGCATCCGATGCAGGTCCAGCTGATTCCCAAACAGCTTCTTCCCCTCAGCCACCAGACTGCTAATTGTTGAATAAAAAAAAAAATAGAATAAAAGCTGAATGTGGAACAAAAACTGTAAATCATATACCAGTCTTGTGTTTACATTTGATCACCATGTTTACTTTTTATCACTGCTGCACTTTAGAAATAGAAATGTCTTGAGAGCTGTACTGAACACAATTCAGTTTTGTATACACTCTGTGTGTACAAAATAACAATAAAGTGTGTCTAAGTCTAAAAGGACATGTCATCTTTTGTCGTATGCAGGCCAATTGTTTCTTTTCTACAAAGTTCAAAGGAAGCACAGCCATCTACAGTTTAAGCACACTTCATATGTCCCTAGCTTAGACGCTTTATGGAGATGCTGATTTTATAATCTAGAAGGATTTGGCATCTAAACACACTGCCAAATGTACCATTACCATCTTTAACGACTGTGGTATCCAGTCATTGATTAGCTAGCAATATCCCCCACAGAGAATCTAATAGGCTGTTTGAAAGAGCAAGATGAGAGGCACGAGACCCAACAGTGCAGACAAACCCAAGATTGGCAAAGATACTTGAGCTTCATTTAAACCTGAGCAGATTTAGATCCATCTAGGCGTCATTTATCACAAACACTTGATGGCGGCTTTTAGAGTCATGGAACAATTCCTGTTTAGTGTGGGACCATTTGGATTAAAGAGAGCAATGTACCTTAAAAATGAAAGAATCTTATGAACAATACCTTGAGCATTTATTTGTTATCTGATACTGATATCAAAATCTGTTCTGATGATCTTAAACATGTCAAATATGACATAAAATAAAATTGTTGGTAACACTGAAAGAAATAAGCTGATTAACTTGTCTGGTTTTCAGTTTCTGGGCATCTTTTTAATCTGTGCATATTTTAATTCTTTTATATGTTTTATTTTGTCTAAAATGGACACTTATTTTAAAAGCTAAAGACATGAGGTTGAAAGGAATGTCCCAGAACAGCTAGAAGGACACAGACAATGTGTGACAATTAAATGGATAACCTATAAAATGTTTCCCAGATTAATTGTGGCTAATAAAATCAGAAAAATGTAAAAAAAAAAAAATAATAATACACAAAGCGATAAACAGATGGTAAAAATGAGATGGACTCAATTCACAAAACAACTACAAAGAGATTAGAGATGACACCAGTCTGACAGAGCAGCTAAAATGATGCCAAAGTCACAAACATTTAATGGAAATGACCAAAAAATAAAAAGAGACTAAAAACACCCCCCTAATTTCAAAGACATAAAAAAAAATAATATCCCAACAGCAGTGAATGAAACATGCCAGATGACATAATCTTTAAATCCAAATGACCATAAAATTATTGTGTTACTAAATAGGATGAAGACGTTTAAGATCAGGCAAATATGACCACAGCATCTTATAACATGGGTTGAAGGAGACTGAAAATGAGAGACAGTTGCTGAAAAAATGAGCACAGGTAAAAAAAATGCTGAAAAATTAGAGAGAAAAAAGAAACAAATGGAGCGGGAAATTAACAAAGGATAGATAGATAGATAGATAGATAGATAGATAGATAGATAGATAGATAGATAGATAGATAGATAGATAGATAGATAGATAGATAGATAGATAGATAGATAGATAGATAGATAGATAGATAGATAGATAGATAGATAGATAGATAGATAGACATTTTTTATTGGTGTTTTTATTATTTGAAACACTTTTTAAACTCGAAAGCAACTGTCCCACCACAGCAGCATTAGTTTCAGTGATTTCATCTCAATATGTGAAGAGCGCAGAAATATAGAAGCATTACGACAGCAGCCGGCTTCTTTACGGCACTCTTATTTCTTGTATCTACTAAGCAACCGCTGCCCAAATTTTAGGCTGCATAGATGCAGCCTGGGTTAAAGGGATACAGCTCGAACTGGTAAGCCGTTATTTGACTTTAAGCTTAATATGTACATGTAAACAGCCATTTTGGCGCGTCTTTGTGTATAGAAGCGTTTTATTCGTCAAGCTCGTAGCTCGTTTAACCGTCCCACAACGGCACAGGCCGCTGGGTGTGTGGCTTTTTATCAACACTGGCTAACTTGGGCGCTCTCCACTGCTATTTTTAACGAACTCCATGCAAAGACCGAGCTTTAGAAAATAACCGTTGCTAACGCTAAATACTTTCAGATGTCAATATGCTATTTAGAGCTTGGCCAGGCTCTGCTGTCATAGCTTTGTTGTTTTCCTAGATGGAAAACACAGACCAGCATGAAAGAGACTGACACTGGAGGGGCTGAGAAGGATGAGCAATGGTAAGACTGCACAGCTGCTGCTTGGTTTTATTGGTGTTGATGTTTGGGTTCCATATTGTGTTTATAACTATGCAGCAATGGCTTGCAAAAGCATAAAATCTTAAAAGTATGTGCAGCTTACTTGTTTAAACCCCATGCTTTGGTGTCCATGTGTATTCAAGCTGCCCCATGCAAAACCTTGTAGAACAACATTTTTGCTCTGAGGCTGTGGGGGGTTGCCTGCATCCCAGGTGTTTCTGGCAAATCTGCACATTTACAGATAAGATTTTTTTTTCTTTTTCCATCATAGCCAGATAGGAGTTTTATATATTTTATATCTGGCTTTAGGTCTGGAATTAGACCTTTTTATATATTCTGATCTATACAGTTTAATTGTAACTGTGGCTGTTAGTTTAAAGTTGTTGAAGGAACAACAACCTGGGGCTCATTTTCAAGATTAGCAGATTATCTGGTTTTAGCTTAATGCTGAAAAACCTGAGTTGAGGCACCTGGATGCAGATTTACGCCACACTTTTAGAACTTTTTTTAAAAACGTGATGGAAAAATAACCCGGTTCTTTCCTCTAAACTTGTTCCAATGTATTAAATCACATTAGGAGAGATGTATCTGAGGTTGGATTACGTTAATGTGAAAACCTTCCATTGATACGAATACATGACGCTTCAGCTTTGTGAATCAGGAGCATTAGAATATATATATATATATATTTTTATTTAACCTTTATTTAACCAGGAAAAAAATCCCATTGAGATTAAAAACCTCTTTTTCAAGGGAGTTCTGGCCAAGAGGCAGCAAAGTTACATAAGAAATATAGATATATTAAAATAAATGACGGGTACAGAAAAAAAAAATGTATCAAGTAAAAAAATTACAGATCATTGAGGCTGCTTCAAATGCTTTCGCTTTCAACTTAAAAGCATTTAAAGATAATAACTCAGTCAACTTCCAGTTTCTTTGTAAAAAATTTGACGCAGAAGCTGCGTAGCTAAAGGCTTTCTTCCCTAGTTCTTTGCGGGCAAAAGGAACAGTGACCAACAGCTGATCATTGGAATTCAGGACATAAGAAGCCATGCTTTTCTGTAAGTAAGATACAAATGTAAGAGGGCAGTAATCCAAGAAGGGCCTTGTAAATAGAAGTGTACCAATGACATTTTTCTCGTAGAGAGGGAAGGCAATCCCACCTGAGAGTACAGGTCACAGTGATGTGTCATGGCTCTACATTTTATGATGAACCTAAATGAAGCATGGTAAACAGAGTCCAACATTTAAAGACATGGAAATGTAGCATTCTTATAAAAAAGGTCACCATAATCTAAGATTGATTAAAGACGTGGCAGAGACGAGGATAAACTACCTGGAACATTTATGTTCCACCACTGGGAAGAATATCTTATACATTTGCATGTCACATGTTTCATGCTTTGGATTTGGATTGCTCTTCTTTATACTTTTTACTCTTTAAAATTTTGTTTGCCGCCTGTGCCATACCTTTTCCATGTCCTCATGTTTTTATGAACTGCCTGCCAGCGAGGACAATGAGGAAGAGGTTCCAATGAGTCGCAGTTTCTCGGTAGAAGACCTCCTTGATGAGGTGGAGAAGATCTGCTACGATGCATCCGGGACGTCAAAGGTAAAGGAGATGACTCCTTCTGTCATGCTTTCACCTGCAGACTTCCATATATGTTTTGTAATTTAATTATTATTATCCCATGTACTTAAAAATAAACAAAAACTGCATCCTAGAAAATGTCAATATTGCACATTTTATAAATGACCAAATTTTTATGGAATCTACATAGTAGAGGAATTAACAGTGTAGAAAGCATACTAAAGAAGACTTTGATCCCTCCTTTGTTCACTGGGTGAGTGAGGTAATGTCATGTTTACAGATGGAGCTTTTAAGATAAAGTTTGCAAGAGTCTGAAAGAAAATATTACAAGACATGGTCCCCCTTTATCGAGTTTTTGGAGAAGTTGTCATTTACTGATGTATGACTCTGTATGGCTGACTAAAGCAGCCTTAATGCTTGTGTAAATACCTACATGTATGTGTGAACTGCAGCTTGTTTTTCTAGGGGTTAGTGGGTGGGGTTGTTTTGTTTGTTCCCTGTGCATTTATATACACAACATGATCCGCTTGTGTGCCACTGGTTGGCGTGATGGTGTTTGTGCACTGAATTAAGAATTTTTAAATAAAGTTTTAAAAAAAATTAAAAATGCTTTCTAGCAATGTTCAATTGTCAGTCATGTTGAGACAGATCTGCAGTTTATGGGGGCTGCAAGTGAGAACACGACTTTTACTAGATAATAAGAAGGTTCTCTGTTTTATCTCTTAAGTGTTTTTAGGCCTTTTTGAAATCTTAGTGTTAGGATATTGATCAACAGACTGCTAAATATAGTTTTGGAGAGGACTTTTTTTGTAATGCTAGCTAATCCTTACTCGTAATAACAGTTTATAACTCTGTTATCATGTTCTTTGCCCTGTTATAAAGGGGATTTTCTCTCCTTCTCACATCTTGCTCATCTTGTTTAATTAATTGATAAAATGGAGGCAGAAAAATAAAAAATATTTTCAAAGCTGTTACTATATCCTGTTATTTTAACATTTTTAAAGGGGAAGCATCTGAAAGTTGCGACAGCAGGTCAAAGTTCAAAACTCTGCCCTTTAAAAAACCAGTCACCAAACCTTGACCCTTGCACGTTCAGCCAGCAGCTCAGGTAATGGTTTGATACGAATCTCACTGTGTTTGAATCAGGTGGAGATGGTGGTGAGGCTGTGGAAGGACGGCTTTACCATTAATGACGGAGACTTTCGCAGCTACTCCGTGCCGGAGAATCAACATTTCCTGGATGCCATCAAAAGAGGGTGAGTCTATTTAATTGGTTAAAAATATCCTCAGAATACATCAGGTTGTAGTATGGTCGTTCCTCCTGACTGCACAGGATCAGCTGCTACTTCTACATAAACGGTAGAGGAATGAAGCAATGTTTCCCATTGGTTGGATTCCTTCATCTTCGTTTTTTGTTTTTTTTGCATTTTCTTCAGAATTTTCTTTGCTTTATTCAGCTTTACTTTTGACGGTGATGCAGATAAATTGTTGTTATCATTGCATAATCTCATCAACACAAACTCTACAAAACAAAACAACAAAAAATACATGAAAATAGTTCTTGTTTCAGAAAACAACTGGAAGTGTTTAGAGAGCAGAGAAAGGATGAATCCTCAGGAACCCCTCCCCCTCTCTGTCTTATTGATTAATTCATCTGACAGACTCCTTTGCTGAACTTTGATCTGTACCAGGGAGCTTCCAGCAGAGTGGGAGAGCAGAGCAGAGGAAGAGGAGCTGGAAATAAGTGTGGAAGATATGACTGAGGAGAATTATGTCCCCAGGAAGAAGGCTTTTCACCCATTTAGCGGGAGAGGATACCGACTTGGCAGGTAAAAGCTTGCTGACACTTATTGTTTTTGTAATTATTACTATCACAATATAATAAAAAACAGTCTGAATCAGTCTCAACATAATTTTCTCACCTCCTGTGCTATAACACTTTAGGCCACTAGGTGTCCTGCTAAATCCATCCATTAAAACACCCTAAAGAAATCCAACCTATTTGATTTAGGACCTCCAGTCTACACAAATATTGCATTATCCACACCATGCATGGATAAAAAGAATATTTCACTTTAGCAGAAGGTGGTTTTCACCACTAACCAGCTCTGGTGAAAATGAGAAAACATGCTGTTCACACTTTGAGTCACTTCTCCGTCCGTTCGCAGCGTTGCTCCCAGAGTTGTGGCCCGGTCACCATCTGTGCACGAGGATGGAGAATCTCCTCCTATTCCCATGGTAACACTAGACCACTCCCTACCCGTCACCTCTCTGCAGATCTGGTTGGCCGACGGCAGGAGACTGATACAGAGGTTCAACCTATCGCATAGGTGTGTATCTCACTGTCAAAGCCAAAATTTCACCACCCAACACACACGCACTGTTCACTGTGAGGAATGTCTTTACACTGGCGGCTCCTGCTGTGCTGACTCTAAATCTCATAATCTTCCAGCATTATAGCAAACATACACTATAAGGGAGGGGGGTTGAACATTTTAGGGTAATGTGGCTCAGGAGGTGGAGAAAGGGTTGTTTTGGGATTACATAAAGCTTTGTTGTAGCCTGATAAAGTTTAAGGGCTGAAGAAACGCTGCACGGGGTTTCAGAGACATAATCTGAGTCGTAGCAGCACGCGTGGATCCATCAAATCCTAGGAATTGCGTAACTCTGATGCAGCGTTTATATAACAGGGTAAAGGATGAAGAGGACTGAACCACTCCAGTCTTAAGCCAGTCACAGGGTGCAGTGAGCAGTAGGGCTGCCATAGGATTGCTGCCTGTGCTGGGTTGGGATTAATAATAGATGATGTTACTGGTATCCTGCCTCAGATCTCACATGTCACAAGTTAACGGGGGGGTGGGTGTTTGGCTGGGAATCTTGGGCCTCCCAGAAGGAGTCGGTATGTTTAACTCAGAGCTCCATAATTAAGCCCATACATGAGTCCTTGTCCTATTCACTAAAACGTTCATTTGTTCATCTATTTCTCCATCCATCAGACAAAAATCTATTTTTCTGTCCATATATCCATCCTTTTGTCATCTCTTTATCCATCCATCTTTTCATTTGTTCATGCAGCCACGTCTGTTAATTCCTCCATCTGACCCTTCGACAATGACCTGCTCTTGTTGAACACCAGTACCATATAGATAAACCTCAAATACACTAAAGACTCCTGCTGCATGTCTCCTTTTAGGATCTCTGATGTCCAGGATTTTGTTGCACGTTGCCAGAGGAGCTGCCCACCGTTTGTCCTGACGACATCACTTCCTTTCCGCGAGCTCAACGACAAAGATTTAAGTCTGGAGGAGGCGGATTTGGCACATGCAGTCATCATGCAGAGACCTCTGAACACACAGGCTGTGTTTGGACACTCCTGACCGACACATACCCACACCTAACGCTGCATGCCACCTTCCCCTTCTCTCACAGACGCATCCACCCCACCTCTTTTTTTTTTTATAGCCGCCTTAAGGCTTCCTGCACCTTGAAGTATTTTAGTCCTATCCATGTACTTTTAACTTAATTGCTCAGTTTATTTGGTTTTCTCTACAATCTAAAGGTGAAATCCTCTCCAGGATATTTAGAAAGTGCTGCTAAGGTGCTGTTCTGTTGACGGTGTCTACTTCTTTCTTGATTTTTCTGCAAAGCCAAGTTTGCCTGAACAGAATCCTGATTAGTGGCTACACAGGCAAATCCACGGTGTCACATTTATGCATCTGGAATGAAATTTGCATCCCTTCATCAAACACCTAAAGGCCACTGTCTTTTCATTAGCTATTTGAACCTTTATTGAGGTAAACTGATATTACAGCATACAGCTTTAATTACTGAGGTGAAAACACAAGTAAAATAAAATTTTAGATTAATTTTAAATTACACAATGAGGCGGAAACTTGTTCATTGAATGCAGTAATGTCTGGTTACATTTGCCTTTATAAATTGCAGATGTTCTTTGAATATTAATATAGATTCTTGACCTCTCTTTATAAGAATTGGACAGGATTCATGATAGGAAACCAAAATAATGTAACCAACTCTAAACCAGAATAGTGGTCAAATATACACTCCAAATTGTTCAAAATGCTTGCAGATAAGCAACCTTCCTACCTGCTTAAGACCACTTATAAAAGTATTGATGGTGATATATGCATATGCTTGAACATCTGCATGTATAATTTGACCTTTATGTAAATCAGAGGAAATGCAATGTTAACTTATTAAAGATCATTAAAGTTGTATGCTGTATAATCACTCCTCTGGGAAAGGAAAAGTTCAAATAAATCATTAAAAGCTCCAAAATGAATATAAATCCCATCCAAACGTCTGCTCTGAGCCGCCACCCCTTCCCCATGACTTCTCAGTTCCTGTTAGACAGCTATGATCAAAGTCTTCCCAAAGTATGAACACAACTCTTATGCACTGTTAGCAGTTTTAACCAGGAGCTGATGGGTTAAGTTTACATTTAGGTTTTGTTTGCACAGCAGTGATGTTCTGGTCTTTGTATGTTTTGATTATTTCTTTAAATGTGAATACTCATCTCTGTTTTATTGCGGTTTATGAGGAGGAGTAAGAAAATGTGAAATCTGCTGCTTGATTGAATGATTGAGGAACCCCTCAAATCATAATTTAATGTAATACCCCCTCCCTCCAGAGTTAAGCTTCTTTTACTTCCGTTTGACAAAGAACATCTATTATTTTATGCTGGATGAGGGATTGAATTCAACAATGATTTAACATCTTACATTCTTATTTTATATCTCTTTTTTTATTGCATCATTATTATTTTTTTAACCCCAGAAACTTACATATTTCTGAGCCTTTTTTATGAGATTGCCAAGGTTCAAGATGACTGCTTAACTGTTTTTAAGTAGAGGTGTGCCAAACTATCCATGCCTTATGTAGATGTACAAACACAAGGCTGTGCTATTAAAAAAATCATTGAAAGTGTTTTGGAGAAGTGTCCTTTGTCTGGATTTGATAGAAATAATAGACCAGGGTTGTGTTGGGGGATATTAGGATACTATAGGGTGTGTTTACAAGGTTAAGGTCTAATCCTTTTAACCCAGGTGAAAGAAAATAGCGATATAATTACACCTTCATTAGACTATCAGCAAAAAAAAAAAAAAAGGCCTACAAAAATAGCATTTTTCCTGAGCAGGTTAGGACACCTACACCCTTTTACTTATTTGGGTTGCAATAATCCACCAGACTCTGGGGCTTGTTTAAAGAAAGCTTGGGTCTCTCTCCTCGGTTTCTGCTTAGATGTTTGAGCGTTTCATGCATTTTCAATGCATTCCAGGTCACCTGAACTCATCCGAATGTGATCTAGCGCTGGGATCTGATGTTCTGTTTCCTCAGGCCTTTTTGGGTTTATTGCCATGAACTGCTCCTCAGCTGAATTGTTTGGTTAATTTTTTTTTTTTTTTTACAGATTTTTTTTTCTACAGCATCCTCTGAAACGCACTAGATTCTGCAATAGTGAGCACGAAAGGTTCTGCTGTAGCAAAACATGCCCAAATCATGACACTTCCACCTCCATGTTTGGCCATGTGAGGTGTTCCTGTAATGGCTCATCAGTTAACAGATCAATATTCAGCAGCGTGTTTGCAGTTTGCATGCTAATCTTAAAGTAGATGATAGATAAAACCTTTATAATGCCTTCAGTGTGTTTGAAGATTGTTTGCAACTAGAATGATAAAGCAATCTATCAAAGAAATGTATTGATTCAAAATACAAGAGCTTTAAGTATAAGATGAATGGATGAATGATGGCTGGATTTGACTCATGGACCTGTTCTTCTTAAATTATCCCATCTCCAGTAAACAAGCATTAACAGATATTAATCATTATAGTGAGTAATGCAAGGAAAATATCACAAAAAAGAACCAGCCGAGTTTAGACAGCAGATAAAGGATGGACTCTTTAAGCACCCTATCTATCGCTTTAAATAGACAGAGATGCCCCTCTTTCTCTCTCATCTATTCTTGCTACATTTTGTGACCTTTACAATTTTGGCCAATGCCATTTATGTAACCTGTGTCCAGTGTGAGCCTCTGCTGCCATGAGATCAGCTGGATAAATGTTGCACTCATTTGTAAAATGCCTGTTCTCAATTTTTTAGAAAATATTGGCCCACCAGATTGCTCTAACAGTCCACTGCTGAATTAAAAGTGCATTTGTTGATAGTAAAGATATACTCAGTAGCACTAGATTTTGATTTCAAACCTTTTTGTAACATAAATTTTTTTCTGTTTAATATGATTTCTGTGAGATAAATGTTAAAGACTTTGGCTGTCTGGTTTGAGGTTTTAAAGGGTGATATATGTAATTATAAGAAATGTCCTTCTAATAACATACAACAATCTTTAAAATATATTTTACAGAATATTTTCATTCCAATTTACTTGCATATCATTATTATTATTGTCTTTTTTATTATTATTTTGATCACATGTATTTTATCCTTTGAATCTTAAATTGATGTGTCCTCTAACTGCTCATGATTCTGGTCCGGATGCAAGCCTGAGAGCCTCTCCTGCTTTCTATAAACCATCGACAATCCATGTCTTTTATTATTGATCTTTCTTTACTAAGAAATGAAATCAGGTTTTATGAATCTCAAAATAGATTTTTACATAACCTTTGTTCAATTAAACCTAACTAGTTATTTTAGATTTCTGTATTCAAACAGCCGAAAAGCATTAGAAACATGGAAATAAAATGATATATAGGATTATCAGATTATCAGCAAGTACCAACTTCTTTGGCCTTTGTGTCTGACCATTTATATGTTTAGGTAAGTTCTTATATCCACAATAAAATAACTGATTTTACTTGCTTTTAACTTTTAACCAAAAACCTCCTAACTAATAGCAGCATTATTTGAGGTAATCTTACCACTCCTAACAAAGTGAAGCCTTGGTCTGGGACTATTTTTTTGTTTGTTTGTTTTGTTTTACTTTACCACACAAGCATGTGCTTTGCTCTCCGTCTCCAGACTTTCTGCCTGACCTCAGAAGAACAGCGAACACCATTATCCATCTTCAATATTTAAAGCTCAGTGGTTTGAGTGAGGAGGTTGAGGAAGGCTCATGGCTGTGGAAAAAGAGCTGAACGCTGAAGGTCAAAAGAAAAATCTTAGCGGGCAAAATGTCTGCACCTCTCTATGAACACCGTGCAGTAGAACATGCAGCTTTTCCTCACTGGAACATAGAGACTTTAGGCACTTCTTCCTCTGCAGTAGATACGGTCTGGCTGTGGAGTTAAAGAAAAACATTTCCTTTGTGCTACATATTTAATAAGCTTAAGCATGCAGGGAATTACTTTTCCTTCAACTCCCATATTTCCTTTCAGTTTGGTCCTTTTACCCGTGCAGCTGCCAAGCTTTCATTTTGCACATTCCTCTTCACGCATTATCGGAAACATACCCGCTCTGAAGCAGGTCAAATGTCTGACCTTTCTGCTCCGCCGCCTTTGTCGCTGTCAGTGATGTGGTTTTGGAAGAGGGGTTTGCATACTTCCAATTTATAAAGAGGTCTTGGTCCAGCAGCTTCGTGGTGTTTATTGTCACGCTCTGATTAAAGGCTTACAGTGAAGAACAAACATCTGCAGCTGAAGGATCTCCCTAAGAAAGTAGTTTTGGGGGAAATCAAAGGGTTTATAGACCGTAAATCAAATGTAATAAGGCCTTTAAAGCCAATTATATAACACTGTGAGGGACTATATTTTCCTCTTTCAGCAGACAAAGGCTTTTTTGTTTAAGCTAAACCATATCCCATGAAAAAGTAATAAAAAGAACACCTACATTGCTGAGGGTTTATCATGAGGATGGCAGAATGTCAAATAAAATTTAAAAACTAGTTAAAGAACAAAAGACTTTATATTCATTTTACATATGTGGCATCCTGGCGTCTGATTGAGATCTACCAAATCTATGAAATGGGTAATTCTGCAGGGTGGAATTTTAAAGGGGAGCACTAAACACAAAAAGATAAACTCATGTCCCTGTTGTATTTTGAACAAATGCAGTTACTTGCTCTTTTCATGCATCAATTTAGTAACAATAGTTTCTTTGTTGGTTATCCATCATCCTCAGAATCCGCCTAAAAAAACATGGAGCAGACTTTACCAAGGGGTATTTTATCTTTTTGTGGTGTCTGGTAAAAATATTCATAAGCCATAATCTTCAGGGATGACCTTTGGCCAAATGGGCGGTTGCCCAGGGTGCCAGCTGCTTAAGGGGGCGTTGCTGCAATAGAAAAAAAAGACACTTTCAACAGAAATAATGAAAAAAAAAAAAAGGAATTTTCTTTACTGAAACTAATAATAAAAAATATTTGATAACATGAAATTATTTGACGGGCTATAATTAACTGACCCAAAAAAATGTTTATATAAATTTACATATTTATGCTAAACTTTGTTCATGGTCCTTAAGCTAAAGCTGAGCTAAAAGCGTCCAGATTGAACGTTATGTAAGTTTTGCCAGTATTCCACATAAACTGCTGTGATCTGATTGCTTTTTGTTGCCTGATTTTTTCATTAGTTGTATACATTGAAGCTGGACAGCACACCAAGGAGAGGCCAGGTCGAATATGAAATGAATGATTTCACCAACTCAGTATCTTCTTTTCTAAATCACACCCATTTCCATGTGTAGTTTGCATCATCTTTATTCCCAAACAGCCCATTTATTTTTATAACTTCTAACTGTGAGTTTAATAAATGTGCAGGGAGTTTCTATGATTTTTCTGTCCATATGAATTTTCTTTAGTTGCTACATTCAAGAAATATGGATAAAACTGTAAAACAAATTGAAAGAACTGCATGCTCAGAAGGGAGCTGTACACCTATTATGTTATAAATTATTTTGCAAAATAATTAGATTCTCTTGTTTTAGTGTTTAGTGTTGTCCCGTGTTGACTATTCTGAAGAAAAAAATGGGCAGATTGAATGATTGAACTGTGTTTTTAATCCTTACATGAACTAAATGTTGTTTAGTAAGAACTGCTCTGTTATTGTCTGGGTATTAAATATAGAACATGTTTCAGCATTGCTCCTGTTTCGTGTTGAGGGTCTGACCTTCTTATGCTAGCATATTAAAAAAAGCAAAGTTACATAATAATCCTACTATAACTGCTGCGTAACTTCATAGGTGTTCTCAAGCTTCATTATTTAAAATAAATTACTGTTAATGCTGAATATTGATCCAGTGATCTGTGCTGGAAGTTTTGTTTGCAATTCAGCAACCGATAAATCTCTTCTTCTGTTCTGGATGGATGCACTGAGGAAAAATTTGCCCGCAGATAGTTGCCCTGAATTGTAATGTCTAATGTGACTGTAAAATTGCTAAAACTTTCATCTGTAATCTTAATTTCACCCAGAGTACCTTCTGCAGGAACCTTTGATCATATTTTGTTACATTCCAAACAACATTTTAAATGCTTTTTTATGAAAAAGACCAACACAAGGTAGCACTGAATTGTGAAGTTGAAGGAGCATCATATATTTTCCTAAAACTCTGGACTACATTTAAATTCCCTCCTCGTGAGTCTACACCTTTTAAAGCCTCAATTTACTGTGTTTATAGCTGCAATTCCGGGGCAGCATATCTTTACCTTTTCTGGAGACTGGTAATTTTGTAATTTTCTACCTTAAAAATGTGTAGGCTCAATGCATTCACCTCCAACAATGGCATGTAATAATGTATTAATGAGCGCTGACACTTTCAAATATAGATAACAAAAATCTCACCCCAATTAGACCTTTGCCTGTTTCACCAATTTCATTGTCATGTCAACTAATTCTCCATGTCAGAGCTCAGAACAGAGGACCCAGTATTCAGACAGACAGACAGTAGGATTAAAAAAAAAAGGTTTATTAAAAATCGTCTGATCTGCAGTGAACAGCTAGGGCATCTAAGGCAGGAACCTCTGCATGAAGAAAACAAAGGTTAGTGACCACGTTAATCTGACAGAGGAAGATTATGAACGTGTGAGTCTCTAACCTTGTCTTAATGTTCAGTCTGCACCCAGAGGACCAGGTAGATTCCAGCCAGTTGGCTGCCGATAAGACGTGGCAAACTCTGCCCAGAGAGTCCCAGACATTGAAGCCCCAGAGGCCGGGGAACAGGCAGGAGCTCAGATCCATGCAGACAAAGGAAGGTCGGGTAATCCAGAGGGTGAAGTCAAAGCCGACATCGAGGAGGTTCACAGGAGTCCGGGCCAGAAGATCAGATATCTGAAGAGTTACCAGAAGGAAATCCAGAACGGTGTCAGGAATCAGTTCCAGGTTCAGTAAACTGGCAGAATCCAGCAGGAGTCCGAAGACAAGGTCAGGCAGCTAGACCAGAACGTGAACAAACATTCTCAGAGGTCCACAGGCAGAATGGGTCAGGATTAGGCAATCAAAAACAATAATACAGACTAGAAGATTCACCAAGGGTTGGAATAATAATTGGAATAAGTTCAGAAAAGCAAGGCGGTTGAAATCTTTCATTTTATCAAGAGAATTGCCGGTACATTTAAGGTGAGAGTTCAGCTAACTTTCATGTTTTGTTGTGAAATGTGGGAAAAATCTACTTTTGGAGTTGGCTTTTTAATTAGAGATTTAATGTTATTTAAATTTGATGTTAATGTAAATAGTTGCTGCTAATTGAAATAACAGTGTATTTTCTGTACAATGGCAATAAAGCCTGAATAAATTCTTATTTAATATTAAAGCTGAGTTATAGTTAATTAGGAACTGGAACTGTCATTGAGTGGATTAGTGGTTGGTGAACACAGCCTTTGATCCTTGGAGCAACCGTAAAGGATGGAGGTTCAAAACTCCCACTGTCTCCATAACAAAAAAAGATAAGGTAAAATTATAGATAAACAATCTCCCCTCTAAGTTACAATAATTCTGGATGATTTTTAAGCCAGAATATTAAGATTTGTGGATAAATTATAACTTTTTCTAAGTCACCATCACAGAAATTGAAGAAAAACAATATTTCAAGTTTCAATAACATATAATTCATAGTTTGATCAAATTAAAATCAAAAAGTAAATGATGAAGTCAATTAAAAAATATGCAGAATCCTTTTGGGTTTTGCCATCTTTTCTGTTTTAACACTGGTCCTTGTTTAATTTTTGTCACTCAAGAAATGATTTACTTTAAAATACATGTGTTTAAGCTGAAATGTATGAATTCACCTATTAGAGCTTTTAATACATTGTTTTAGACATTTAGTGTATTTAAACATCTGGATTTTTTAGAAGGAATTAGAGTACCCTATATGTAAAAAAAAAATGAAATAAAAAATGTCCAATTATTCTAGTATTAAGTCTGAGCTAAACTTAAAAGGTTTAGGCTGATTTAATGTCAGACAGCGAGAAAAAGGTTATCTGTCTTTGTCTCTAAACATCTGGTTTCATCTGTAGGGATTAAACTCCAAACAAATCGGAGCTCAGATTAAAAGATGTAGTTCTTTTTCTGCCTCACAAAAACAATAAAAACAGCGGGGGGCGGGGGGAGTGATGACATGGAACCACAATAACAGAAAAAAAAAAACTGCTGCTGGAGTTTAATCGTCCCATAATCCCCTCAGCCGCGCGCGCACACGAGCGCAAGCACGTGTGGTAGAGCATCACCGCCGCCGCGCGGCGCAGCTCCGCCACTGGAAGGAAGCAGGATTGGAGCGGCGCAGATCGGCTCCATCCTCTGCAGTCTCCTCCTCATCCTGCCCGTCGGATTGACACACAGATCGGAGAGAGGACCAGACTGCAAACCCTAAACGCGACGGCGGCTGCGGCTGCTGTTTTCCCAGCCTGAGGTAAGACGAAGCTGCTGCTTCCTGCATCCTTCTCTGTTGTTATATCAGCTGCTCACAGGAGGGATGCATTGAGTTGTAGGGAAGATGCATGGGACATTGTGGGATTTCAGCTCCTGGATGTCCTACATGCATGTCATCTAGGGTAAATAAATGGCAATAAATCGCATTTGCATTTGTTTTTTATTTACAATTTGGGAATTAGACCTAATCCACATGGTTCATAACTCAGGGTGTCGTGTAAGGAGGGGTGGACTTGCAATAAAAACAACCTCTAAATGCAGAAATGCTTCTGCATCAGGACCACTTTACATTGAATCAGGTGTATAAAGTTTGATTCTTCTGCTATCAGTTGAGATAAAAATACACCTTCCATGCTGTAAAAGCCTTTTGTTGTCAAAACCAGTCCAGTAAAGGTTAGTTTGCCTTTTAAAAGGTTTGACAAAATCTCACCTCCTTTTGTTCTTGGTAACTGATGGACATTTTTGTCTAGTTGTGGCTGAAAACCCAAATATAGGTCTTATACTGCAAAACAATCTAGAAATAAGTAAAGTTTTCTTAAATTAGGTGTATTAATTCTCGATTTGAGCAGCTAAATAAGATGATTTGCCAATAGAATGATATTTTTATTCTTAAAATACACTGAAAAAAATAATGTAACCACTTTTGGCATTTACTTCATATCATATTTAGTTACTATTTAGTTACTTTAACACAACTGTTTTATGTCCTACCATGCTAACAGTAAACAATTGTGTTGAAGTAACTAAATATAATAAAGTAAATGCCAAAAAGGGTTACATTATTTTTCAGTGTAAGATGATTAGATAACGTGCACTTGAAATAAGAAAATACAATTATTTTATTCCTATTTTAAACGTAAACTTTCTTTTTGTTGGCATAATGTCTCACCTCCTCAGTTCAAGATAAAATGCACTTATTTTAAGAAAAAAATTACTTATTGTTTAGCAGTTTATTAATAGATATGCAAGTAGAAATTCAAATATATTGGTATTATTTATGATAATGAGGACAGGGAGAAGAAAAGGTGCAACATTTGGTCTGGATGTGGAAATGAGTGTGCAGCAAAAGCTCGACTAAAGCCACAGTTTGTTTCTAAACTAAGGTAACATTTAAAATTCGCTTTTTTAAAAAGACCTTAACTCAAGAAGGTCCTCAAGTTTTTGTTTCATAACAAGCCCCTCCTTTGGCATCTTTCAAGCATTGGAAATTGTGTTCCTCATTTTTTTTTCTGGCCAAATAAACATTTTGTAAAAATAAATTGTCTTTTGTTTTCCATCCCTATTGAGATGCCACCCTGGGTGGTTAGCCACATGTTTAATAGTTATAAACAGCAGTGTTTCTGGTGTAACTGGTTGGAAAAGGGGAGTGTTGGAGGAGAGGAAGGTGCTCTCCCAATTAATGCAAGCATTTCTACCGACTATCCATGTCTTAAAGGTTTTGTTCAGTTTAGTATGTCAGTGAGCCTCTCCTTCAGTTGGCAATTATCATTGTCGCTGCTGCTAAATGTGTGCGTACATGCCTGCATTCCTGAGTTGGACCGTTTTACTGCATACCTGTGCGTCTTTTAGAGCAGGTGAGCCTTTTCATGTATCTCCTTTTCCTCGCCCTCCCCTGCTGGCTTCGTTCCAGAACACAACAGAGAGCGGATGGCGATGGAAAGCGGCAGAGTTGTCAGAGAGGGGCAGGAGGAGCTCCCAGCCTCCAGAGTCATCGCTCACTCATATGTGCGCAGCCACAGCCACATCCATTTCCAGCCCCTGACACGCACCTCCCAGTGGCAGGCCACTCTGGATCACACCAGGAGTCACACTCATCACTTCATCACTCCGTCGCACACACAGCAGCAGAGGTTCAGCTGTCGCCTCACACACAATCTCTCGACCATGACCAAAGGGGAGAGGGGAGGGCAGGGCTCTCCGGGGAAATTCACCAAGCCCACTGAACCCTTGTTTCCAAAAACTCCTCATCAGGTAAGAATGTCTGTTTATTTTTGGTTTTTTAAAGTTGCTGCTGTAACAGAGAAGCTGTGGCTCTTCTTTAAACATCTGGATGTAATCTCTCTGGGTTCGCCTGTGACTGACTTGATTAGATGGCGAGTCAAACGTGTGATGCGTGTAGCTGCTTATCTGTGTGTGATTAATCAGCTTTATTGTTTTCCTTTGCACTGTAATCCCCCCCAGATAAAGAAGTCAATGCCTGCAAGCTGATTTTATTCAATTGAGAAAATCTGTTCCGATTTGCCAGAAGACCTGCAGGAAGATTGCTTTCTTTGTAATGGATCTGGCTATGTCAGTTGATCACCAAGAAACAAGGCAGTTAAAGAGGCAGAAATTGATAGAATCACAGTAGATCTCCTGGGTTTTCTTCTCTGTTTAATTTTAGTTAAATGAAATATAACAGGTCATGCTTGCATGGTCCAGAAGCTGTGGTGTATATTGCACTATAAAAACCTTTTATTACCATTTCCTGAGATTACTATTTTGCAAAAAGTTTAATATAATGAGAGTCTGACTTGTAACTAGTTATATTTTCTCAGTTACTTTAAATTGAGTAACATTTTGATAAACATTTACTTTTAGGAGCAGTTTTACTGTACTGTACTTCTTCATTTTAAGTCATATTCTTATAAAGTATCACTACCCCCCTTTAAGCAGAGCCTCTACTCTGTTGGCTGTGAGCAACTTAAAGGTCAGAGGAATATAAAGGAAACAGCCGATATTTTCAGTAGAAGTTCTTTAGCCTGTGCTAAAACACATACAGTTCTCAGTGTAAGGATTGGTTTCTTAAGGTTTATGTTGATTTAAATGGATTTGGAAAAGTGTTTCTTTTGTTTAAATGTGTTATTTTGTAATATTGTTAGTTATTTGTTCTTATTTTATGTATTTCAGTCTAAAAAATACACAACAAATCATCTGTCTCACAATATAATTTCTAAATATTAAGTCAGATATTATAATCCAACGATTACTCGATACTTGACTTAACTTTTCATTTAATACATTTTACTCTTCTAATTAATTTATGGCTTGTATTACTATTTTTTAACTTTTACTTAAGTAAAAAAAATATTTAGGTTGTGCTACATTTCTTTGGCTACTCTACCCACCTCTGAATTAATATTGGTTCAGTTTAACCTTAAATGTGTTTCTGAGAAAACTTCTGGAGTGTTTAGTTTTTTTCCTGCTGTGTAGAAGAAGGAAGCTGGGCATTGCAGGTCAGCTGGCTGAAAGAAGGCTCCTTTTTAACGAGATGTCAGAGAAATATGCTGTATAGATTTTCTGTATGGAGCAACGCAGCACCCAACTTCCCTCACTTGTAGCTGCACACTACCTGTCAGCTTTCTGAAAGGACTACATTTAGGAAAGTCTATTTTTCTCCAGATGCATTGGTTGTAGAGAAATCCAGCTCAACCCGTCTGCATTCCACTGCTGCACACTGCAGATCAGCTGGCTGAAAGAATTGCCTCCCCCCCCCAACTTTTTCTGAGAGCTTGCTGAAACAAGGCTACTTTCAAAGAGTTGTCAACAAAGCAGCGAGTCTAAATGTTTCCCTTTTTTATGAAAGTGTTGGTAACAAAGTGCTGCTGCCTCTCTTTCTCATGGCTGTTTGGGAGGATTTCATGATAGTCACTGCGTGGGAAATAAGGATGAGCCGTCAGTCTCACCGTTATTAGATGAAAATATGTCTAAAATGCAATACACCCAAAGTTATTCAATCTGCTCTCTGCAATTCAATAAAATTCTTTTAAGGTTACGAGTATTTTAGATGCTATTTATTTTGTATTTTTAAGTGGGTGTTTTTAGAACAAAAATACTTCCACTGGAAGGTCATAGATAGCTTCAATATGTAAAAATACTTAAGAGAGGTAGAAAATGACTACCACTTTCTGTCTTAAACAAAAACAAGTTAAAAAATGTGGAGTTTATTGATTTTTATTGATACTCTGTCAGTTTCACTGTGAGAATGTCATACATGTCCGCAGACATGCCTATAGGAGACGTCATGTCCCCTTATGTGCTAGATGCTGCCGTTGGAGAGCACTGTTTATGGTTTCGCACTAGTCACTCATCTCCTGCACCAACTACTCAGAGTTTTCAGTGAAGCAACCATTACCTCACGCTAAATAACCAGTTCTGCAACTGTCTCACCTTTGCCAAGCTTCTGTCTGTTATTCAGTTTGTCACTTTTGAGCAAATACTTTGAAAATGAGTCACTGTCAAGTTACTTTCCCAGAGGATTAAAGAACTTTATGAATGCAAAGGCTATTGTTGGACGCTGTGGGTGGTGTTAAAGTCAATAAAAAAAGCATACTTAAACTGTACATATTTATGAGGATATTAATTTAAATCAGCAGCCATGACTGTTAGATAAACAAATTATAGAGAATTTGTATTGGTCTTATTAAAAAGTAAGGGTTTTAATCTGCTGCTTTAAATGTAAAAGAGAAAAAGGATTTGAATTTTCCTCTAAAAATAGACCACAGATTTACTTCACTGATGAAAAATTCTCATTCATTTTTTATGCACATCCCATTTAGCTTATTTATTTGACTTATCTACTTTGGTCTAGACTCATTATTTGTGATTCCAGACTAAAAAGTAAAGGGTTGCTTTGTTTTCCCCTAAACACTGTTGGTTTTCAGCTTCTGGGAGAAACAGCTGACAGTTTCTGACCACTGCTTTGTGCTCAGGTGTCTAAATAGGTCATATGTTGCATGGACTTCTTGTTTTACCAGCTTTTAATCATTTGGTTTTATTCAAATAAATGTCAAACAAATAAAAAAAAGCGAATCTCATATTATATCCTACACTTTTTCTCAAAACTTTCGAAGATTCATACCAAACATAGAGCACCTGGAGAAGAAGGTTGATTTGTTTTGGAGGATTTAATCTAGATGACTATCTTTGCGTCTCTCAGCAGGTTCCCTTTTCCTGCTGAAGAACGGCATTCCCAAAGCATGACACTACCACCACCATGTTTCACCATGCTCTTTTTTTAAGTGGCTTTCTGCGCATTACAATTTCCTTTATGTTATTTTCACTCCTTCATGAAGATCAGATTTGCAAAATGAACGACTAACAACTGTGCTGTCCAACCTCAGCTTTAGTCACTGCAGGTTCTCCATAGTTATCATCGCTGCTTCTTTTAAAAACTTTTCTCTAAGCAGGCCTGTCAGTGTAGGTGGATCGCCATGTATCCGTAGATGTGCACTCTGTTTTGTTTCCTTTTTTTTAGGATTGATTGAACAGTTCAAAGCTTGGCACAGTGTTTTAAACCTCCTTAGAACTTCCTGATGTTCATGATGCTGTTTGTTCACTAACTTCTGTAACATCTGAATCCTCCATAAAACTGCTGGATTAATAGATTCCAAGTTTTATTCTCAGATTAGATGAATCCTGAAGGCAGCTGCTTGCGTTCAGTTTCATCTAGAGGTGTTGAAATGAAGGAGGCATAGTGCCAATGCTCACAATGTCAGTTTCTATTTCCTAAAACTTGAGAACAGCATAATCTTTTGTCCTTTCACCGTCTGGATGTGAAACCTGTCTGCATCGCTGCGTTGCTTTCTTGTAAAATATGATGTACGAAAAACGTAATTAGTGTCAAGGAAGTTAACACTGCAAATTCCCCATGAATGACCCTCTGTTGTGATTGGCCACGATAGCAGAGGCACTCAGGAGAGGAAGAAATGACTTTCATCAGTGTAGTAGGGCTTCTCATAACTTTTCACAGTTGTAACCATTACCCGTAATCAGGAGACAGCCTGAAGCTGCTGGACTCTTTTAAATGAGATCTGTGGTGTTGTGACCCCTCTAATTTAAAACCCTCAACAAAAATCCTTAAATCCACGAGACGTGATTGTTCAAGTCCCCCTTTTTCTTCTTATCCTTTCTTTAATTATCAGTCATCATTTAAACGGTGTAGAAGATTAATCAGCCTCAGAGATTACGCCTCTCTGTCGTTCCCCCTTTGCTTGTGCAGAGTAAACTCCTAAAGATGCCCCCCTGCTTCTCTGTATCTGCATACAGCAGGCTTTGAATGAGCATCAAGACAACAGCAGAGAGGAAATCCTGTTTACAGTCTTTGATGATGAGAAGTGGGTAATGAGACATGGAGGGTAAGAGATCGGTGGGAAAAAAGGAAAAACTGTTTAGAGACATGCAGGGAGAGCATTTCTGCACATCATCAGTTAAGCTCTCTCCCTCCAGACGCCCGAGGCTTAGATTTTTTTTCCCCCTCTCCAATTAAGGATAATTGCAGTGAGAGTTGAAGAAGGGAGAGTTTTGAAGTCGGAACCATGGCGCAGCCTTTACTTACCTCTGACCCGCTTGTCTTATGATTGAATAATTACACACCTCCCTCCTGGTAATTGTCGTCCTCCAGCCCCTCCGTATTTTGAAGGGGGCGAACGGAGGAGGAAGAGAAAACCTGAGCTGGATAATAACAGTGCGCCGGTCGTGGCTGTGGTCGCTTTGGTGATTTCCGTCTTTAATTTAACTCTGGAGAGAGTAGCTGTCAGCCTAGCGTTGCCACTGAATGTGGATTGAAGCTATTTTGTGAGCAACACCAGAGGTTCTATATAAAGGGGCTGATATGTGGCCTGTGAGACAGTAGCAAAATGCTACTCAGACCAGACTGGGATGTCTTAGCTTCTTCAAGTCTGGAGATGAAAGCTTCCCCTTGGTACACAAATGCCCCAAAACACACACACGCACACACAAGGTGAAATGCCTAATGGTTTTAGCAGGGCTCTGGAAAGGAAACAAAGCCACGAATGGGTTTAGTGGGATTCTCCGGCTCCTCCATAGGAACCAACGTCTGCACCAGTGGACCACAGCACTGACAGCCAGCAGGGGTCTATTCCTATCCAACCCTAACACATGGAAACTTATGAATGAAGATCTGTCCTACCTGGAAGGTTCAACTATTTAGGGGGATTGTGGAGGTTCCTCCATCTTTTCTTCAGTGTTAGTATTTATTTAAAGGTCTTCACACAGTACATTTATAATTTCACTTTTGTGGTGTTTTTTTTGCATTAGGTTGTTTACTATTATGGGTGCACACATTTAGTAAACACCTTTTGTTTATTTGAATTGAATTAATTACTTTTCTTTGCTGAGTTGAAGGACTGGCTGAGTGGAGAGGACTGGTTGGAAGGCAAACCAGGAAGTGGGACATACCATCAGGCTGCTGGAAGCAGGGGACTGGATATTAGTCTGCTTCTCTCTCTCCACTTATGGCATAATTGTTAAAACATTTTTGGCGTTATGATGTTTTCTTTTGATAGTTGTGTTATAGTCAAAAGGTGTTAGTTTGAATTAGTTATTTATGTTTATGCATTGTTTGTCTCTGTCTCATCTCCCACCCCTCCTCGTTTGTGTAGGCTAGCCTTTGTGTATAAATTCCCCTGTGTGTTCATTGTGAAGTCAGTTTTTATGGTTTGTTATCCTGAGTTAGGTATGCCTTAGTTGATTTCATTTGGGTACATTTTGTTATATTTTTTTTTTAGATTTGATGTAAGCCCTTTTTTTGTGAAGATTATTTTTGGAAAATAAATAGAGAATACTTTTTATATGCCTTTGTCCTTGTGCCTTACTGGACGGACCCCCACAGGGATATATCCCTGGTGTCTGACAAAAATAAGGGAAGTAAACTCCATGTGATGCAAACATACATTACTGTAAAGACTATGAATCTGTCATTGCAGCATGAGGAGGCTCTTTTTAAGAAATCTATATTTGAAAACCTCACAGAGTTGACTTTTATTGTCTGCATTTTACTGTCAGACACACCTACACATGGGTGTGTGTGTTTGCACTATTGGGAATAGAAGCTACTTCTACAGAATGTGTAATTTGAATGTGCACAGTCATATCCTGAACACAGAATCAGCCGTGCTCAGAGCCTCTCAAACTTTCCCCTGTTGCTTTAATTTTAAAATGAAACCTTCTGTATTTGTTTCTAACTTTTTCTAAAAAAAAAAAAAATACTAATAAAAAAATTTTTTTATGCAAAATTGTGATCAGGTAGGGAACCAGAAACATGTTTCTTTCAATGATTTGAGGCTTTTATCAGATGAGACCAAAACTAAATATTTTACATTAGATTGTAAAGAAACATGGACGGCAGAATATCCCATCATCCCAATAGTAAAACATGGTAGGGGCAGCATTGTGGTGTGGGAGGCTAGTAGGGTTCTTGCCAGTAGGGCTGCAACTAATGATTTTTTTGCAAATTGATTATTCTGAACATCATTTTCTTGATTAATCGATTAATAATAAGATAGCAAAAGGTTCCTCACAGAAGTTTTTTTTTTACAGAATAAAACCAGGTGGAACTCAGACTTTTCCACTTGAGGAGTTCTGGATAGAGAATATTGACAGACAAAAAAGTTTTTTTCCATCTTAAATGCAAAATGTTTATATATTTTTTTAACAATTTTGGTATAATTACTGGTCTAAGCTGGTTGCCCTATCAGCTAAAGGCATGTTTCAGAGTCTCTATAGTCTAGTTATTGATTATTTGATTACTAAATTAGTTCAAGATTATTTCAATAATTGATAAATCACGATGAATCTGACTAATTGTTTCAGCCCTAAACTATAGTAATAGGAGGTTTTAGAAAGTATTAACTAAATGTATGCTTTTCACAGACCTTCGGAACAGGTCACTGAATGTTCCTTCAGTGGTTACTCTTGATGGTCGTGAAATACAGATAGTTTCAACTTATAAGTATCTTGGTATTGTCATTGATGACAACCTATCATTTAAGCCTCATGTTCACTGTCTAGTGAGAAAGTTGAGACTAAAATTGGGTTTTTACTCTCGAAATAAGCTGTGCTTTTCTTTTAATGTAAAAAAACGGTTGGTGGCATCCACTTTTTTAACTGTGCTGGACTATGGTGATATATTATATATGCATTCATCTGCTCAATGCCTGCAGATGATAGACGCAGCCTATCACGCATCATTGAGATTTATTACTAATTGTAAAGCTCGCACCCATCACTGTGAGCTGTATTCTCGTGTAGGGTGGTCTGCCTTGGCTACACGGAGGCTTTGTCATTGGTATATATTTATATATAAGGCTATTCTTGGTGCGCTTCCATCTTATTTATGTTCACTTCTTATGAAAAAAAGTACTGGTCATTACTCTCTCCGTTCTCAGGCTATTGTCTTGTTTTCTGTCCCACGTGTCAGTACTGAGCTGGGTAAAAAGGCCTTTGCTTACTCTGCTCCCTTTACATGGAATTTGCTGCAAAATAACATGAAACTTAGTAAATTGGTTCCTTTGAATACTTTTAAGTTGAGAATTAGATGTTTTGAGTTAGACTCCCTCACATGTCAATGTTTTAATTGAAATTTTATTGTAAGTGCATATTTGGCTTTTATGTGTGTGTCTTTTATACATATGTAATGATGTGATGTAATTTTGATGCCTATCTTGGCCAGGTCTCCCTTACAAAAGAGATTTTTAATCTCAATGGGTATTACCTGGTTAAATAAAGGATAAATAAATAAATAAATAAATCTCTAATGGGCTGGATACAAATGCATGCCACACTTTTCAGATTTTTATTTTTAAAAAAATCATTCATTATTCTTATTACGCCTTAGAATTGATGTGTCAGTGTACAATGTCAGTTAGTATCCTCTTTGTGTCTTCTTTATATGCTCCTCTTTTGATAATTTGAGTTTTAATCCAGATCTAATCAGCACTCTACACAGATACGCAGTTAAAGCTAAACTCAGATGTAATCATTTCCCATCTTTCCTGTGTTTGCAGACAAACCTGAACCAGAAGTTATCCATATGCAACAAATTATGTTTTGCAATTGGTGCCGCTCCTAAGGAGGTGGCATCCAGTGCTTCAGCCTTCTTCCTGCAAATCTACCTGCTTGATGTTGCTCAGGTAAACTCTATGCATGTCCACAGGTGTAAGCTATTAGCTGATTGGGGATTTGCCGTCTTTAACCGCGTTCTTTATCTGCTCCAGATCAACGCCTTCCAGGCCTCCTTGGTACTGTTCATCGGGAGAGTGTGGGGTGCGGTCACAGACCCCATCATTGGGTTCCTCATCACAAAGAGCAGCTGGACCAAGATTGGCAGACTCATGCCCTGGTGAGCACTCTTATTGCTTTATTTGTTTCCTAGCTCACTGAAGGATGAAATAAGAATATTTATTGATGATGAATCCTTAAACATTGGCTGAGGTGATTTCTCCCAGCGCTGTTATTCCTATATAACCAGGCCTGAGGGAACAACCTTCATTTGTTGATGAATTATGAAAGATGTTTTGTTTTGCTCCCTCGCTCTTCCATATAATTATGGTCTCCGCATGATGCTGATGTTTATGCTGAATCTAGACGAAAATGAGCCCTGTGCTCCACTTCTGGAGGATTTAAAACTCACACCTGAGGATTGCAGATGAACAGCCTTCGGGAAGTGTTGCTTTTGACTTCCTAACCGACGGCTAAGACTGTTTGCTTTAAGGGCGTGGGTGGCTTTTTGTTCTCCTTTGATGCGAGGCAGTGTTCTAAGAGGTTCATCCACATTCCTTTTCACACCACTTTCCTTTTTCCCCATTAACGACCTGTACATGCCTGTTATTTCAACATTATTTCAGTAATTAAGGGCAAACAATATCTACTTTCATGCGCTTAAAAATGTGTTAAACACACAAAATTATTCAGCCTATGCTTTAACATGAAGTAATACTTGTTACAATTATACTCCAAGTAAACTATAAAATATTTAATATACTTTAAATAAAACATGGTTATCAGATTACAAACTGTATATATAAAAAAAGCTGTTAAAATGATTTACTTTCACCATAAATTACCTATATGCCTGAGAAAATAATAGCTTTTATTTTTACTTTTCTTTAAAGGCCTTTTTCACAATCGCCTCAAGCCTATATTTATCTCTGCTTGTGCATTTTTTTCTTCCACTCACCTTCTCAGCAGCAGGCTTGTAAAGATAAATTTTTTAGAGGTTTTTAGAGGTTACATTTTGTGGGTTACTCTTCTTGTGCAGTTTTTGCTGTGATTATATCAATAGAACTTTTGATTTCCACTTTCTGATTTGAACCACTAGATTAAACTATCTTCAGTTATTTTTTATTCGCTGTACAGGACGTTCTGCCACTGTGTGTCAGGGCTTTTAGGGAAATGCTACCCGTGTGAACCTTAGGGTGGATTATTTGATGTTTACATCAGGATTCACACGAATCCCTTTTCTAAAAAATATTAAAAACATATTTTCTGTAAGCTGCTAAGCATTTCTGCAGCATATCTCTTTAATGCTTCACTAGCGTGACTCTGTTACAACCCCGTCGGTATCGCTTATAAAACTAAACTACACACAAACTGTCAGTGCTGGAGGGAGTCCAAATCCACCATAGCCTGCCACACTCAGCTGCAGACAGATGCTGTTGGTAAATCAGCTTTGATTACCCACGGGAACACATACCGGTAGTTGAGAGTGTTCTAGCCTCTGTGTGTTTATCTGAATGAGGGCATTTATTTTCAGTGCGTTCTGAATGACATCGGGATGACAGGACAGGATACTCCCATCCATTTGAATCCTGTTTGGAAAGTCCCGTCTGTCCAATCAGCAGGAAGCTGAACCTATTCACAGCCACAAATTAAGTGATTTGTATCTTTGCCCTAAACTCTTTAGGAATGAGTCCTTGGCGCCAAAAAAACTCCCCGAGTGCTGCCATGTTTAGAATTTGTGGCTGTTAGCGAAGAAAGAAAAGAAAAAAAAAACCCTCTTTTGAGCCATTTTTCAAGATTGTCTACATTTGAGAACAACAGTTAGAGACGATGTCAACTGTTGGTGAAATGTGTAATAACTGTGGTAGGGTGACACACACTAAACAATAAAAGGTATGTTAAAAGAATGTCACCTGTTAGATTTGTTTTTTAAATAAGGACGACCAGTTAATGTTGCATACCCTTCTATATCTTTATCTAATGTTCACAGCTAATGATTAATATGACTTTAAGGACTCACTGTTAAAACTATAGACGATGATCTTTTATTTCCGGGTGGATCATCTAAATAGTTGGTCCTCCTAATTGTCACATTCTGGTGATATGTTTATGTAAGGCTATCGTACTTGCTCGTCCCGTTAGCTGTTTTTTTTCCTGCACAAGCGCAGTTTGCAACAGTGAAATGAACATTACCATCTTATAAAGTGATCAATGATGTAGACAGTGTAGGAGAAAAGAAAAACCTTTCTAAAGTCCTGGTGCAAAAGGCATTGATATGGAAAGGTTCAGTGCAGTGCAAAAAAAAGCAAATTATGATGCAAAAATGCAGTAGAACATTGAGTTGTGTTCTATTTAAAGGGATTTTTAGGAAAAAAATCACCACACATATACTTTCCCAAGTATATGTGTGGTGAGCTACGATTTCAGACAGTCATTGAATCTCACCTTTTCCACCGCGGTTCTTACAAGTACACTGTCTACAAAGTGTGTGAGAAGAAAAGAAAGGCCTCAGAGGAGGCAGATATATCCCAGAAAGCTTTGTGCGGAGAGCTTTCCTCGCAAAGCATTATGGGATTTGTTGTGACAGCGGCCCACTGTCGCCATAGGTTGTCGCAACCCGACAACGGCGATTAATAGCAAAGATGGCGCAGGCACTGCGCATTGGAGGAGGAGTTACATGACCAACGGGAGGCAAAAAGTAATGATCTGTGCGAACAGTCAGTTAACAGAGTTCACTATAAAGTCCACTATATATTCCCCGCTGTATATAGTGATTGAGGGTTTAGGGGTTAGAGTGGACATTCGGACACAGTAAGCTTGTATGAGCTATGAGAACAGTGACTTTTAAACAGAGCATGCACGGGGAAAAATGTGCTTGTGCACGCTCGCGCACACATTTTTTCTTAAAGTGGAGAGGGCGGGTCTTTTAAAAAAATTTGCGAAAATCCTCCACAATACCTTTAAGACTCAGGCTTTTGCAAATATCGCTCATATAATCAGGTGTCAGCCTATGCTGTACAAAGATACAATAGAACACATTTTAATATAACACAAAGAGAATCTCTTTAGTTACTAAAAGAAGTTTTGAAATAAATACAGCATTTATTATGGGAAAGGGAAGCTTTCTAAAATTCCCCTATGAAAAATAACAAAACTGCTTTTTCTGCCCTTGGGAGCAATACTCATTAGGCGTTTCTAATAACCAGTTAGTTTTGACATCAGCATGGAGCATTCTGACTCACTCTGTTATGCAGAACTATTTAAATGGAAGTACTTAGGGTTGTAAAGCATGAATGGTGAAAATGAGGTCCTATTATATCTAGCTAATAAGAAGTCTGGACTTTGACTAGGCCACTCCTAAACCTTGATTTGTTTTTGGCCATTTACTTGTCTACTTGTCAGATGAATCATGCCATTCTGCTGCATAACCAAAGTTGTTTTTTTTTAATTTATTTATTTATTTATTTATTTTTTACACCTTAAGGCCATGAAATGATGGATTGATGGTCTGCTATTAATGGTTCTATCAGTTATAGAAAGTCATCCATGTCTTGACCCAGACCATAACAATATCACCACCATGTTTTACTTTTAGTGTTAAATGTTAGTTTTTATGTCAGCTTTAATAGGTAATACACTTTAAAAAAGTCCATACTTATGGAATAAATCCTATATATTCACCTAACAGTCTTTTGGACCATCTAAATATGTCAGGAAATGGGGACAGATGGACCCAGTATTTAAGGTGAGACAGCCAGTAAGAAAGTTCAAAACGTTTATTACAATAAAAACAGACAGAACAGAACTGGAACGGGCCGCAGATGATCTGATCTGTAGAGACTGCAGGAGGGGGGCAAGTAAGTAACCACGATCATCTGAACAGAAGATTATTATTAGAGTGAGTCACTAACCTGGTTTAACAGTTCAGTCCATCCTCTCAGTCATAGTCAGGATAAGCCGATACACTGCAAAATGAGAGGCGGCCCTGAGCCGTCCAGAGCGTCCCCGATGCAGCAACCCCAGTGAGCAGGCCGGACAGGGGTTTCGATCCACTCAGGAGCGGATAGATCTGGGTTCCAGGAATCCATTAGGTTCAGAGTCCCGTGCGTCGAGCATCCAGCTCAAACAGAAACGCACATTGGAGGCAAAATCTAACAGGAGTCTAACAGAGGTTCAGGCGAGCAGACCAGACAGGGCCAGTGGGAACAAAATTAGGAAAACAGAATCACTAGGGAAATGCTGAAACGCTCTCATCACTGGTTAGGGATTAAACTAGCCTGAAGATATGGGTTCAAAAATAAACTCCTCAATTGAACATGAACCTTGAAAATAAACCTAAAACTTACAAAACTGACAGACATGACACTAACAGAAATCAAACGGGGAGCAAACAATGATCTGAACGTGATAGCTAGAACTGAGCCCAATATAAGAGCAACTGGCAGGTGGATGAGATGAGTGATGATTAGGAGCAGGAAAGAGTTAAGCAGGTGATAGGCATGAGTAATTAAGGCCAGCTATCTTTTTGTCAGCAGCGTTTTACCCCCTTGTCGTGTGGATGTCTATTATAGCTCTCTCTTTTTTCACTTTATATTTAGTATTGTATTTTCAGTGTGTTACAGCTGTTTACAGTTAAAAATCTGTTTTTATTTTGTGTCCTTTTTGTTGAATCATAAAGATTGTGGCGATATAGGTCTGCATTATTTTAGATGTTGTTCTAGGCTCCTTTTTACCTGCTGGATGAGTTTTTGTTGTGCTCTTGGATTATTTTCTGTAAACTGAACATTCCTGGTTCACCAATGTTCTGTGCTGATAGGCCTAGGTTGTATAAAAGGGGCTTCACTGAGGTTAACATAAGCCCCAAAGATGATTTGTAAAAACTTCTACACTGATAAAGGCAAATGACTTTATTTCATAGCTATTATTTCATCTTATTCTGTTGGGTCATGATTGATATTCTATCTTCTTACTTTAACTGAAGACTTTGAAGCTCAGGCTTCAAAGCATTTAGACCCCGGTGAGAATAGTGTAACTGAATCAAAGTTTTCTACATTTTTTTATTGTAATTTTCCCCCCGAAATGTTTAAATGCTTTAAAAAAATATATTCTAGTATGTAAAGGTTAATAAACTTGATCACAAAATACAATCTCTGCCACTTCAACAGAGATAAGTAAGAGATAAGGTGACGTAGTGATCATAAAAAGCTTACATTCAATGATTTTTTACAGTTTTGTCACCTTTTTCTCAGAGTTAAATAGTCTAAAATTCACCAAGAGTAGACTGTGACTTAAATGCTTAAATGAAAACCTGCTCTCTCTGCCTCCTCTACATCGAATTACCAGCCAGAAGTGAGTAGGAGAAGAATTATCAGTGTCAGCCTCCCGTCAGCCCAGCCTGCTTTAATTAAATCTGTGCAAATTACTGGGACAGGTGTCATCGTGTATTCATGCGTGCAAACTTTGTCAGAAAGTCCCTGAGTATAAGCATCCGTGTGACTTTCTTTCCTTTCCCTGAGCTCAGTCATCTTGCAGGAACATACTAACTGTCCCATTGACAGCCCCCCCGACCGCTTCCTGTGGCTCTTTCCAGCACTCCAGCAGATCAAGCGGTCAATAATGCAGCACCAGCATTGTCGACCGCCTTTGTTTGCGCAAACAATCAGGAGGAGAGTGAGGTGGCTCTGCTGGATGATACCAGAAATACCTGTAACCAGCCTCTATTTGCCTCATTTTAGGCTTTTGCTTTAATAGTGCAAAGCAGGTCAGATTGCTTTTACCGTAAGGGCCTGTTTTATGTGTCCTGTTCGAGTTTAAACCGTGTGACAGACTGCATTGTTTGCAGACAGGTTGTAGAGACGACCATCAATCATCTGGCTTTTTTTGTCAGTGTTTTGCACCAGTGCATGTTTGCTTGGACCATAATGAGACAGACAGTCGCATAGCCTACTTCTGAATTATACATGTTCCGCATACTGTATCACTCCAAGTTCTGAGGAAAGCACATCACAGCAGAATCACTTCATACTGCTTCTGCCTAAGTGCGTGCTACATATTCATGGGTTGGTATGTGAGAAAGCTACATGTGAATGTGTGTGAATGTCTCTGAGAGCTGCCTGTGAGGTCGGATTTTTTATTTTTTTTTGCATTTTTCTTCCTTTCCTGACTTTCCCAGGACAGATTCCTGCCATACTTAGAACCGAGGCCTATAATCGGGTGAAGGGAAAGTTCGAGTTAAACAGTCTCGTGAAGCTGACAAAACCACATTCATTCCCCTGCTGTGACCAGTAGTGATGCCTTGAATATGTTCAGATCCAAGTTTCCTTCGCTCAGGGGGGTTGCTGCTTCGGTTCACATATGTTTAATGGATCTGGACAAGATTATATTATTCTGCGAGCAGGGCTACAAGACTATAGGATACCCATGTTACTTCATGGGCTATCAATCTTCTAATGTACCGTTGCTTTGGCCTGGAACCAAAGGCAGCCTCTTGTCACAGATCCTGTTTTTGGTTTTCTTCGTGATTTTTATGGACGCTTTGTTTTTTTTTCAACAAATAAAAAAAAATTTAGGGGGTTGAAGTCATCATATCAATATTGTGCTTCTGATCCTCCTTTTGGAGGCAGCAAAATATCCATAACTAGTGATAGACCGATAACTTGGTCAATACATGCATAAAAATTTCTGACTACCTCATTCGAGTTAAGGTGCTTGTTTATTTGTCTGTCCGTCTCACTCTGTACAAAAGGAACGTATGAATGGAATTTTAATGACATTTTTACCAAAGCTGCACCTCAGTCCAAGGAATAATTCATTAACTTTTGGTAATGATCCACATCTTAATCCACATGCAGGATTTATTTTCAGCATGTAACTGAAGGAAGAAAAAGCAACACTGGTTTAAAAAATTCCTCCCCTAAAAATCCGCAGCACATATCAGGGATCATTTAGACTAATGTCCAAATAAATTGCATTAGTCTTAAAAAACTTGTGTCACTTGATCTATGACTATGACTGCTATGGACTATAAGTGGTGGTAATATGGAACAAGAGACAGTTAATGAGACAGAGTAGGAGGTAGGTAAGTAGTTTGGGGTTTCCTTTGCAGCCATGCATGTGTCTCTCCTGTCCGTCATGGTTAAGAAAGACTCGAGCCTAAAAAGCAAAGCTCCCAATAAAGAAATGTAGAAGCTCCACTATCCTTGGGGAACTCAAGCTAAGGCACTTTTCCTCCAAAGGGAGCAGCTGTGATGTCCAGGCTTGTATCAGAACCCTCCAAGCATTGCTTCTCCTTGATTATATCATTCAAAACTGGATTTTTAGCCCATAAGTACTGTTTGAATTTAACCTTAACAAAACTTTGGAAGCAAGGCTTTTCTAGCCCATTTAATCAACACATCACATTATCAGCTGTGTTATGGGGGATACTACCTTGATATCACCTATGGAGAAGTGTTTTCTGGTTTGAGAAACCTCTGAAACCTGGAAACAGGATGAAACATCTGTCTGGGTTACCCTACTGGACCTTTCATCCCTGTGATTTAACCTCATATAAGCAAAGAACAGCAATTATTCTAATTAATCTTATTATTCTCTCTGCCCCTCCTTACAGGATACTGGGTTGCACGCCATTTCTGGTGGTGTCTTACTTCTACCTCTGGTTTGTCCCTCCCTTCATCACTGGCAGGTTCATCTGGTACCTGGTCTTCTACTGCCTCTACCAAACACTCATCAATGTGAGTATGCATGCCTCTTTGGAAACAGGACATTGAGGAACTTTTGAGACTGCAGAATGATGCTCTCATCATCTCAGACATGAGGCAGAAGTGGAAAGGAAACAATTGATGAAAGCCCTGGCTGATTCATCCCCTGATCTATATTAGATACTCTAGAAATGAACTGGAGCCAAAAGTTTCAAATATCCCTGTTAAATGAGGAGATGATTGCAGATATCTGATGCCTTACTCTGATAGACTGATTTATGAGATAAGCAGCAATGCAGAAACCAAACATGTTTAAAAATCTCACCTCAAAGGGAAAGTAGACTTCCCTCTATTGGCTCTTGTTTATGAGGTTTGGGATTTTCTCCATTTCCCCCTTTTTTTTTCATTGCTGCTCTCGTGCAACCCCTATAACATGTGCTACAGCTCATTTAGACCGCTGCACCCAAACTGCGGTCAGCTGTTACAGCGTATAACTCTAACTACTTGATAAGTACACAGTCATTTCTGCCCGGAACCTCTTGCCCTGTAAATGCTAGTTGCCACTTTTAGCTTCCCTTCATTGTCTATGGCTGTGTTTGTGTGAAGTTTTGCTTCTATCATTCAAAACGTCCCAGATTGTAAACAGAAACCAGTCTGCAATGAGTTCTTTGTTTGTGTAATCAACTAATAATGGGTTTGCACCAAATGAATAACTTCTCACTTCCACCTCTGTGCAGAAATTTGAAGCCGGGTTGATTCTATAAATGTTTGCATCCAGTAAAAGGTTTATAAATGACATGCTGCACAAGAGCAAACACTGGAAGAAAAAGCTTTCGCGGCCGCATTTATTTTGGTTGTTGGCTGTGCAGGCTCATTTGGCCGCAGTGCTGACTGAGCCCTTGAGTAAATTACAAAGTGAGGCTGGACTATGGTTGCTTGGCTATTCTCTAGAAAAGGTGGTGAAGAGGAAGAAAAGAGATCCCAACTTGGCCGATATGGAAAATGCAGAGATTGCTTTTGATAAATATATAGTGGAAAATTTGTTCTTGTATTTGCGTTTTTTTGTAAACATGTTGGATAAAAAGGCATCCAGTATGTCATTGTGGAGCCACTTTGTCCATGCAGCTATTTAAAGCTGGACTTGAGCATAAAGCGTTTAGACCTTTTTTAAGGTTGGAATCCTAACTGTTTCAAAGAGGCAGTCATGTAGGACAGCTGACAGCTGCCCCATTTCATCAAGGTGCAAAGGGTGTTTGTGTTTTTTCTACTTTCACCCGTTTTTCTTCAGTTTGTTTGGTTTTCAGTATGTAACATGTATGGAAATAGCAAACCCGCCAGTACATAACATCTTATTGTCTTGATGTTTTGCGGAAGCAGGAATGACATTTCTCACAATCAGAGAATGCTTTGCATACCTAACTAGTTGTGACTTGATATTAACAAGTTGGCTGCACCTCAGGAGTTGTTTATACTAAATCTGTACGCTCTAAAGCCAAGATATATTCTGTTTAGTTTGGTGTATTTATGATTCATTCAGATCAATTGAAAAGAATGATTTTTTTTTTTGGTTCAATTCAAACATATTTGGTTCACTTCAGTTTTAATCAGTTCAATTAAATTAAGTTTAAACCTTTTTTGTCAATTTGGTTCTGTTTAGTTGAATTCAGTTTAGTTTTAACAACTTCCGTTCAGTTTATTTTCAACCTTGGTGTTATTGTGTTCAGTTCAAATTGTTTTGTTTTCATTAATTCAGTCTAATTAAACTAAAACCCAGCCATCCATTCTGCTTATCCACTGTACAGGTGGCCGGTTCCTCACAGGGCTTATTGAATTCATTGTCCTCTGTTTTAGTTTCGGTCACGTTCATTAATTTTATAAGTTTAAGTTTAGTGATAATTTACTAAAATACAACAAAATTCATTGATACTTTTCTTAAAAAGCTTTGCAGTCAGTTAATTGCAACTCATTTTTTAACATAAGGACAGATCTAGCAGAATCAGGTTCAGAATGGAGAGCTGCTTGCATTGAACTGCTGACATCTTGCACAATGATCACTGTGTGTCACGAGCCCCTAAGATCATCACTTACCCCTCACACCCCCACCATGGACTGTTCTTCCTGCTGCGCTCTGGGAAGAGGCTTCGCAGCAGGACCAGCAGGTTCTGAAACAGCTTTTTCTCTGCTGCCATCAGACAGTTGAAACTCTAATCAACACGCCGTATCACACTTGAAAACGTCATATTTGCACTACCACCATGGTTGTTTTTTTCCCTTATCCCTTTAAATAGAGCACAACTCAATGTTCTACTGCATTTTATGCACCATAATTTGCTTTATTTTGCACTGCACTGAACATTTCCATATCAATGCCCTCAGCACCATGACTTTAAAAAGGTTTTTCTTTTTTCCTACACTGTCTACATTACATGATCACTGCCTCACTTTATAAGATGGTAATGTTCATTTCACTGTTGCAAGCTGCGAGATGTTGTATGCATTGAAATGTAGTTTTGCATACACTCTGTGTATACAAAATGACAAAGTTTGTCTAAGTCTAAGTAGTATGCTAAGGAAAATGTGGTAAATTAAATTTAATAAACTGTTAGACATTTTTTTTATTTTATCACTGTGTGATATGCATTTATCTCAACATAAAAAACTACTTAGTTATTTGCTTTGTTTTTAATGTGTTGTTATTGTTATGTTGTTCTTTTGTCAGTTAAAGTTGAATAATCAAAGTAAAGGTAGTCAAATTTTTCTTTCTGCTGCTAAGAAGTTGTTATATCCTTCTTGCCTGATTCCTAACGTAATGTTTTGTTCCTTTGCAGTGTTTCCACGTGTCTTATTCTGCTCTCACCATGTTTATCAGCACAGACCAGAAGGAAAGGGACTCAGCCACTGCTTACCGTAAGGTTTTTAATTATGCAAGGATTTCTGACTGTATGCGTTCACCTCAGATGCTTCTTTGACCGAACAGGGTTGAGATAATAAAGATCTTTGTTTTTTGTATATTGACAGGAATGACAGTGGAGGTGATGGGAACCCTTTTGGGTGCCGCCATCCAGGGCCAGATTGTGGCCAGTGCTCACACTCTGAAGCACTGCTCCACTCAAAACATGTCTGGCAGTTACCTTGGAAACAGCAGCGGGGCAGAGATCGTGAAGAGCCTGCACTCTCAGGAGTACCTGTCACATGCAGTAAGTGTCTCTGTGCCAACCCAGGAGCTCAGGTGTGCTAAAAATGGGGCAAAGAGTTGGTTGGAAAATATCAAGGTCTGTCATAATGATCATGTCGCTAAAGCTGGAGCGGTGGTTTCAAGGTCGTTCATGTTGTGCAAAAAAACAAAACAGCAAAGAGTAAAAAAAAAAAGAGTTGAATGAAAAGAGAGATTGTTTCAGATTGGCTCCATATTTACTGACTGTCTGCGAGTTCTGACATTGGAAATATGTCAGTGTTTTAACCCGTGTAACCCAGGGGACTGAAATGAGACGGCTTTGTTTGATATCTGAGGCGGCATCCCGGGCCTGCTCCCCGTTTACGACCACAAAAGGGGGCTCCTCCCTCACATCGGGGTCCAAAAGCAGCCCCAGTGAACTGTGTAGTCTCTGCAGCCTGCAAGCCATTAGACTTATTTATGTTTCAACCAGAACATTTCAACAGACCCAAGATGTAGCCTGCAAAAAAGTACAGCTGAAAGGTATTGACACCCTATGAAAATTCCTTAATAACCCATTTTTGGATTTAAAGTGATGGACAAATGCAAATTAGTGCATAATCATGGGATGAAGCAACATGATAAAGGATTTCTGAATTGGTTTATTAGAAAATTACCAGTATGTTATTAAATATCAGGGTAAATAAGGCTGTTCTGTGAGGATCTCTGTTGTTTTTCAGTTAATATCAGTAAACAAACAGCCTCATGGAATTTGGAAACACCACCAACAGGTCAGAGCTAATATGGGTCCTGGATAAAAACCTTTTTGAGACGACAAAAGAACAACCTTAACCATATCCAGAATTTTTTTGGGACCTTATAAATCAGAGGATGATTGTCAAAATTCAAAACAAAAACCTATTGAAAATGATTTTGTTAGAGACTTAAAAATTGATTTTAAAAGAGATTTTAACAATCTTAATAAACTGAGTTGTTAGTTGTTTTGCAAAGAATAATAAATGCAAACATTTCAGTTTCCAGTTAGAAACTATTGCCATAAAGCATGCCTCACAATCAAATATGAATCTTAATAGAATGCACAAATTTTTGTTTCTCTTGGTTGCTCAAATTCCCATAAAACTGAAAGGAACTTAAGTAAAGTCAGCACCAAGCTATCAGGAACGCTATTTCAGCTTGCAGAGCTGTGATTAAACACAAAATGCTGCGCAGGATTCATCATGGGAGTTTTTGTGTGGTAAAATGTCCTGTGCTGGATCTCACCGCAGCTGTTTGGGTTTCAAATAGGTCTTTTCCAGTGGATTTTGGTTGAACCCTATTGGGGCGATACCGCTTACCACTCCAACCCCATCTACAGCCAGCCGCTAAATTCCCCCTGCGGTTGCTGGCTAGGGTGGCACACCGTCTGGGCGAACTCCGTCTGTCCTCGGAAATAGCAAGTGTTTGATGTGCGTAAATAATAAAGAACCAGTGGGCTGAGCTGAATGGAAAAATAGCAAACAAACACAAGTTGTTTAAGGCAGAGCAGTTCCTGTTTGGGGGGCTCACTGCATTAAACAGTTACGTCTGTATTTTTGGATGCAGATGCCCTTGGGGTTTGTTTTCTTTGGTTGGAGCTGTTTGTGCACTGAAATATGCAGCTCAGGTTGGGTCGCTCCAATCCACACTGAAAGTTACAGGAAATAAATCAGCCACTTTTGACTGACACTAAATAACTGAATAGGACAAAGTAATTGCTATAATTGCTGCCTTTGTTTTTCTGAGAAAATGAATGTTCCCACTCCTCTGAGGACTTTGAATTATGAAGAACTCGACAGACTTGTTTTTTTTTCTGTGGAAGAAAAGACAGATGTAGGCCATGCAGCATATTTGTTCTCTGTCTGTGCAGAAGGAGGTCTACATGATAGCAGCGGGTGTGATAGGAGGGGTGTTCCTTCTCTGCACCGTGGTGATGTTCCTGGGAGTCAAGGAGAGGGAAGGTGGGATCTCTCATTAATACTCCTTACATGTGATTCCACTTTGAATCATCAGTGTTACATTTATATATAAAATGCATAAAAAAAAAAAAACTAAAATATGTGCTTTATAACAGTGTTGCAGTCAAGAACTAACCAACCAATATTTAGAGGCAGAGACCAAGACAATAAGACTTATATGGTCTTGGCCTCGTTACTCCTTGGTCTCGGTTGGTGTGGTCTTGACTGCAACACTATTTTATAATCCACCCAGCAATCATAAAAATGATAGAACATATATAAAAGAAGCAAAACTCATTCGGCTTTTTGAAAGAAAAAAAATGGATTTGAATCAGGAGAAAAGAAATTAATTTGTATGTACCCAGAGGAACATTTTTAGTTAAATTTTGAGCATATATTTCCTTAACTGAAGCTAAAACTATTTCTGCCCAGCAACCAGACGTTTATTATACCATAAATGATAGCTTGAACAGACACAACCTCTAACCGCTACATTGCATAGCAGTTCCAGTAATACCAGTGAATAAATCTATGGCTTTTACTCTCCAGCATGTTATCTGATAGGCTGCATATATTTATTCCACATCCTTTAGATCCCTACGGCCCAAAGACGGAGAAGCAGATTCCTTTCATGCAGGGCTTCCTCATGGTGATGAGGCACGGTCCGTACCTCATCCTGACAGCTGCATTCCTTCTCATCACCGTCGCTATTCAGGTAAATGTAATTATGACACACTGGGGGACATTCCACTGCTTTCAGTGGAAGCGTTCCTGCATCCTGACAGCGTGGGAGCATTTGTTGTGTGAGATATGTAGGAGAAAACTCATCGAAAGCTTGTTATTTGGTGCATATGTTCAGCTCCTGGGTAATCTTGACAGGACTTACTGTTCGGAGCATCTGGTACTTACACAGTGTTTATATTATAGGAGACTTCCCAAGTTTTCTGGATTGTATTTTTTTTAAGTTTTGGGTTGTCAGCTGTCATCTATGTGAGTGTCGGAGTGGGAATAAATCAGAGCAGAACCCTGTCAGCAGCTTCTCCAGGCACTTTGTTTGGCTCTGCAGGCTGAGTGTCCCATCGACTGCTGAGTAAACAAGGCTGAATATCTGAATGTTTTGTTTTGTTTCCACAGCTCATTCAGAGCAACTTCGTGCTTTTCTGCACTTACGCTGCCGGCCTTAGGGAGCACTTCCAGAACATTGTGCTGGTCATCCTCGTGAGTCACCAGATTAATTTCTTTTTCGGACACAAGATTTGGACATAGTCTAACATTTCTAACCAACCATACAGAATCCCATAAATAATTCTCATTTTTTGGGCATATTTTCTATATTATCTATACAGATTTCTGCTGTCTTGAGCATCCCATTCTGGCAATGGTTTCTTCAGAGGTTTGGAAAGAAGACAGCAGCTTTCTGTGGTATCACCGTAAGTAAACTGGTTTAATTTTGGTAGTGGTGAACTCGGTTTTTTGGACGATCTTGTGGATGTACCAAATCCAGCTATGGCATTTGCATAAAACCAAACCCCGTGTTTGTTTGTATCTTCAGTGGATCATGCCCTTCACCATGTTGCTGGTGTTCATCCCTAACTTGGTGGTGGCTTACATCGTGGCTGTCTCCTCTGGGCTCAGTGTCGCTGCATCGCTGCTGCTGCCATGGTGAGGCCTCTTAGAAAACATCCGTTAACATTTCTATAGATTTTATAAAAGTGATACCCAGCTTTCATCCCTGGCTAGAATTTGCAAACTGTACTCTAGCTTTTTATTCTGCTTTCGTTGTATTGAGCTGGCAGCTTTCCAACTTCTGCTGCCATCATCTTCATGGTGTTTTTCTTTATCTCTGTGTCATGATGCTTTCAAGAGATCTGACCCACATGCAGAAAACCACTCAGAGAACCAGGGAAAAAGTTTAACAGGTTTAACGTTGGATGGCGGACAGGTTGGTTTTGGTTGGACCCTGAGGAGCAATTGAGCGGACTGCCACTTGAATTTCAGTGGGGACTTGAACGGGACATGTGGAGGTTTTTCCCCTGCTTAGTGTGAACACAAACGATCCTTCCAGCGGGAGAAGGCCAAACATCAAGTTTGCAGGAAGGCTTCCTGCCAAAAGGCAAAGACAAAAACAAAGTTAAACTCAGCGAAACAAAGGCTCAGATAGACTCAGCTAATCTCAGTTTAGCTAGAGTACCCAAAACTGGCAAACACTCCGGCGTCGAGGTCGTGGCAGTCAACAGCTCAAATACTCCTCAGTGATGAACCAACGAGCCGCAGGTGTGCAGGAGGACCAACGAGGACAGGGCACCACCTGGTGGTGGAGGGAGAGAAAAAACACAAAAACAACCCACACAAACTGGATTCCTAACACTCTGGGGTTATTTTAAACTTTCTTCAATGTATAATCTCTTTCACTGAGCAGCATAATGTTTTGGATGATCTTATGCTCCTTATATTTGCCCAGATGCTTCAAACAAATGAACATGGCGCCTTCATGCATTTGGAAACAGTACCCAACACTGAACCAGACTAGCAGAAGCTATGTCTTTCCTTTAAATTGATGTGAGAAATGTCAGTTAAACTCACTTGGTGTGAATTAACTTGTTTGAAGGCATATATCTAATGTAAACTGAATATGGAGTATTAGAAGTTTTTAGAAATATATTTGTTAATTTTTCTGGTATTTATCAATTAGAGCAAATTCAACCTAAAAACAAAAAAAAGTTTCTTCAGATTTACGTAAAATCGAACAGAGAAAAAATAAAAGCCATTTTTTTTATCTTTATAGCTAATTCCACACATAGAAGCAGAGCCTTCCTTACACTCATGTCTTGTTTTTGATTTGTCAATGTGGAACAGTGAGCAATAATGCTAGGTTAATGCCAACCCATTAACATTCGTTGATATAGCTCATTCATAATTTGTATCATGACTTATTTTAAAGCATTTCAGTAAAAAAAATATATATTTCACTTTTAGTTTAAAAGTCATAAGTAAAAGTTATATTTGTCTTAAACTGAGGTCTATCTGTATAGCAGCTAAAATGAACAAGGCAGGCAGGAAGCTGCAGCAGCGAAGACAGTCTCTACTTCACTGTGAATTTCATTCATATCGTGAGATGCAAGAAAATATGGTTAGATACTTCGTCAAAGAAACTGGGTTTACAACCAGAGACCCTTTTGTTTCAGCACCCCCTGCTATGTCTTCATTGCTGCCAACTGCTTCTGTCTCTGTAAAGATCTTTTAATTTAATTCAAGCTTTTTATCCATCTTTTTACCCCAAAAAGTCATTAGCATTACCTCCAAACGGCTCTGTCCAGTTGAATGAAGGAGATAGAGTCTGTTGTAAACCTTTCACTCCATCTCAGGGCTCCCACAAGACACAACTCCGGAGGTATCCTTACATCTGCCTCCCAGACGGTTCTATGGCTGTCACCGCTCAGCACCCGTCGCTCTCCTCCTCCTTTTTATCTGAAATTATAGCCTCCCATGGGGGGGGCATGTTTACTTTGGAAGAGGCCAAATGTTTTTCTGCCTGTGGTCCTCTGATTCCGCCCGCTGCTCATCATCTGATCATGTTATTAGCTCTGTAGTTTTAGGAACCACTATATGGGGGATCCTGAAGTTGGCATGACATTAACCATTTTCTAACATCTTTAGTGGTTTTGTAAGGAAATAAGGTAAAAGCATCATCTGAAAGTGTTGCCAAATGTATGAGTTTTTGACATTTTAAGGGATGCTCCCAAAGTCCATCATATAACTCCCGTCAGAGCTGTGTGTTTATTATTGTGTGCATGTGTTTCAGGTCTATGTTACCAGATGTGGTAGATGACTTCAGACTGCTCAACCCCTTCTTTAAAGGCCATGAAGCCATCTTCTACTCATTCTACGTTTTTTTCATCAAGCTTGCCGTCGGCATCACCCTGGGAGTGTCCACCCTCTGCCTGGAGTGAGTCTCCATTACTATCTGACATACAGGAATGCAAACAGTACATCTGTAGCACAGTTACAGTTCAGGATATAGGGAAATATGATCCGCTTTTTCCTAAGCCTCCATAGCAAGGGGGAAACTTAATTTTACATCCTAATCGGTACTTGACTAAAGCTAATATGTAAAAGGGGGAAAAATTAAATGCGTCCAAATTTTCAGCAGCTTACTAAACCTCATTAAATACTTAAAGCTACAGTGTGTAATTTTCAGCGACATCTAACGTCCAGACTGCAGACTGCAGCAAAATGAACGTCTCCCCCCCACCGCTTCTCCCCCCCAACAGTACGGCAAGCGTTAGGGGACAAAATGTCTTCCACGACGTCGGAATCACCTACCTTCTCAAGTGATGAGGTTTGTTTACATAGATAATTTTACAGATAGTATTTCATTAGTCTGTGTAGGGTATAGATTTCATGTAGACTTTAGATAATAAATATACCCGTTATTTTTTCTACATCGTTGTGACGTTTTCTTGTCTGTTTGATTTGTCAATCTGTGGAAGACAGTGACATATGCGGGTTGTCAATGCCACCATTAACATTCCAGTTGATATAGATCATCAAATTGTATCATGCTATTTAAAGCTTGTTCAGTAAAAAAATACTATATGTTCACATTTAGTTTAAAGTCATAAGAAAAGTAAATTTGTCTTAAACTGAGTTATCGTGTATAAGCAGTAAATGAACAAGGCACGGCAGGATGCTGAGCACAGAAACATCTCTACTTCAAATGTGGAATTCATTCAAAGTGGATGCAAGAAATGATGGTTAGATACTTCTCAAAGAAACTGGTTACAACCAGAGACCCTTTGTTTCAGACCTGCTTTATTGTCCATTCCATTGTGTCAATGCTTCTGTCTCTGTAACAAGATCTTAATTTCATCAAGCTTTTATCCATCTTTTAACCAAAAAGTCATTGCATTACGTCCAAACGGCTCTGTCAGTTGAATGAAGAGTAAGTCTTTGAACTTTCACTCCAATCAGGCTCCCAACAAGAACAACTCGGAGGTCCTACATCTGCCTCCCAGACGGTTCTATGGTGTCACGCTCAGAACTCGTTCTCCTCTTTAGCTGAATTAGCTCATGGGGGGCCATGTTTCTTTGAGGGCCAAATGTTTTTCTGCCTGTGTCCCTGATTCAACGCCAGCGCACATCACAGATATGTTTTAGGCCTGTATGTTCTTCAGTGAACCACTATTTCTGAAGTGAGCATAATTACATTTTCTAACATCATTTGAGTGTTTGAATGCAAACAAGTGCCAAAAGTACCATATCTGAAAGTGTTAAGCCAATGTATAGTCTTTCTTTAAGATGGCCCCAAATCCACTATAACTCCTCAGAGCTGTGTTTATTATTGTGTGCTGTGTTTCGGTCAGTTACAGATGTGGAGATGAACTTCAGACTGACCAACACCCTTCTTAAAGAGCATAAGCCACTTCTACCATTCTACTTTTTTCAAGTTGCGTCAGGCATCACCCTGGGGTGTCCAACCCTCTGCCTAGAGTGAGTCTCACATTACTATCTGACTACAGAATGCAACAGTCATCTGTACAAGTTACAGTATCAGGCATATAGGAATATGACGCTTTTCCTAAGCTCCATAGCAAGGGAAACTTAATTTTACATCTAATCGGTACTTGACTAAAGTAATATGTAAAGGGGAAAAATTAAATGCGTCCAAATTTTCAGCATTATAAATCCTGATTAAATACTTGAAGCTACAGTTGTAATTTTCAGCAATCTAACGTCAGACTGCATGATGCAGCAATGAACGTCTTCCCCACTGTGTCATTTGCTCCCCAACATCGGCAAATTAGGACAAAGTTTACAGTCGAAACATTCTAATATATGAGTTTGTTACTAGTAATTTTACAGATATATTTCATTAGTCTGTGTAGTATAGATTATGTAGATTTATGATAATCATACCTTATTTTTTCTACATCGTTGTGAGTTTTGGTGAGCTGATTTGCATGGTGATATAAACAGACGAAGGAATTGTAGTCATTAGTTTAACAGCAAGATTGTGTTCGCTGGAAGAATATATATTCCCCGTTTACAGAGTCCAAGTCTTGTTTGTGGCACGGGGGTTACAAGGTGAGGAAGAGGGCGAGGAAGAGGGCAGAGAGGCCGGGGTGGGCGTGCAGCTGGGGCCAGGCGAGAGAGGGGAGCCAGCGGGGTGAGAGCAGAGGAGGAAAGGCTTGAAGATCTCCAAAGGAGCCGGAGAGAAGTAACCGAGGTATATATGCAGAAAATTATTTTACAGAAAATTACTGAATCATTACCTGTGAAACGTCAGGGACGTTGCTGAATAAGTATACTGGAGAGTAACAGCATCATCACGCAGCATGTTATTGTTTTAGACAGGTCTGAGCATCCTGTACTCCAAAAACTGCAGTGATATTAGACAATTGTGTGTGTAGGATTAATTACCTGTCCAAGAGAAAACTGGCAACTTGAGCGTCACTTTGAAAACCTTTTTCCTCCATCAGTGACTTCCATCGTGTAAATGCCGTGCCAATGTTGATCCGTGTTTTTTGTCGTTTCTTGTCACGCTTGCGTTTATTCTCGTCGTGTTTCCGCTTCTTAGATGACGGGGGTTCGGTGCCCGCCGCTTTTCGTTGTGATACAGAGTAGGCATGATCCTCCATTCGTCTGATGTTTGGCCACACAGTGCCAAACAGTTTGCAAAGTCACTCGCGCCTGCCGCCTTGTTCACCTTTCTTGTTACTGAGGCGCAGTATACCTGCTTCTTCTTCTTCTTTGGTTTCAGGCAGACTAAACGCTTCTCAGGCATAGTACTGCCATCTACTGTTCAGTACCGTCTCAGTTAATCTCTCTCAACTTGCCGTAGTTATTTTCGAGCGTAATGGGCGATCTCGCAATCGCTAGTTTGTTGCCTCTGCGCTTGCCGTAGCGCAAAGATGTCAGCCTCCATGGCTGCGAGACCCGCTCCTATGTAATTATAAATAACGAATTCTAAGGCAACGCAAATATTATGGTTAAATGGCTGAGCTCATAGGTGATGATAAATAACATAGTTATGTATAATATATTAAATTTCTGACTTTATATGCCTGTAATTATTACACACTGTAGCTTTAAGGCTTAAAATAATTGTGTCTATTGATCATTATCAGAAATTTAAAGAAGCTTAATTTGTTTAGAATCGGCTTTTAAAAGGTTAAGAATCTTTATCAGCCTCAGGTATCGACAACTGTTATTTAGTTGTATATTTACAGATTCTGTCAGTCAATACAGCTGCAGATTTGGTTTCCTTTAAAGAAACTAGAATCATTTGGAGAATACGTTTATGTTTGACTTTCTGATTCTTACGTGACAACACTTGTTTTTTTAGTTTTAAGAACAAGTGTATATCATCACTCTCCACCAAAAAAGTTCCACATTTATTTTTATGCAAACGTGAAGGAGAGTTATGGTCAAAGATCTCTTATAGTTTTAGAAATAGAAAGGGAGAAATGTCCTCACAGCACACAGTTAAAAAGATTAAACTGTACCTTTATTGCATAGCATTGCTGGTCCAAACTCTGCACATGGGCCATAATCATCAATTGTCCCGAAATCTTTGGCCGCTTTTCTCTTTTCTTGGTCAATAAAATATTCATTCATTTTTTTTTTTAATAATAACAGAATATGGGACACTTTTTATTTGGACGTGGGTAAGGTATGTTCAAATCTGCCTCTGGGTAAAAGTCATTGGGCTGTGCTATTTATTATTATATCAATAGGCAACCTGTCCATGATGTTCCCTTGTTAAAAAATGGGCACTAACTGATTTGCACCCTTCTTTAAATTGAGGCTCCTGCTGCAGAAAATGATTCCCAGAACATTGTAGCTAAACTTGGAGACCAGATTTCTGCATTTTGATTTGTTGCTGGAACCATATTACAATCATTTTTGTTTCTGCACAAACCAGATTTACGGTATCAGGCTAGTTGTTGCTTCTTATGTTTTGGATTTTAATAGATCCTGTGCATCTTTGTAGGTTTGCTGGATACAAAAGCGGCGGCTGCAAGCAGCCCCCTCCTGTGGTGTACACCCTGAAGCTGCTGATCGGCGCCGCACCCATAGCCTTCATCGTCACAGGGTTAATGATCCTGGTCTTGTATCCCATCAACGAAGACATACGGCGCAGGAATAAACTCTGTCTGGAGGAGCTACGGTGTGTAGAAATCATTAATGCACAACTGCGGGAAAAACTCTAATCCTTCAACTCTGTCCCACCTTTCAACCCTGCGAACAGCAACAAACTGTTGTGAAAGACTTTCTGTAAAAACCGGTGGGAAGGGGAAATGCTGCTGTTGTGTGGTAGCAGTATGAGAGTGAACGGCCAATGTAAATACTCAGGTGGAGTACAAGCATCTTAAAGATTCAGCATCTTGACACGATTAGTTAGATGAAATATTTAAGATTTATGTGCCCTTCTTCTTGGTATTCATTTCTTCATCAACCTGCTCACAAAACCTTGCAAGAACAAATCAAAGCAATTTGCAGGAACCTTTTTACAGTAATTTCATTAAGAATCATACTTTTTGTGAAAGTATCTGACCAGCTTATTTTGCTGATAGATGATCAGTTATTTCTCTAATCACCAAAGAGCTCCGCTAATTACAGAGGACCAAAAGTGCCACAATTCAACAAATACTTTATGCGTAATAGCTTAAATAAAATAAAAAAAATCATAAAATATTTTAATATTTATAAAAAATTGTCCTGAATTTATAAAGGTTGTAATTTAAACCATCAAAGTGTAAATTGTTAATTCAAACCAGACTAAACCAAACTAAATTGCAAAGTAATGTTATTGTCAGTAAAATACTTGCCTTTAGAGAGACTCCTTTTTTTTTAATTCTTTTTTTTACTACGTTTTGAAGTTGCAAAGTCAAAGTTTGGACCCAGGGATTCAGAGTATCAGAGGAGGGAAGGTAAAGATTAGGGTGATGGCAAGGAGGTTTTCCAGCCACAAAGATTCATGGGAAATAATTAATGGTCAAAGCTACAAAAAAAAGCTGATAAGCAATTCTACCTAGCAACTGATTGCTTTTAGATCAGTAAACACTTTACCTCACTGACTGAGCTAGATATGAATAGATTAGAACTTTTTGAGATTCCCCATTTCGTGTTCATCACAAAAAATCATGTCAGAATAAAAACTAATCTATTTTTCTTGAATTGTGGCACCACTGGTCCTTAGAGCAAATAAGAGCAGAACTGCACTGCCATTTTTGGTTTACCCAGATATCCCTCAATCAGTTAGCGTCTGATCATATTGTCTTAGCTGAATGTAAATCTTTACTTAGCAGAGATTGTGAGCGCTTTGGAAAAGGATTTGTTCTTCGTTTTCCGACAAATGAATCTTCCTGCCTCCTGTCTCGTATCTAAACATGTCATGAACAAATATCAACGATTGCAGGATTTGTATCCAACTGCTTGATTTCTTGCACATGTATGTTGTAAGCTGTGGCCAAACAACCGAGTCTAATAATATGAAAACATTTTACCTCGTGTATACTAAAAAAAAGTTCAGAAAACCTGTATTTTTACTTTCTACCCATGCTATGAATGTAGCAGCTCACTGATACTGATGTCTCTCGCAGGAAGGAAAGCATTGGCTCCACATCTATGGAAGATTTGAGTAACGCATGAACGGGATGTTGGAGTGAATTCACAAAGCCACGGATTCCAGTCATGAGGCTGGAAGGTTGCTCTTTGGTGTATATTACACTGTCAAACAGGGAAATGGTTTTAATGTAAACATTTGTGTTTTATTGCCACATGTACTGTACAGTCATCTTGAATATATATATAAACATATAATTTATATAAATGAATGTATATGATTTGCTGTATTTAACTCTAGGCTGTTATTTATTTATGATACAAACTGCAAAAAAAGATTTGACGACATGAGATGAATAAACGCCGTAGAGACGGAATAGGACCAAGGACATCTGCGGCTCTTGTGTTTCTTTAGAGTGGAGGTGTTGCAGGAGGAAAAACAAAGGGGTACTAGTTGGACAAATATGTATATTTGTTAATAATCATAAATAACATTTACAATTGATTAAAAATAAGTATACTCTCTTTCAAGACTAAGGTTAACTCAGAGCATCATTTTAATAATTTCTTAAAATTGCTTAAATTCTACTTCAAATTAGATGTGAATTACATCTACTTAGTTTTATACATACAGTTTAGTATTTCTATTTCTCTTGCACATTTAAGATTGGATGAATATATTTTTGGAACAATTGTAAGTATCACATTTGTATTACTAATTTAATGGTACATTTCTCACTTTTTTAAAGCAGAAAATGTACTGTTATGATGATTCATGGGGTGTAGCACCATCTAGTGGCCAGATGCGTTACTGCATCCTATAGACTATAGAGTATGAAAGTAATAATTCATTTTTTTTGTGGAAACTGCATTTTATACCGATTAAAAATCCCTTGGGAAAATATGTCAATACTAGCAGGGTACAAATTTTAAGTTTACAGTATACCCTTGAACTGTTTTCTATTGAGGTAGACTAGAACAAGTGTGTCACATTCTCTCAAAAAAAAAAAAAAAAAAAAAAGATAATTTATAAGAGTAATCTCATTTTACTGAAGCAGCATATAAATATACCATCTGAAAGGACAGGTAAAGTATGAACAGTGGTTTTCTGTGGCATTGAGATTGTAAATAGGAAAGTCAAAATGAAACGCTCCTGTGTGAATCTGCACAGTTAGTCAGGAACTAGTATGTGTTGGCCTCTGCGGTTGTCGTAGGGCTTTGGATGGGGGCTGGACTGGATGGGCAGGAATTTTCCGGACTTGCGGGAGTCCGCAGATTAGATTTCCTCTTCCCATTCCGCACGGTCAGTTCATCTTTGGGCTTGAACGTCAGAGGCACAAAGCCATCAGAATCCGCCACAAGCACGATCCACAATGGTCCTGGGAAAGAAAAAAAGGATCCATTTAGTAGTTAAGGGCAGGAATAATTAGTTATACCCCAGCTTAGAGAAGCTACCATTTCGTTCTTCGTTTTTATGTCTAGTTCAACAGAAAGAGGTACTGAACACATGTTTATCTTACATGTTTACCATGTGGAATACCAGAGCAGAATTGAAGGTTGGGTTGTTTTAATCTTTGCTTATAACTTTATGATGTTCAGTCTTAACTGCTGTGAGAAACCTTTCTACACCAAAGAGTTTCTTAGACAAACCATGTTTTCAAATTGACCGTAGACAATGATCCTCTCTCAGAACACTGCTATCAAGGGGAATGGTGTCGATGAAGCCAATGGTAATAAGTACAGAATAATCAAAGCAGTGTGTTTTGTTGGATAAGCCGGATTCAGCAGGATGGGAAACATGTTTAGCAGGATGACTGATTCACCGGACCTCAAGGTTGACACCTATACTTTGTTTTGGTCAGTAGTTTATTCACGAGGAAGGCTACTTCCATTCTGATTGACCATACCTATCCCCTTCACTAGGGCTTCCGCTCTAGGCATCTGACTTAATGCTACCTCAGCAATTTAGAACCTATCTTTTTCTTCACAGCCATCTTTACTCATAATCCAAGCTATCAGAGAAAGTATTTGGGATGGGTATGGAATTTACGTTTAGTTCTAGGTATCCATTTCTGGTACTTACGAATTGTGAGTCAAGTTTGTGTCTCTGCCTTAGCTTTGTGTATTTCAGCAGCTACTATATTTATCTGCAGTAAAAATCTTTGCAAAATATTATGACTGACCAGAACATTTATTGTTTTTGGGTAGAAATTTTTATTTAAATGCTCATGTTCAGTGTTGATTTTGATTAGTGGGTTCAATAATTGTCTGAATAAGCAGCCAGTGAATCACAATGGATCAGGTACCATGCTGTAGTTGGGCCTTAATACCTACATGGATCTCTGCATTGTGCAATTGCCCTTAAAGCGCATCTTTCAACTAAACAACCCCAAACATGCCAGTAAGCGACTTGGATCTTGGTTCCAGACCATGCAAGATCAGTGTTATGGAACATATTCTAGAAGCGGTGGTGTGAGCTCTAGCAGGCAGTTTCTGAGGGAGGGAAGTCTTAGTCCAAAAGTCGATCCCCACCAACTGATATAGATCCAAAAAAGGCTTCTTTTTTTTTAATTATAAATTATGAGTTCGTGAACATTTATCCAGGTTCTAGTATACTTGAGTTTGTAAAGAGAGACACTGGCATTGACTTTATGAAAAATCTATTCATTATTAGGGCGGAACAATTTTGCTGATAATCAAAATTGCGATAATTTGTAACCAATATTACGATTGCAATTTTCTCTAGCACTAGCCACAAGCTTGTAGATATTTCCTTTCATGGTGTCCGTTTTTTGTTGCCTTAAAAGCTTTCTTGTCCAGGGTCTATTTTAAAAATCGACTTATAGAAATGGAAATGTCATGAAAGCTGTACAAAACGAAATTTCGTTTTATACAAAAGGACAATAAATGTTGTCTAGTCTGAGTCTAAGTCTTGTTTAAGGACTTTACTTTACTTTAATCTTTGTGTTGAAAACTATGACTTCTACTTACAAGCTATAACTCTAGCTGTAACTCTGAACTTTTCTGTGTGGCAGCAAACATACTTTAAATATATTACTACCACCTACAGGGCTACAGTAAGAAATGTAGTGTATTACTCTTGTTAAATGTAATGTGTCTAAATTTTAGTGCCTCTGGGATTTGAAAATGCATTTTGTTAAATTGCAGTTATATTGCAATTAATTGCCCAGCCCTATTTCTTATTCACATTTTCTTTATTTACTAATCTAGGGAAGTCTTCCTGTTTTGACTTAGAATATGTGTGATGTTCAATTCATTAGTGTTCATAGAATTAAAAACCATTATAGGAATGTTTTGCTTTATATTTCTTACATGCAACTTTTATTTTGAACAAAGATGTATATAAGTCAAACAATAACCACTAGCTGTCCTTTGGGGGCATTCAAATACTCTCGAGTTGATTGCTTTGTTTGTAGAAGAAAACAAACAAGGAATGATAAGCTGCTTTTGTTTTAAACCTCATAATCTGATCTATGCACCTAATCAGTTCTAATAATGGCTGAGGCAAGTAAACAGAGGAACTATGTCAGACCATGTCGCCTAGGTAAGAAAAGATAATTTTTAAAAATAAAATATTTCCAATGGTTGTAGCAAAGTGAAGATCAGTGAAGAGAGAGTCGACCCTGAAACAAACACACTGACGACCCCTCGTCAGAGTGGGGAGGCCCATGAGATTTCCAAATCTACAAATGGAGGGACCTAAGAAGATCTTCTGGTGGTATCCACCGATTAACCCTGTACTCTCCATCACAACACGATTAATCTTATGTGCTATGAGACACAGAGGGCTTTGAAGATAAAGGCAATTTTTGTTTTGAACATAAAAATACAAAAAATATTAACCTAAGAAATTGACACAGAGAATTATAGCCAATGAATTGTTATATTTTCTGCTTTTTGTGTCCTTCTTTAATGATAGATCTGCTTTTCTCCACTTACCGTACATCATCTCCACTACTGTAAGGTTGAAAAGGTCTTGTACGGCTCGTAGACACAGCTTTCCTTCACACAGGAGCACTGGCCTCCTCTCATCAATGAACACATTCTCTGACAACTGCTTCTACATACGAGCAAAGAGCAACATGAAGTGAAAATCAGAAGCATCTCTTGAGTGAAAATGTAATCAGTACGTTGATATAAAGTTGTAATTACAGGACAGCAGGAGTACCATATCGATTATAGTCTAAGAAATGGCATGAAGTGGAAATGACTTACTACCACATTACCTGGCATGTCACATTGATATAAGGTGGATCGGCTGCGTTGGGATAGGCTGTTTGGGCCTTCTTGCCGTTCTGTGTATAATCTCCGATTTCTGTTAGGCACCGCTGTACATCTCCGAAACGTGTAAAAAGTTTTTCCATGTTGTGAACCAGCTGCTCCAGGGAGTTCTCCCTTGTCTGTCCGGATGTTTTCTCAGGCATAGGCAGGGTCGGTGGCTCTGAGTGGATCTTCTCTGATTGCTCGAAGCGAGGGGAACTGGACCGGCTGGAGTCTCTGCTGGCCTGGCCTCCTACTGCCAGGCTGGCCATCCGACTGACGTGGTCCATGTCAAAGTTCTCCGCTGCAATGGAAGAGTTTCTGGACGAGGCTCTTTCAGGGCGCTCAGAGAAGTCCACCGAGCTGGTGATGGGGCTTTGTTCGTTGCTCCTGACCTCTTCCACCAGCCTCCGTCTGTTCCCTGGTGAGCAAATTACCCCTCTTCCAGGCAGCACCAAATCTTTTATCCCTGGGCGCTCCCTATCATCCTTTGACAGGTGCTCTGAGTGCCTCCTAATCCCTGCGCAGAAATTAGAAGACTCATGGTTGATAGCTGAGGGGGATGGTGCGATAGCTGTTCCTCCATCGTATATCAGCTCTTTAGCTGTGAGGCGAAGAATATATTTGTCCGTGTTGGAAGACGGAAGAAAAGCGGGGTCAACAGACTTCTGCCGGCCCACCATCAACAGCAGCACTTTGTCACTCAGGAAGCAGACACCTTTGGGTCTTTCATTCGGCTGGAGAGAAATCTGCTGGATGTTGGGCATAGCAGAGGCTGTGATACAGTACACCAGAACCATGTTGCAGGTATTGGAAGCGACTGCAACTGTGGAGGCACGATGATCAAAGGAAACAATATCCGGTACCAAAATTCCTGGAATGCTGACCTTCCTGCTGGTAGTTACCTTCCGCTCATATGTAACCAGAACGAGGTGTGAGCTGTCCTGTCCCGAACCCGTCATAGTGTCTCTGCGCCGCAAGTGGATAAGAGGGCTGGGGTCTGAGCGACGGTGCCTCGCTAAGAGATGGGTAAGATCAAGGGGGCCCGAGCTGGGGATGTATGATCTCTCTGACTCAAATGACCTCCTCCTTGAATCCAGAACGCTATCATCCTCTGACATGACCACGTGTGAGCCCTGGCCGTGGAGGGATTCAGTCTCGTTTGGCAGGTCAAAAGCGATGCCAGAGTTTAACCCACATAATTTATCAAGTGGTAGCTCTGTGGCCACGGCTACCTGAGCTTCTCCTGTGGCCTCAATTGCACAAATGTACCCCCCTACGTCAAAGATGGGGCAAAAGCTGCATGCCACCAGACTTTTCTGAATGTCATTCCAAATGAAAGAATGAAGAGCGCTTCCTATAGCCACCACAAGGCGCGTGCCATCCTTAGTCCAACAGGCGCAATGAATGAGTCCGCTACCTTTGATGTCTGCTTTGATTCTCCTGTTGTCCACCCTGACGGAAAATAATACTGATGTGTCTCGCTTCGTCAGCACGGCCAGCATGTCCAGCTTCGGATGCCAGACACAGCCTTGGGAAAGCAAAGGGAAGGGCTCGCTCATCTCACAGGTCTGTGTGCACAGCAGCTTGTTCTGCTCAAGGGCACTGAGCTGAAGCTGCCACACCGTAACGTGCTTCTTATGCTGGACAGCCAAGAGAGCAGGAGAGTCCGAGCAGCACAGCGGGCCCCAGAAGAGTCCAAAGACATGCTCAAACTGCCCGATTACATTGGTGTCTCCAAACTTCACCTCGCCATTGAGGAAGTAGAGAGCCGTCAGGCAGACTTGCTTTCCATCTGTCCACGCAATCCCATGTATAGGGTGGATGGCTTGGTGTAGAGTGTTGAGTCCACTTCTAAGCAGCTTTGCCTTTCCAAGATCCATCACGAAAGAACCAAGAAGCTTAAAAAAAGAAAAAAAAAGTAGGAAAATATTTATATAACTCAAAGAGTAATTATTAATGAGAGAGACCTACTTGAGGTGGTCTTGCAAAAGGGTAGCTACTGCTACCTGTGCAGATTAAGAACAGCAAAAGCCTCTCCTGTGTCTCCTCCCAAGTACACGCTTTAATCCCCCTCTGCCTGAGCTGAGGCTGTCGTGACGAACACCTACAGCTGCTTATGCCGGATGACCTTAACAACATACAGTTAGGAGCCCAGGGTATTAACAATGCTTTGAGTGGGTCACTGTACCGTCTCCTTTTTTTTTTAAAGAGATGGAGAAAGTAGTTTGTAAGTTTTAGAGAAAAATATCTTAGTCCTTTCTTTATATAAGGCATATTTAAAATTGGACATGAAAGAAAAAATAAAAATAAGCAGCAGATCTGAAACCATGAGTATGGAGAATTTGCAGCAAATACATAGCAGATAAATGTTTCGAATGTTTAAAGAACATCTTATAAGGGTGTAGTTTAGGGCTGCAACTAATGATTATTTTGCAAATCTGTTGATTTTATTTTTATTAATAATCGGATAGCCAAATGTTCCTTAAAGATTTTATACAAAATGAAACCAGGCGAAACTAAAACTTTTCCACTTGAGAAGTTTTGGATAGGGCATATTGGCAGAGGAAAAAATGTTTTTAATCTTAAATACAAAATGTTTATATATATATATATATATATATATATATATATATATTTTTTTTTTTTTTTTTTTTTTTTTTTACAAATTTGATATAATTACTGCTCTGAGAGGGTGATTCTGTCAGCTAAAGTTTACAGTCTCTATACTCCAGTTAACGATTATTCGATTGCTAAATAAGTTGAAAATTATTACAATAATTGATTAATGATTGATCTGATTTATTGTTTCAGCTTTATATTTGTTCATAGTGCTGAGAAAGCGTAGATAAGGTTTAAACCACATAATATAAATCCAAATAAAGCATTTGATTTGAGTTGCAAAGAATGCGTTTTGTGCCTGAGTGACACTTGACTACAATAACCTTCAATGCATAAAGGATACCAAAGTGTGGAAAAATGAACGGTGACGTTGACGATGATCTTCCTCATTAACTTAACTGGTGCCAATCTTTTTACACTTCTGTTAGAATTATTATATCACGGTATAATATTATTTTCCACCTTTGGTACAGATGAGCCATCCAGAAAATGTGCAAATACTGCATAATAATTGTTAGATTATTAAACAGTATAGCTGTACTGCCAAGTGACCATATGTCTTATCACTAAAAGAAGTTATGACAAGAATAACAACATCCTGTGAAAACCATGGGAAGATCTATCTGATTATGTTTGAAAGACAAAGGAAATGGACAGAGTTGGTTTCCACTGATTATGTTCCAAATTTTGATTGGATGCAGTCAGTGTTTAGCAGCACTACTGAAAAGAAATGTTGAATGAATGTTAGAGTGATTCACAGTTTTTGATATGTGAGCTTGATTTTTGTGGGTCTCTAAATGGGGATAGTTTTACAGCTGCTAAAATATTTTCAAGTTTTGATTTCACTTCCAAAACTGAATGAACACTTGGTAAACTACAATAAAATACTGTTTTATTTTCAGTCGCTTCAGACTATGTTTTGGTTATTCCACTTTATTAAAAATACTATACAGACTTGAAATGCATAAATGTAAATGTATGCATTTAGAAAACCACATTTTTAAGTTTTCAGTCTTCCTGTTACCAATCAGGCTAAAATCATAGACCCTTGGTCACCAGATGATTATATCATATATTAATGAAATCTGACTGTTTTAGTTTGCTCTAGCCCTCTTCATTACACTCGTCTGGTGCTTTGTTTTGCCAAATTTGACAGAAATTCATGCTGATTTCAACACTCGACTCTATAATTATGCTTTAGCCATTTAGTGAACAGGGAAACCTGTTGGAAGGAAGAATGTAATCAAAAACATGTAAATAACGGGAAAATTAAATACAGAAATATAAAAATCCCTGAAATTACCCTAATCCTAGACCTTGTGTAAAACGCCATGTGTATGGGAATAATTCTTAACTAGATTAAGTAGCAGATAACAACAACATACCTTAACAATTCAAAAACATGATCTATATACAACACGAAACGTCTACTTCGCCAATTTTACAGGAAAATCTTTGCTTTAAGTTGTGAAATGAAATGATGTAAAGAACTGCACCAACCTGCGGTTATACTGGTCGCATGCCTGAAAAATATAGCATCCGCCTCGGCCGAAAAGATGAAAAACAAAAAAGTAACATGTATTTTATTTAGTTACTAGAAATGTGCCTCTAACGTTGCTCTGCGTGACCCGGAAACAAAACTAACCGTACTGTGACAGGTGCATCATGGGATATGAAGTTCGCCAAACAAGAATCTCTCTTTTTTTTTTTTATTAACCTCTGCTTCTAACAATAACCGCCTTGAACGAAAACCTGAAAAACGAACAACTAAAAATAAAATGTATTTTATTTAGTTGAAATGTAAACCCCAATGTTGCTCAGTGCGACTCAAAAACAAAACTAACCGTACTGTGGCACAGGTGCATCATGGGATATGTAGTGGCTAAACAAGAATATCTTCTTTTTTTTTTTTTACCTCTGCTTCTAACAACAACCGCCTTGGACGAAAAACTGAAGAAGAAAAAAAACAATTACAAATGAAATGTATTTTATTTAGTTGAAATGTGCCCCCAACGTTGCTCTGTGCGACTCAGAAACAAAACTAACCGTACTGTGGCAGGTGCATCATGGGATATGTAGTTCGCTAAACAAGAATCTCGTTTTTTTTAACCTCTATTTGTAACAACAACCGTTTCCTTAAATTGTTGGAAGAAAAAAACGAATTACATATTTATTCCCACCAAAACTGCATTTAGTCGTGAAAAGGGCTACATTAAGAACTAACATGTCTCCTCTGTGAAGCGCAGTTTCGCCGCCTCGCCACAGGATAGCGGGGCTCTCTGGGCTGCTGGAAGCTGCGGCTCCGTTCAATACATGATTTCAATCTATTAAACCCGACTGGTAGCCGCTGAAGAGCGCAGAACCGGCCGAGTAAAGGGGCTTTTAGGCTTTATGCTACATAGTTAGCTTCCGAAGTAGCACAGCCATGGGCGTAGAAGTCGAGACCATATCTCCCGGTGATGGTAAGTACATTTAGCCGCCTGGGTTGCCATTAATACGGGCTGGGGAGCGGGCGCTGGTACCGCCGCTGCTGGTTCTAGATCCCTGGAATGTCGCAAAGTTCATAAATAATCCTGTGGTTTCAGAAGTACCGTGTTTGCAAACTGCTTTGGCAGTTAATATTGTTTGGTGAATAATTGAATCGCTGTGATGAAGCTCAATCTTTAAGGGGCTCATCCTCACTGAAACCCTGCATGGCATCTTTCCAGAACCCTCCATACTTGCTACCACACATGCTTGTAGCCCAACAAATCTGAAATAATAACCCTCTATTAATTATTAGTGTTATTATGAGGAACCTGAACACATCACAGCAGGGAGATATACTTATTATGTTATCATCATTTCGAGTATTTGAAAGACTATACTGGAGTAGAAGCTGGATTTCTATCGTAACTGTCAAAAAAGATTGAGATTTTCCAAAATAAATGGCTTAAGTTATAAGTAATTAAAGTAAAATCCATCCAGGTTAATATAAGAATGACAGATCTGACTGAAGGGAATCTCTGGGGGAAGGAAAATGTCAATAAAAACGCATAGATCATCTAATTAAATGTAGCATTTGTATTTGGTTCTTGTTGTTAATCCATAGATGAATCTGAAATCAGGTCTTCATCTGTGAAACTACAAGCTTAGAAGTTATGAGTACAAGTTAAAACTTTGCAAAAATAGAAGCGTAAATCACAAACTGACAAGTAAGAATTGCGAATTTATTGGTACAAATCTAAAAATATGTACAGGTATATTTGTGACTCATACTCGTACATTTGAGTAGTACCTTTGCATAAGTGATTCAGATTCGTAAATTTTGAATTTGTGCCCGAAGAGTCGTGCTTTTGTCATCGCAAAGTTGTAACTTCCTATCTTTTATTCATTATTTCTAAACTAGTTTCTCGCAGATGAAGACCTGATGTACAGTGTATCTATTAGTTGATAACATGGAACAAGCACAGATCCTACTTTTATTTACATTAGACATCAATTTACAAATTAAAGGAATAGTGGAGGATGTTCTTTTTCCAGGTGGATCATCTAAATAATTGGTTTTCCTAAACGGCAATCATTCTGGTGATATGTTTACGTAAGGCCGTCCTGTTCTCTTCCCCATTTCCACTTACCGGTGGTGAGTCTGACATAGTGGAAAATTTGCAAATCTTTTTTTGGAAAGTAACATTGCATGAGGGATGCAAACAGCAACTTTTAAACTGAGCGTGCACAAGGAGAAATGGACTTGTGCACGCTCTTGCATACGTTTAATAGGCGTTCCATCTCTGGAGCAGGTTGTGTTGTGTATGTGTATTTTTTTTTTAGTGTAGAGGGCGGGTATTTTCAAAAATTTGTGAAAATCCTCCACTTTACCTTTAATGTGTTTTTATTGGCAGTTATCTTACCCCATAGAAATATCTAAGCCTGAAAGCAGGGAATTTTATTTTTATTTTATTTTTTTTGTCGAGGACACCTGTACCTTAATGGCCAACATTAAACTCTGGGTTTTTCTTGATGATTTTTAAGGTCTGACCTTCCAATACATTGTTTTCGAGCACTACATTTGAATAGCCGGGTTTCAGTCACGTGACGATTATGACGAGGCCAGGGAGCGCGATTTCAGATGGAGGGCAGGAAGTCTATGAAGTTAGTGTAAACATGGAGGATACCGTTACCGAGAGCCCGTATTGTATGGAGTTAGAGCCTGTTTCAAGACACAGATACAAGGAGTTGATATACAGATATGTTGGACGTGACCCGTACCTCATGAAGATGAGTGAGTTTTCGGTGGACCTTAAAGATTTGCCGACAGTGGAGGCCGTCGACATAACGAACTATCTGGTCCTTCAGACGTCGTATTACACCAAACAGCAAATGAAGGCCTATAAATGTATGAAGGCATATAACTTCTTTGTCAGCGGGTGGGTCCACAACCTCGGCACCAAACGTCTCCACAACGATTATTGTCTAGTCTACGCCAGGGTGAGTGTTTGTTCTTATATTGTTTTATGTGTTAAAAGATGCTAGCGTTAGCAGTAGCGGCTAGCCTCACAGTTGTTTATGTTTCTCTCGTTGAAGAGATGCTTCTGATTTGGGCTTAGTTTTTTGATAACCGAGGTTGACCGTCGGAGCCCAGTCTACCGATTCAACGTCACCCAAGGCGCTAGGACAGCATAAACAGTCACAATGAAGTCCGTATTAGACTACCGGTAACTTATTAATCATTACTAAGTACATGAGCATTTAACGATAACCTTATGCTATATAAACACAACCACAAAAAAAAGTTAGCTAGCTAACATAACATTATAGCTTACCTCTGACGAAGTGGTCACTGCAGACACGGGCATTGGCAGACTCTGCTCCTTCAGATCGCAGACGTAGGTTTAGAATCCATTTTTTTCGGCGTTGTTCTGTGAGCTTTTTACAATTTTCACCTTTATGGACGACAATCTTTGGTACTCTGTAAAAGCTCTTTTCCTTTTCTCGGTTAGAACGATTGGAGCAGCCGTAAACTACACAAAATATAGGCATTATTTCAGACGGCAGATCCTCAGCTACTTCACTTCCTGCCCTCCATCTGAGTTTCGCGGGCTTGTGACGCAGCACTGTGACGTCACGTGAAACCAAGCTCATAGCAATAATGTTCTGGAACTTGTTTTAGAGAGCTAGTAAGTTGGAGTATAGAAGACGAAATGAATGGAAAAAATGTGGCGAAGTCCTGTTTGACAAAAAACAAATGGTGGTGGTTTTTAGTTTGAATATGAAATAAAAGTAAGATAGGTCAAATCTGATCTTTGCTAACGGATTTATGTGCTGTCTGTGAAATTTAGTTACTTTTATGCCCCTGTCACACCGTGACTATTTAGACCAGCGTATGCCTGACGTACGAAAAATCTGGCAAAAACACTGGCATATGGTGGATAAGGTATGGGTAGGTTTTGTATAAGTTATGAGATGGTGAAGCATGCAAAAGCACCCTGAAACACGCTGGCACACGTCGACATGTGAGTACACCGAGAAATTTTGGGCATGCTCAAAATTTCCCGACATATGCTAGCGTATACTCACACGTGGGACATAAATTATAGATGAGTTATCTGATCGTTGACTTGCGTTGTAAGGTCCTCATAAGTTGTGGTGTCTATCTATTCCAAATCCTATGAGTAAGTTGTGCGTAACTTATCTCCAATACATATCGAAGTGTTTGACGTGTTCCAAACTTCCAGCTACTGTATAATGGCGTATTGGCAGTGTTTTGGTATAGAAGGGGGATTCAAAGGAGGAAGGCGTTAGTTCTCAGACTTCATCCCCATCATAGGGTGAGCGAGAAGGTGTGTGTGATGGATTCTTCATGCGTTCACGCCAATGCCTATGCCCATGAAATGTCCTAGAAGACATAATGCTGAATCTGCTGCGACTGCGAACCATTTTTCTTTCTTTTTATTTATTAAATTTTTTTTTTGTGGCGGGTGGTAAACATTAGCTAGGTTAATACCACGATCAAAGATACCTTTTTATGCAGGCAGGGCGCCTTCGGGCGCAATGCTGCCCCCCTCAGGACACTGGCTTATGACATTTCATGGGCATTATGCTGCCGTGCGTTATGCATAAGTTAGGCTGTCATTGAACAAAGCTCTGGACTTGTTATGAATACGCTATGTATACGCCAAAAATAGAAAATATACATAAAAAGTTCAGCGTATTCCAGAGTTTAAGGAGAATCTGGGTCTGTCTAAATCGGCAAGGTGTGATAGGGGCTTAAGCTGGGCTAGCCCTTTTTAACAAAACATTCGTCGTTGACTAAATTCCCTGCAGTCTGTGTAAAGAACAAGCATGAAGCTCAAACTCTTTGCTACAGATTATCAATAAACCCCTTTTGTTGAAGTTAAGTTTAAAAACATGTGAAAAATAGCGAAAGACACAAAGAAACAATCAAAATGCAATTCATGTACCAAAAAAAAGGGAAAGAAATGCTTGTGTGAAAGTATGTTTAATGTAGTACTTTTTTGTAGTTTGAATAAAATAAAGATTTTCATCCAAACAACAAATCAAATAGAAAAACCCACCATGACATGTTGATGTAGAGGCAATAAATTATGAAGAAAAAGATTAGATGAGCACTTTTAGGATGATTGCTGTATTAGCCTCTTAGACTCAGTGTTTGCTTACCCTAACATTTCTTTTCTTCCTTTAACAGGGCGAACATTTCCAAAGAAAGGCCAAACATGTGTTGTTCATTACATAGGTAACTATTTTTTTTGTTGTTCTCTGGAATCTTTAAACTCTACATCCTTTCTTTGTCCTCGCTGCTGAAAGAGGAAATCTGCCCATTTGTTCATTGTCTGCTCTGCTCAGATTGCAAGTTGATGGCCGCATTCCAACAGCCTGCAGGCCTGTGCACCTGTGTTTTGGTTGGGTTTTCATAATCTCTGTAGGGTCGCCTTCTCTGTCACACATCATTAGTTTGCTTTTGTTCTGAAAGAGAAATCAGATGTTTTATTCTGTCTGCTTTGTAACTTTTTTTCCGGCATGTTTCACACTTGCAAACACACGTCTGCTTTCTTTTTCCTGTTTGTCTCCCGTCAGAAGGTCTGGTTTTAAGGTTGGGCAGTAAGACGCATAATAATAAAATACATTTGGGCTGTTCTGAGCCTCGGGGTTGGATGTCCAGACAACTAGGTCAGACAGAAAGTAAACAAAACCCAGTTTGCATGTCAACCGTCTAATATCACGTGTTTTTGTTTATGTGGGTATGGAACCAATCCCTGTCGGTACGTTCCCTTCAGTAGACAGGTTAGGTAACAGTATCATTGTGGCATTGCTTAGCCCAAGGTGCTGCTTTAAATGAACTAATACGTGACTCATTCTTAGCCTAATGAAATCGATTTAGGCAGTGATGAACGAGCAGGTTTTAAAGTATGACATACAACATTTAGTTCTCAGGGTTACAGGTTTATTTTTTTATCAAAACGTTAATTACTATTGGTAAACCATTGATTGCTTTATTTTTCTCGGTCATTGTGTGTAACTAAATGAGCAGCCGTATACACGTAAAACTGGTTTTCATAATCATACTTAATGCAGTGGTTTAAAGATGTCATCTTCAAAGTGCAGGGATCTAGCAGTATGATTTAGTGTCATTATATTTGGATTAACCCTTTTTTTCTGCTAGATGAATGTTATGTTTTCTTATTTTTTTCAAGTATTTTTACATTCATTGATTTACAATTGGACGCATTTTCCTGATACCAGCTATTAAATGACTGTTTAAGTCTGCAGCACTGATGCACAATTCACCCAACATGTTACTGTGTTTTTACGATAAATTGTGATTTTAAATCAGCTCTTTTTAAGCACTAAAGATAAAAAAAAGAGGAAATGTTTTTTTTTTTGAAAAATTAAGAATATTTGTACAATATTAATGATCAGAGAGCAGATCAGACATCCCAGCCTCTGCGTCCCTTTAATGGAATCTGCTGACAGATTGGATGAACTGGAGCTTAGACAAAAGCTTCAGATTTTTTTAAGGTAATCTCACTTGGGTGTCTCCTGGCTTAGACTGGCCATTTTAGGACAGCCATTTAGTGCAAAGAACAAAACAATGCCAGTTTTTTCTTTTTTCATACCAAAAACCCAGCATGTTATTCCTATAAGACTATAATGACCAAATTAATGTTCACTAATTTATTGTCTAGCTAAACAAAAAGTGAATTTCTCTCTTTTTTTATTTTTTATTTCTTTGCCTTTTGACCTACTGTGTTTGTGCATAAGCTTTTGGTATTTTGGAGGCAATGCCTTCACAGAGTTAAGCCAAAGCTGCTCTGAACAAAAGGCTAAAAAATATTGTTGTATAAGCAGGGGAAATGCATTTGCAGAGAAAGAGTAAACTGATTTCATCTAATTTGAAATAAACAAACCCGAAAGACAAAAGAGGATCTAATTTTGGAGTCGTATCAAGTCTATTAGAATCATAAATAAAGCTGCATTGATTGTATTTGGAAGAGTTTGTGTGCAAATTCTCAGAGTATTAAGTTTAGCTTAGTCGTTCCATGATCCTCATTTTCAAGAAATGAGCATATCTCTCCGGAGAGATATTTCTCAGTACGTGATTGTTTTTGAGCCTACTGTGTTTCAAGCATCTAGCAATGCAGACCTCCCCTTCTGCTCTTTAAAGCTGCTCTGCCTTCTTGTTTTCTCGTTTTCACCCCGGGGATTTTATTCATGCGGACACAGACAGGCCAGAGCAAACAGACACAAAGATTTGGAGCAGTGACCTCTCTCTGACTCCGGCGAGAGTTGCTCAAATTAGCTGAGAGGTCATTGCCACTTGGCAGATACCAGCTCTGGCCTTAAACCTGCAAAGTATAGAGCTTTGCAGAAGTATTCACACCTCCTGAACTTTTTGACATTTTGTCTTTTCCCAGACTACAGACTTAAGTGGGTTTTTGTGTTGGTGAACGACCAACACAAAGCAGCATATTGTTTATTTGATATTTATACAGATTTAATCACTAATCTGAACAGCTGCCTTTTTTCGACATGGTCAATATTTACCTCCTTTCATTTGCAGAACCTACTCCAAACAGCTTCCCTGTCGCTGCTGTAGAAAGGCCTCCCCACACCATGATGATGCCACCACCATGCCTCCTGATGGGGCTGGTGTGTCTATGCAGATTAATGCTGTTTTAAGCCTGTTAGTTAAAGCTATAGGTTGTGTTTTGGTGGTTTTTAGTTTTATATATTGTTTTCAAATGAAGCAATAATTCTGATGTTCAATTCTTTGATTATTACTAAAGAAATCATCATTATTTATCCGCCTAGATAGAATCAGACTAAAAGGGGGCTTTTTACAAGTTTTCATATAGAAAAAAAAAAAGGTATACAATATTATATTACCCCCATATTTTACCCCACTTTGCAATTATGCCCTACTTAAAGTTGGATCTATCATCTATGGTCCCATTAAAATGCATTGTTGAAGTTCAAGAGATCTGAATGTTTTCGCAATGCACTGCAGCCCTGTTTCTGTCATCCACCCTAAATGTCCGCAGGCTCACAGATTGGCAGCTCTAACAGCTGCAGTCCTGCTGTCTCAAGCTTGTTTTTCTGCATATGAGACTGTCGCCAAAGGAGGAAAACTTAGGCAGATATGGTATCAGTCAGTACGAAGAAAGGAAAAGGAGTCTGAGATAAATGCGGTGATTGGCGGCACCAGGCTTCAAAGACTAACGTTGCTCTCGGTTTTAAACTTAAAGCGAGGCTCCAGCAGGGAGGGAAATGATGTCAGGCCTAATTTTGGTCAGTGTTCTAGTGTTTTACGTCCGAGAATGCCAAAAACTTGACATCTTAAGGTGAGACTGAGGAGCAGGTTGAAAGTCACAAGCCGCCAAGCCTCAGACTTCTGTGGAGGAAATGTTATTTGAGTCTGTCATGTTTTCACTTCCAGCAGTATGGAGTTCATGCAAGTAGGAAAAAAAAAAAAAAAAAACAGTTTGAGATTAAGGGAAACTTCATCCCCTGTTGAGCTGTCTGTATGCTTGACAGGCCTTTCACAGCTCGTATTCCCATAGTAAACATAATATTCCATGCATGATACACCTGGCAGATGCCATGGGGTAGGGGTATGAGGGAAAAAATAAAGCTAAAATATCAACTAAACACTGAACACAGAAAAACAGAGCTCTACTTGTCTTATTTTCACTGCTCAGTATAAGAGTAACTTTTACACTCCTGCTGGTGATCATTCAGATGCAGCCAATACTGTGACTCTAAAACGAGTGCTAAACGACTCTTTCTCCTAGTTACTCCATCATACAAAGGAAGGATGATCAAGACTTATTCACTAAGATGTGCGCTCCTGCAGCTTTGGAGCGGATCTGCTCAATGGGTATCTCTACACACGTCTCAGTTCAGCCACATTTGAGCCCAGGGGGGCTGCTCGGCTGGCAGCTCTGCTAGACGAGGGGCAACACAGGATACAGTTAGTGGAGTAAAAATAACCCCACCCCGGTGTGGTATGGCTCTCTGCCAGCCTACAACTAAGTGAAACCCTCTGACGAGGAGAGAGTCTGGGAGCCGAGCGCAGGAAGGGATAGGCTTTGCTTTATTTTTGCAGACCGCACCCAGGCTTAGCTGCACAAAAAAACGATAATAGAGCACTGAAACTCCATGGGTGGGGGGGGCAACAATAAGGAGTATGTGTGCTTTTTTTGTGTGCACAGGATTAATGTTAAAATCAGATCGTTAAATAACATCCTTCTTTAGGCACGTTCAAGATGGATTCGCCATTTTTTTTTACTCCTTCTGATTTTACCAAACTTTTCAGACACAAACTTCATCTTCCTTTAAGTCCACTAAGGTGACCCTCCTGGGGAGAAAAAAAAAACAAAAAAGCAATGCATTATTTTTGCCTTGGTGCAGAGTGTATATATCCAGTATCTTGTTAACGTCATCCGCCACCCCATCCAATCACAAGAGACAGCTGTAATGTGCAAACCCTCCATGGCCTCCTGTCTTGTGGGCAGCATTTGGGTTCAATTTGGATTGCCCCCCCGAAACTGAACTCACTTTATGCAATCGTTGCCAAAAGTTGTGGTCCTGCTGCTCGTATGACCTGCAGCAGGTGGCGTTTGCCTCGGTGTGTGTGAACCTGATGACTCCATGATTGAAAACGGACTTCGCCATTGATATATGGGCTAACAGGGCTTCTTGGAAATTATAGACCTGCTAATTTTAGGGGAAAGGAAACAGGAGAAGCACTACAGTATCATCATTCATATGACTAGATAGGCAAGACACCATGATTACATTTTGGTTGACACTAAACTTAAACGCTAAATATTCCCACTTATTGAGTAGAATTATGACAGGCAATTAAATTAAAAGCTGTCATGGAGATTCTGGCTGAAAACTATTTGGTTTCAAGGAATTGTTTTTCTCTTCCTTATGTTTTTATTTCATGCTTGGTGTGATTAAAGACTGCTTGTTTATATTACAGCTGTAAAATTCATAGAAGGAGATAGAAATGTTTAGTTTTACTACTTTGGAAGCTGTCTGCAGGATATTAGAGAGGCTACCTGAGGTGTCCTCTGACTTATTAGAGCATGCATTTTCACTTATCCATAGGCAAACTATTCATAGTGGTTCTCTTAGCATATTTAGGGAATCAATGTGACAAAAGGAGAATAGTTTCATCAGTTGCTGCCTCTGTGGCTTACATGCATTGCTGGAGTGTTTTTTAAGAGAGTCCTATCAGGGTGTCAATGGGCTTACTGCCAAGTTGACAGCTTCTTTACACCTATACCAGCCCTCTAAATAATTCATGATAACATGATCAATGTTATGGGGATGTGTTAGGCTTGGTTTCCTCAGTACATCCAAGCAATTAGTGCAACAATGGAAACGTTTTTCCATTTGCTACTTGAGCAGAAGAAGAAATACCCAGATACTTATGAATAACTGAATGGTAGAGCTTTCTAAAAGCATTAAAGTTATTGCAATGAATTATTCTTGTTGTTCTTCAGCCTTTTTTCTGCCACAGAATTAGCTGTACTGCATAATTCCTTATGACTCTGCCTCTTTTCTGCACCATCATAACCTGACAGAAACGGTGCTGTGGTGTCTGCCTTCACGATAGGCCTGAAAGTGAAGGTGTAGGTACAGAAAAATCTCCTAGAATTAGTACAGTTAGGGAAGAAACATCTAAAGCGCATGTGATGAGATGAAAGCCGCACAGGAAAGGTAGATGGAAACAAGATCCTCTTAACTTTCTGCAAACCAACAATCATGTAAAATTGACACGTGCTCAGCAGCCAAATACAGGCTGGCTGCAAATGTAGTTTTTACTAAATAATTTTGTAGACAGTGAAGTATACACTGCATGAAAAATGAATTTCACCCAGTATTCCATATTGGCTGTATTAATATGCAAAAATCAATAGTAGACCACCTTGTAGAAAACGATGAAAAGCTGCAGTGTTTTTTATTTTCTGAAATGGAAATAAAGCTACCAAAGAACAGACACTTCGGAGATAAGATGCGTCTTCCTTTATGTCAGGTTTTCAGCTTATGGCTTTAATGATGCTGAAATAAACTTTTACGCCTGTGAGACATTGATGGTTGTGGTATTGTCTGTAGATCAGTACGAAATGTTTGTCCTTGAGGCAGACTGTTCTTAAATCAACCGGCTTAAGTTACTGTTTACAACTGGCTGAATCCCAGCAGGTTGTTTAGACGGACCGCTCCGTACAGCAGGGGTTACCTGTGGGTGTAGATTCCTTTTCCATGCAGATCAGTTGTGCTTGCTTGTCTTTTGTGTCATAAAGTTCAGAAGTTATTAGTACAGCACATGATTACTTTAGACTGTGTCTCTGAAGGTAGTGAAGCTCTGAAAGAAAGGGAGGCAATCATTTATTTTATTTTTTATTTTTTTGCCTTTGAAAAATTAATACCCTCAACCTTATCAGGCAAAAAGGTTTGGTTTCATCTGAAGGAGCAGATTACTGTACAGCTGGAGCCTTTGTTATCCTTGTCTCCCTTTGGTCTACATACATGCAAGAAATGGCCTATTTAGCTTTTAAAAATAATCCACTAAACTAGGCCAACACCTTCTGATTCACACTTGATCTCAGTTAATAAAAGAAACAGAACCAGAACAAAAACATGTGGCAGGACACGCCTAAGTATGGTTTCTTTTTTGATTTTGTGATGCTGCATCGAAGAGAGATGGGAGTTTATTGTTTCTTTGGCAGGTATGCTGCAGAATGGGAAAAAGTTTGACTCGTCCCGAGACAGGAACAAACCTTTTAAGTTCAAGATTGGACGGATGGAGGTTATAAAAGGTTGGGAAGAAGGCGTAGCACAGGTAAGAAGGGGATGTGCTTTTTCTATAACGATTGTCAGGTGTGATTAAATTAAGCCACATGGTAGATGGCGCTGATGCTTTGCAGAAAAAAAGTCCTGGCTTTGAATCCTTGTCAGGAATCATTAGTTCAAATCACATTTAAAGGTTATTTACTATGTGGGTCTGTGTTTCCATGGTAACATATTTAAGGGGTTGTTCCAATGTTACCCTCCATGGTAGATAAATCAAAAGTAGAAATGATAATGCTTAAAGCAAACATATTTAAAATCGACAAGTTTGGTCTCATCACAATTACTGAAATTGGCAAAGAAGAAAATGTTTGAAAACAAAGTACAAAAAAAAATGATTAAAACTATAAAAATAGCTATACAAAAAAAAAGAATTACATTTTAGCAGAAATATTCAATGAGAATAAGGGAAACCATCTTTAATCGTTTTAACTGTTGGATCATCGGAGATTGTCCACAAAGTCCAGGAAATCCACATATCTGTCATAGTGAATGTGTTTTATAACATGCAACTCAATACTTTTAATCATTGTTATACTAATAAAATGTGTAATTTTATTCAGGCCCAAGCAGCAATAACACGGGGAGGCCTAATTTATTTAGAATGTTTTTTTTTACTTACGTAGTAAATACATTTAAATAGTACCAATTCAACATCATCAAGTTAGTGTGTTTGGCTTTGGAGGACTGGAAGAATTGCTGACAGGCCATGCTTACACATAGATAACATGCAAGCTTTTTTTTTCTATTTTGTGCATTTTTTTCAAGTGCTTACAAACAGAAATATAACATTAATTTAAGTCTTTTTCCACTTATTCTCCACCTTGAATTTGCCGGTGTGGTCAGTAAATCTAGACGTGTCCACCTTTCCTCCTGTGCCTCAGATGAGCCTCGGCCAGAGGGCGAAACTCACCTGCACACCAGACATGGCTTATGGAGCGACAGGCCACCCTGGAGTCATCCCCCCAAATGCCACGCTCGTCTTTGACGTGGAGCTGCTTAAGCTGGAGTGACGGCTGGTTTTACAACACAAAGGTTGACAGGCGGGCTGCATTCGCCATGACCTGTTTTACAGGAGACCATACCTGCTCGCTGCCCGCCACAACCTCCTGCCTGCTCCTCCTCCTTTGTTTTAAATTTCTACATCTTCTTCATTTCAGTATTTAAATGTAACTTCTGCTGCTTTATTGGCATCTTGTCTCTATGGGTTCTTCTCTAAGATATCCACGTCCTGTAATACTTAAACTCACATATATAAATTCTGTTTGTTAAAAAATGCTCTTTTTTTATGTTCATCTAATGTTAGTTCTTTTAGAGCGATCCATAGGAGGATAAAGATCCACAAACTATTGCAATCTAAACTGCCTTACGGTTCAAACAACAGAGGACGGGTACACAAGTTTAAGATCAGAACTTTTTGCTCTGTATACAATCTGGGCATTATATACCACTGTCTACATCGACACTTGGATGAAAGCTTGTCCTGCTGAATTCTCTGAATGATTTTGCTGTCCACTTTGTTTTATAACCTATCTGCACATCTAATGCAAGTGTACCCTATCAGATGCAACCCAGTACTGTACAGTGTGTTGAAGAGCCATTACTACTGCAACAGTTCACTGACCAAGTCCTGAATAAAATTGGCATGTACTGTATTGAGAGGTCTGTGTTACTGTTGTTATTTTTAATCAATCAAAATAAAAGAATGATAGACAAGCAGCATTAAAATCATGACTCTGGAAAAGGAGAATTTGGGTTGTATGCTGGTGAAGATTCTCAGTCATCCAGGTTGTAGTCATTCCAGAAAAAGTAAAAAAAACAATCCACTGGACTTGGTTTCCAAGAGACGTTTTGCTTACTTCAAAATGAAAAGGATGTTTATTTAATTGAAAAAGCTTCCTGGATGGGAAGCAAAATATCTTCAAACTTGGAAACCAAATCCAGTGGATTGTTTTTTTTTTTATTTCCTTTTTTGTGAATGAGAATTTGGGTTTTTAAATTCTTTATTAGTCAATGCTGTAATATATAATCCTTAATGGACTTGGATATTTGGGGGTTTTGGATACATAAAAATAATATAAATCTCAAAAAGATATTTAAAATACACCCCAAAGTACTATTAACAATAATACTCACATAAAACTATAACTGATTATGTATTCTGTGCCTTTTAGACAGTTAGTTTTGGATTGGTTTGCAGCACAAAGCTGGAAATTCTAAGGCAAAGTTTAAAACAAGATATAGAATATATGTAATATTGGTTATCAACTGATTAAATACCTTTCTAAAATTGCACAGGGTTATATTTTCAAGTGATATCGGCATAACAGAAATCTATCCCATGCTTACTGACATTTTTACCCAGTGGAAGCATAAAGAGAATTGGCCCAAGTACTGAAACCTTTGGTATGCCAGTTTAGTGCTGTTTGCTTAACATATTGTTGCAACGTGCTATTAAAAACTTTAAAAAGCACACAAGTCAAGGACTGAAGAAATGGTGTAAAAAAACTAGAGGGAAATGGAAAAAAAGACAAAAAATAAATAAAACTGAACAAGTGTTCTGCCATTCAGAATAAAAAATGTTAGATTTCTAAATATTCAGTCAAAATATGTCAGAATTATATATTTATATGTTTACAATGTGACTCTTTTAACTTGAGAACTTCAATGCATGTCTTTCTCCCTGCCCCTTTCCTGTCTTCAAACCATGATTAAAGGCTTCTAGACCCACAGAAAAATTAGCTTTGAATGTACAAACCCTTGGAATACCAAACATTTTCTAACCTGGGTGTTTAAGTGGAGTCACAAACCTTCATTGTATGCAACTTAAACATGCTAGATGTTTGTAGGGCAACCACAGGTGGGCAGTATGTAGCTGAGACGCAAAAGCCTCAACAAATTTAAACAGGCCAAACAGAGTGTAAACATTAATGCAACTCTCCATATGAAACTGAAAAATTAATAAAAGGTTTCTACTTTTAATTGAAATTAGTATGAAGTCAGAGTTACAAATACAAGGCATATAAGTGAAATGACATAAATTGGAAAGATTTAAAATAAAAGCATAATGAATATCACCGTCCATAAAGAAAAAAAAAATGGACACCAAAATATACTTTTATAATTTGGATTATTAGCCCTTTTCAGATGGTATTCCACTTATACTGCAGAGGTGGGATAGGATAGGCTGTAAAAGGTCAGTCGAGGAAATAGCTTTGGGAAGAATTATGTGTAGAGAAAAATGATAAGAGACTATAAGGTAAGATCACTGTCAAAATAAACTTGTGCATAAAAGCATAGTTGTGTGCATTTTAGTCAGAAGTTGTGCATAACAAAAATTTGTAAACTCATAATAATTGAAATCTCATTCAAAACATGCAACATACAGTTTAAATAGTTACAACTTCAATAACTAATAAATACAAATTTCAAGTTTAAATTTGTGCTTTATTCTTTATGAACACAACAAGTTTGGACTGTAAGTGTGAATTCTATTAGTGTATTTTACAATATTGTTAGAAGTATTTCAAATATCTAATAGAAAATACATGTGAATACAGGACTTGTGTGTTCTGACATGTTTTCCTTTTACAGTGTTTTTTGTAGTATATGCCAGCTGCGTTTCACACAAAGGAAAAGTTCACCAAAAACAAAAATGTATTTGAGTTTCCTCAACAGATTTTAAATGAATTGCAGCGTTTTATATCTAAATCAGGTGCGTATACCGCTATGAAGGACCAACTCTGCCATATTTAAAAATAAATACAGAAATAAATAAATGCTCAATAAATGTATAAGCATACAATTAATTGCCAACAAAAAAGTGAGACATAAATGTATATAACTCTTAATTAGCCTCTTTATTTATTTGCCTTTGTAATATTTACCTTATTTATTTTTCTGTCCTTTATAATCTTCAACTTTATTTTTTAATTACTTATATTTTTAAGTATTTATTTATGTGCATGTTATAATATTTTTGTCTGTTTTATTCTTCCTTTGTATTTTCTTACCTTAGTTATTTCTTCGCCGCTTTTTATTTCTCTCTGCCCTTTTTACATTTCTCTATGCATTTTTCCTCATTATGCAAATGAGGAGGGGGTGTGTCCTAGAGAGTCAACTTCTGCTCATTGGTTGGCTTGGCGGCCCATCTTCTTAACTCACAGAGCTCAGAGTACTAAGTTAAATGTTCTCTTTTCTGTTGCTGTTGTTCAATTAAAGTATGTTTTAAGATCATTTGAGGCGAGAACCTTATACTTTTAAGCATCACCATATGGCCCATTCACAGATTTAATGCGTAATTTAAAAGAAAATGTGACGAACTTGAGAGGACCGCGCCACCAGCGGAGCTCCGAAGCTGACGGCAGCCAGGTCTAACCACAGCCCATCTGCAGCGGCCCTCTCTCGGCATAGCCGTGTGTGAAGCGTGTTGGTTAGCATTTTACTAAATCGGTCGAATCTACAGGAGGAGAGTCTGATGTCGAGTCTGAAGTCATTAGAACTCGAGTAGGGACTTTGCCAAACTTTGCCAAATACAACAAAAAATCGCGATCATAGCCTGGCTATAGACCTGGCTGCCGTCAGCTTCGGAGCTCCGCTGGTTGCCACGGTCCTCTCAAGTTCGTCACATTTTCTTTTAAATTACGCATTAAATCTGTGAATGGGCTATATGGTGATGCTTAAAAGTATAAGGTTCTCGCCTCAAATGATCTTAAAACATACTTTAATTGAACAACAGCAACAGAAAAGAGAACATTTAACTTAGTACTCTGAGCTCTGTGAGTTAAGAAGATGGGCCGCCAAGCCAACCAATGAGCAGAAGTTGACTCTCTAGGACACACCCCCTCCTCATTTGCATAATGAGGAAAAATGCATAGAGAAATGTAAAAAGGGCAGAGAGAAATAAAAAGCGGCGAAGAAATAACTAAGGTAAGAAAATACAAAGGAAGAATAAAACAGACAAAAATATTATAACATGCACATAAATAAATACTTAAAAATATAAGTAATTAAAAAATAAAGTTGAAGATTATAAAGGACAGAAAAATAAATAAGGTAAATATTACAAAGGCAAATAAATAAAGAAGCTAATTAAGAGTTATATACATTTATGTATCAATTTTTTGTTGGCAATTAATTGTATGCTTATACATTTATTGAGCATTTATTTATTTCTGTATTTATTTTTAAATATGGCAGAGTTGGTCCTTCATATACCGCCATCTACCGGACGTCTAGAATAGAAGTAATTTATTTAAACTTTTTTTATTTGCAAATTGCAAAAAAAAAAATATTTTCGATTCGATAATACATTAACTTCCGGTGCTATAGATCAAAGTTCACCGCTTTTGATTCTGATACCTGATTGGCTCAGGCTGAGTATAGTGACGTTTCATTGGACATCAGGAAACACGCCTTCCGTTAGCTTGAGCCAGAAAGCACAACAAACTACAAGGTCAGAAACTTGTTCGTAAAACTTCTGTTAAATGTGCAAAGCTAAACAGAGAAGTGTAGAAAATTGCTTAGTTTTGTCTAGCAGTTTGCGTCCTGCTGTTAAAACTGACGCGAAGAGCGTTAATGTGTACTGTTAGATAACTGGATGTAGCATTTAGCACAAAGCTAACAGTTTGCTTTGCCTCCTGGGTAAAAAACAAAAACAAAGTAGAAACATTGAATTGTATACTTTAGTAAGCAGTGTGCTATTCAGTTGTAGGTATTATACTGATGCAATCTAGCTAGCTGGTTAATTTATTTAGTCTTTACTGTTGACATTAAGAGATGCGCTTTTTACGAGCTGTTCAGAGTGACATATCTGCACACATACTGAATAATCAAAAGTATTAAAAATGTTTTAATGCATTAATTAACCCTATATATTAGGATTCTGTTAGCTGTGTGCTTCTTTAGAAACCAATAAGAGTGATCTGGATTTTATATAAAGACAACATTTGCCAAAATGTTTTGTTTGAGAAACAGATTGTTTATAAATCAGACATTACGTCATGAAACTCCAATATGGCTGAATTCCTCTACAGATGCAAAAGACTCCTTCTTAGTTGTGGACAGTATTCATTTTTTAAATTCTAGGACAGGATGGGCTTTATAGCTTTGTTCACCTTTAAAAATGTTTTTTGTTTTGTATTTATTAACTTATGATCTCTTTGTCTGACAGAATTAATGGGATGATCTTAAACCGGTCAGCTCTACATGAGCTTTTGATTAAACAAATTATACAGTACAAGGAAAATTATACTTCATGCATCTGCTCAATAATTTCCCGCTCCTGTGTGGTCCTTAAGGTTGTCCATGTGTCTGTGACTGAGCCAGCCGTCACGATGTTGTCTGCACAAAGAGCATGTGCAGCCCTGGCTCTCCGCCACCTGGTTGGGGCCCGTGTGTCCTCAACTCAACAACACCGCTTGCAGATTCACACCTCAGTGTTATGTCAAGATGAGGTCAAGCTGGACCCTGAGTGGGCCGACCTGGCTAAGAAACAGCTTAAGGGGAAGAACCCTGAAGATCTGATCTGGCGCACACCTGAGGGAATCAACATTAAGCCGGTGTACAGGAAGTCTGATTCAGAGGGACGTGCTGATGAACTGCCTGGAGTCTTTCCATACACTAGAGGGCCCTATCCCACCATGTACACATACAGACCTTGGACAATCAGGCAGTATGCTGGCTTCAGCACTGTGGAGGAGAGCAACAAGTTTTATAAAGATAACATTAAAGGTAGATCTACTTTACCCATTCTATACTAAATATGTAATTTAAGTTTTAAGGCAATTAAGGCAACAAGATTTATGCATTTTTCTGTTATATATTTATTTCTATATGCATTATGCTTTGCATGGTTTTTCAAAGGGTGTTTTACAAAGCTTTAGGAGCACATAAGATTAGCATACATGTGGACAAGAGTTTGCCACAATTGGTTTAAAAAAAGCTAAACAAAAATCTCTGACCCAAAGCACTAATTATCACTTCCATATCACTTGCAGGTTGCGCGGTGCCTCTGCTGTGCTTGGCTTACCGTGGCACTGGGTCAATGTTGTTGGAGGGCATTAGATCAGATGTAGCCATCTGACTAAATTAAAATGCAGTGGACATGCTGTCTGCTTATTTTTAGCCAGATACAAGGAAAAATACCAATTAAATTATCTGAGAAAACTTTTCTGTACATGAGATGAGTACAGAGGCCGGATAACCAACAAAATCACTGAAAACTTATTTTTTTAAAGGAATATAATCTGAATATTTTACAAGAACTGAGTTATTTAAATGTCTTCAGCAGGAGGAACGTAAAGAAAGGAATCACGAATCACATGGATGGAAAAAAACAATTCACCTGCTGTAACTAAAGGAAAAAGAAATTATTATTCAATATTGCTGATGATATTTTTCAAATTGATTTAGTCTTAAAAGTCCAAAGTGTTGTGGCTGATTTAAGCAAACATAAACATGTCGCTGTGAGCAAAGACTTGCTCCTAGTCATAGCTTCAGCTAGGTGTTGCCAAGCCTCTGCAGTGTTTAGGTCTGGGCAAAAAGCCTCTTAAGTTTGTGATTTGATTGAGCTGAAATGTTCACCAGAGGGGCCCCCGAAGAGACTGGAGATTAGTGTTTTGATCAACATAGTTTGACATGATGTTACTGTAAGGTCTGCTGCACGGCAGGCAGCGTGACGTCTGCGTTGTTTGTGCAGAAAGTCGTCTTATAAGCGGAATCTGTTTGGATTCAAGCTAATGGTTTGAAGGCGCCCTCAGTTACAATTTAAACCAAATATTTAACATATATTATTTTCTCTTAATGTCAGAAATTAAACAAACTAAACTTATTCTTCAATTTGAGGGTAATATATTATATTATTGGCTTATCCTTTAATATCCTAATAAAATGCAGTGTTTTATTTGTGGCATTTACCAAGCAGGAGCATTCCAGCCGTCTCCTTTTCTCTTCCTTTTTATAATTCCTGGTGTCTGTTCCATTTCAGCTGGTCAGCAGGGTCTCTCTGTGGCGTTTGACCTCCCGACCCACCGTGGCTACGACTCAGACAATCCCAGAGTCCACGGGGATGTGGGAATGGCTGGAGTGGCCATAGACACGGTGGAGGACATGAAGATGCTCTTTGACGGAATCCCCCTGGAGAAGATGTCTGTCTCAATGACAATGAATGGAGCCGTTATCCCAGTGTTGGCCATGTTCATCGTCACCGGGGAGGAACAGGGAGTGCCAAAAGAAAAATTAACTGGCACCATTCAGAATGATATTTTAAAGGAGTTCATGGTGCGCAACACCTACATATTCCCTCCGGAACCATCCATGCACGCCATTGCAGACATCTTTGCATATACCTCTAAGGTATGAAGCACAGGGAAGCAAAGCAGCCTGCTGCAACTTTAAGGCTGTTAGTAATTCCACATTATGATTTTCTCTGTTCACAGCACATGCCAAAGTTCAACTCCATATCCATCAGTGGCTATCACCTTCAAGAGGCCGGAGCAGATGCTATTTTAGAAGTAGCTTACACCATTGCTAATGGGCTGGAGTACTGCCGGACGGGTCTGAAAGCGGGCCTAACCATCGACGAGTTTGCACCAAGGTGTGTAACCTGATTAGCAGTTCTAGTAAGTGTCTTTAAATTTTGTCCCAACTTTGACAGGACATGGATTTAAAATCAAGTATTTATTTGAGAGTACAGCATTTTAATACAAAGAGGAAAAAGTAAATAAAATAAAGCCATATTTGGTTAACTAAGGATGACATTTTTTTAAATCTGATTAAATAATGCCTCTCAACACTACACTAACACTAAAATCACCTTCATATTCCAGCTCACTCTAAAAGTTTGCTTAATACACTGTCAGATGAGAAGCTGAGTTCTTTAATAAAAAAGGGAGATGAAAACTCCCCTGTTTAATGAAAAGTCCTGCTGGCTAATAACATTTTTGGGGAGTTTTGATTGTCCAGATATAGACCATCCATAGGGCTAAATATGGCCCCCTGTAAAGGTCAGAGGCTCAGCAAAGTGTTATGGTTAAAAATACAATCTCCAAAATTGTTCAAACCAGTTTCATGGATTATAGTATTACAGCCCTGGACCGGATTTCCGGCTCATAGCCCGTGGGTTAAAAAGAACCCACTCGAAAATTAGGTTAATAAATACAAAAAGACAATCGAAATCCCAATGTTGGCAAAGGCATGCTCTGAAACTAACACTATTAGCCAAACAGAAAATGAAGGGGGCGGGTCTTAGGAAAGTGTGTACCTCCTCCTCTTGTTTCTTGATTGTGGTACAGTGCTGAAGTTTTTCACAGAAAGTCACCTTGCGCTGTTTACGGCTCCATTTAACGGAGAGACGTGTAAAGAGTCAAAAAATAAATAAAAGTAACTTTGTGTTTGGAGAAAAGGGCGATAGAGAAAACGGAATTGCATGGAGTGGGCACAATGCAGTTCATGAACTCCAGCATGCTGTGCTCCAGGAAGCTTATTTACACATCCAGCAGCAAAAAGGTGCTACGCTAACATGAATTAGACCCTGGTCATCAAGCTGCTGTTCGTGCGGTCACACACACTACTGGTTTGCCGGGAGCTACGGCAGCAGCTGATGTACCAGCGTCACTAACTGACCGTGTATAGATATAGATGAACTTTTGCCATCTTCTGGACATTTATGGTATTGGATTTCCAAAAGTCAAATTTAATATTCAATCATTCATGCAATCTGGCTGGACAGGAACATCTGTGCAGAGTGTGGGCTGGAAACCCTAAGGTCAAAGTGGGAAACACCCCCAAAGGTGGTAGAGAATGATCGAGCCAAGATCCTGTGGGACTTCCAGATACAGACGGACCGAATTGTAATGGCAAACCAACCGGACATTGTGATGGTGGACAAAAAGCAGAGGAAAGCAGTTGTGGTTGATGTAGCAATACCAAGTGACTGCAACATCAGGAAAAATGAACATGATAAACTAGAGAAATACTAGGGGCTCAGAGAAGAGCTGGAGAAAACCAGGAAGGTCAAGGCATCAGTGGTGCCCATAGTCATTGGGGACCTCGGGGCAGTGACCCCCAAACTGGAGAAGTTTTTACAGCAGATCCCTGGAAATACGTCAGACATCTCAGTCCAGAAGGGTGCAGTTCTAGGAACAGCAAAGAGACTGTGCAGAACCCTCAAGCTCCCAGGCCTCTGGTAGAGGACCTGAGCTTGGAGGAAAAACAGGGAGTTTCTTGCCTGTTTTTTTTTTTTTGCTTTAATCCCTCCATTTTTCTTCTTTCTGTGATTTTATAAATCTTTTCTGGGAGTTGACCTGAATTGTAAGTGCCACATGCTGGGAAACATGCTTATTTAACAAGTTGGGAGGCCTTACCTTTGCAAGCGGTGGACAGATAAGATCAGGTGGTCTCATCTTTACAAGATGTATTTACACATGTTTAAAGTTTAAACAAAGTTGCATTTTTCTTGTTTTATCCAAGGTTCATACAATGATTGATAATGAATCTTCTAATTTACCTTTTTTGCATTTTGTACTTTGGTTCAATGCACTTTGAGATATCCAAGAATTTCCCTGAAGGAGTAATCCCAAGGGATAAAGTTGAATATAAGTCTGAGATATTTCTATAAAGCATCCTAAGAATAATATTTATCATTATCATCATTGCTGTTATTCATTAGTGGCAGAAACATACCGACTGTAAAGAAGCTTGATGGGATTTTACATCAGAATCTCTCTAAAATAAATATCCAACAGGAAGATGAAGCCAAATTATTTTCATTTCTTTATTTCTGTTTATCTGTAAAATAATGTAATATTCAGGACGACAAATGACATGAAGCAGCCAGAAGCTGCAAATCAATAAGGAGATATTCAGTGTTTTCTTCAAACCACAATCAATGTAGATCTTTGTTTGATTGCTAACAAACAAAGCACATACAAGCTTCACAAAAGCTGCCTCCTAATAGCTTCTAAGTCATTGTAGAAGGCAGATGGCTGAAGCCATTTCAAGCTAATCAGATTTTTCACCTGTCAAGCATTGTAACCCTGTAATCTCCTGTCAGTGTGTGAGTGCTGCTGTCTTTTCTTCCATCGAAGCAATGGGAGACTTTCAGGTACATTTAATTTAGACGAATCTCCTCAGTCAGAGCCCGGTCTGTTGCTTGACCTTTCTCCTTTTATAGAGACTTCAGAAGCAGCTCTTAAAGACAGCTTCTTCGAATCACCGCACAGCCACCAAGTTCTATGTAATGGATTATTTTCTTCTCATTCTTATCTCTTATGTCATTTTTTTCTTTTTCTTAAACCACAATCAGATTTTCCACTTATCTAACCTTGACTTCATCCATGCTGCAGGGCTTTTTAAAGGTTAAAGTTGTAGTTGAAATAGTTTGATTTCCTTTGATTTCCAAGGCTTGCATCCGAAATAATTGCTGTGAACAAAGTAAGTGTATTTAAATCTTTTAGTTAATAATCTGTTAAAGCTATGCCCTATTAAAAGGGGGTGTTACTCTACCAATTGCACGTCTACAGAATGAAGCATTTGCTCAATCTGTCAGATTGAATAAAGTAGAAATACTTGAATTTCATTCCGAAAGAAGGAGCCTATGAATCCTCCTCTAAAGTTAATCTTAAACATAGTCTCCAGTCTTTTCTCATCACTAAGACATTTTCTTTAGGATCCGCAGCATCCTAGATTTACAGAAAAACTCTACATGGAATCACTTCTGTATTTTCTTCATCAATTAATTATTTTCTTTTTCTTGCAACTGATAAAAAACAGATATTTGAGATGAACAAATAAAGGTTGTCCTGCTTCCACCTGAGCAGTGGAGCTATGCACCCCCTCCAGAGTTACTAGAGGCTTTTACGCTCCTGCTCTCATTAAATGTCTCATTTTCCAGTCTGTCCTATAAGCTGTTTGTTTACTATTATTCTCTATGAAACCTCTGTGGCCTTCAATGAACAGAGGAATTTATTCTGAGATTAGAGGTGTTTTGTTCTAAGGTTAATTTGCTGCACTGTATCTTATTCAGAGAATAAGAGGCTGACATAAGCGTGCCACTGTAAAAAAATCTTCCTTTTCTTCCTACTTCTCCATTTTGCTCCGAACTGTGTTGTGCCATAAAAAAAGTCCCTCTATAATGCATTGAGGTTACGGTTCTATTGTGTGAAAGGTTAAAGCGGTAATACTTTTAAAAATTTAGAACATCGTTATTTTTTTCTTTTTAATATTTGGATGTGTTGTTCCTGCAGATATCTCTTTATCTGATCTTAATTTGAGCATTTTTTTTATTTTTATTTTTCTTCTTTTATTTTTTGCTCTCAGGTTGTCGTTCTTCTGGGGAATCGGGATGAATTTCTACATGGAAATAGCAAAGCTGAGAGCAGCCAGGAGGTTATGGGCCACTCTGATAAAAGAAAACTTCCAGCCCAAGAACCCCAAGTCTCTCCTCCTGCGCACCCACTGCCAGACTTCAGGCTGGTCGCTCACCGAGCAGGTGAACATATTCAACCAAGATTCAAGCATGAAGCGGCGACAAGGTCAAAGAAACGATTAACATCACAGCTCTCCCCTGCTCTTATTTTTAGGACCCCTACAACAACGTGATCCGAACAGTGATCGAAGCCATGGCCGCTGTGTTCGGGGGCACCCAGTCACTGCACACCAACTCCTTTGATGAAGCCCTGGGTTTGCCGACTGTGAAGAGCGCTCGGATCGCCAGGAACACCCAGATCATCATCCAGGAAGAATCAGGCATCCCTAAAGTCGCAGATCCCTGGGGGGGCTCGTTCATGATGGAGGCGCTCACAGATGATGTTTATAATACAGCTTTGAAGGTATCACGGAGATGATAAGATCCGATCTATAAGTTGTGTCTTATATATATTTATTGTTTTGCTACCCACTGATCAGTGGCTTGTGTTACTTTCTGTAGTTTATTAAAGAGATAGAAGAGATGGGAGGCATGGCCAGAGCGGTGGCAGAGGGCATCCCAAAACTTCGTATAGAGGAATGTGCAGCACGGAGACAGGCCCGCATTGACTCAGGTACTGCACTGATGCATCATCTTTTAACCTTTTTTTCCTAACAGCCCCTCATAGATCTGAGTTTAAGCTGCAGGGCTACTATGAAAACTAACTGATCTATAGTTTATGATCGTGCAAATTGCAGAAGTTAAAGTTTCAAGGTTTAAAGTGTAAAGCAACATTAACTTGTTTTTCAAATCTTTCATGCAAGGCTTCTTTTTTATTCCTGTTTTCACATGAACGTTTTTATTATTAATGGGAAAGGGCTGGAAGCAGACCAGAAAGAAACACTGACAGTGAGCCACTTTTGTAGTTATTAAATAATGTTCCTGTTTGCAAGCCTTCAGCGTGATCCCAGCTTTCATTTCAACATCAGTTACCAGCGTGGAAATGAGTCAGACTCATTTAGATGTTCTTAGGCAAAACCTTTAACCCTAAACTTTGTGGTTTTGTTCTAAAAAGCTTTTTTCTTCCTATGACTCTGCTGAAGGTTTGATTCATACTCTGGAACGAAGCACCATCTATTTAGCTTTTTGAGGCATTTTAATGGCTTTTAACATTAGAAAAAAATATAAAAAAATTCAATGTCAGCTCTTCCTCATATTTATAATTTTTATTTAAGCAAAAATTCACAACTAAACTCTTAATAAACAGCTGTCGACAAATTATTAAAAAGGATCCTGGAATCAAATTCAGTCAGCATTTGTTTGGGTCGCCATTGCCTTTGCCTGCTTAAAAACCCAAATTTAAAGTTTTGCTCTGGCATCAAATGCTTCCCTGTACTGTAATTCCCCCTGACATGCTCTTAAACTTTTAATTCTGCAGGGCTTTTGCATAAAGACATCTAAATAATTTATGATGCTCCAGATGGGATCTCCTGTGCTTCCTCCTAAAAGTTTTTTGAAACTTTTGTAACATTCTTCAATTGAACAGGAGGCAAGGGGACCATGAGCACAATTTCATTTCCTGCTGAGGCTACCCATTCGACCTAGGACATTTCTCAAAATCTAACTTCAATGTATTAAAACATGTTATTTTTTTGCAAGGCCTAGGCTCAATTTTAGCCAGAGATGTAGAAATACCAAATCACTTATATAGAACCTGATTAACAACGTAAAGTAGGCTAAAAATCTAAAAAACACATCAGGCCCTGATGTAAAGAAATTAAAAAGATGATGCACAACTACCTTATTGACATATATCTGTCTGGGTGGGAATTTTTTAAACATGATAGCTTAGTTGTACAATATTACATGATTTAGAAATTTTATTAGGTTTAATTATTTAACACTTAAGTATGTGAACACCCTGCTATTTTGCATGATCTCCCACTTAGAAATCATGGAGGGATCTGAAATTGTCATTGTAGGTTCATGTCAGTGTGAGAGACATTATCTAAAAAAAAAACCCCAAAAAAGTGCTTTTGTTTAGAGCAGGGAATATTAGCCCGAACCCGACGGGACCCGAGAGGTCCTGCCGGGTTTGGGCGGGTTCGGGCTGTACTTTTTATTATTTCATTCGGGCCGGGCCGGGCTCGGGCTTTAAACCGTTATATGCGCGGCAAATAAATGATCATGTGATAACGTTCGATCTATACGCGATGAATGCAAATGAATGCAAAATGGATGTTACAGAAGTGAAACGGAGATTAGCCCTTAATGCGCACAATTGAAAAATGTCGGGCTGCAAACGGGTCGGGCTCTACGAAGCTGTCAATCATAACGGGCCGGGTCGGGCACGGGCCTGGTTCTTTCGGACTCGGGTCGGTTTCGGGCTGACTTTCAAGGCCCGTTTCATGCTCTTCTTTTGTTTGCCATTCCAGAGGTATAACATTTCCTGTAGTTTTTCACTAGGTTTGCACACACTATAGGAGGGATTTTGGCCCACTCCTCCACACAGATCTTCTCTAGATCAGTCAGGTTTCTGAGCTGTTGCTGGGAAACATGGAGTTTGAGCTCCCTCCAAAGATGCATTTAGGTCTGGAAACTGGTTAGGCCATGCCGGAACCTTGATATGCTTCCAAAGCCACTACTTCATTATCCTGGCCATGTGCTTTGGGTCATTGTCATGTTGGAAGGCTCAGCCTCGACCCATCTTCAATGCTCTAACTGAGGGAAGGAGGTTGTTCCCCAAAATCTCCCAATCCCTGACCTTGGTCATCCTCTCCTTAATAGAGTGCAGTCGCCCTGTCCCATGTCCATCTCACCAGAGCCTTTTCTTCTAAACCCTGCCCCTCCACATCACCACTCTCAACCATGGGGTCCTGACCCCAATTGAGGTCACAAAATGATTTCTTTTGGTTGCCAAATCATTTTGGAAAAATGTAATGTGCAAAATTAATGTAGCCTCCGACCAAATATTAGGAGGGCAAGCAGTTGGTCTCATACAGGCATTTTATTACTCAAAACGGTTAATGTTCACTAAAACAACAACAACAAACCTGTCCGTTAAGGTCACAGTATTTAAAAGAAAGCTGTGGGAGTGGATGGGGTAAGTGTTGAAATGTTCCTGGAGCTTGAGGTCTTTATGGAGAGTTAACGACATGACCATTCAAACTATGAAACTAATTATTGCCTCTCACCTCAGGAACCAGCTTAAAAGTTTCAATAAGTACTTCCCAAATAATGACTCGCAAGAAAATTGTGATTGAATAGGTCTTTCACCACCTTCACCGCACACTACCTGTCATCAGAGCTGCAGGACATCCTGCTCAATTTCTCCTCTGATCCCACAGTAGACCGTTTTCTCTGCATGCCTGCTGGAAGAGTTCTGCTTGTCAGTAGCAACAAAGCTGCAACTGGTCGACTGTTTCCATTTGCTTCCGCATATCTGCTGAAAATACTTTTTCTGTGCTGACATGCATTGAAAACCAAATACAGATCATGATTCCCGAGAGCCAGCCTTGGGGAGGTTTACAATTTTTTCTCTAGTGTCTTTGGAGAGCGCTTTGGTCTTGGTCATGTTAGTAGTTGGATTCTTACTGATTGTATGGGGTGGACAGGTGACTTTATGCAGCTAGCAACCTTAAACAGATGCATCTAATTTAAGATAATAAATGAAGAAGAGGTAGACATATTGAAGGCAGACTAACAGGTCTTTGAATGTCAGAATTCTAGCTAATAGACAGGTGTTTAAATACTTATCTGCAGCTGTATAATACAAATAAATAGTTATAACATTATATATTGTGATTACAGCAAACATGATCATGTTCTTATGTATCAGCCTACAATCCACGAACGTCACAAGCAGATTATTTCAAACTAAAACATGTACATCAGCTACAGTTCGTAGCTCATCTTTTGCCTTTCTTTCACAAGTCTTTGAGGGCATGGGTATAATTTTAGTCTGACATGTTTTAATTCTGTGAATTGAGTGCAACTAGATTAACTCCTCTGCAGCGTAATGCTGACAATACTATACCCACATTTTTACCAAAATGTTTTTTTTTTTCCCATCTCACCAGAGCCTTTTCTACCAATTGCTGCCCTTCCACATCACCACTCTCAAATTTGGGGTCCTGACCCCAATTAAGGTCACAAAATGATTTCTTGTGGTTGCCAAATTATTTTGGAAGAATGTAATGTGCAAAATTAATGTAGCTTCCGACTGGACATTAGAAGGATGGCGAGCAGTTGGTCTCATACAGGCATATTATTACTCAAAACGGGTTAGTGTTGGCCTTAAGTAGGCTTTACTAAAACAGCAACAACAGACCTGTCCGTAAGGTCACAGTATTTAAAAGAAAGCCGTGGGAGTGGATGGGGTAAGTGTTGAAATGTTCCGGGAGCTTGAGGTCTTTATGGAGAGTTAATGACATAACCATTCAAACTATGAAACTAATTATTGCCTCTCACCTCAGGAACCAGCTTAAAAGTTTCAATAAGTACTTCCCAAATAATGACTCGCAAGAAAAGAGTGATTGAATAGGCCTTTCACCACCTTCACCGCACACTACCTGTCATCAGAGCTGCAGGACATCCTGCTCAATCTCTCCTCTAAACCCACAGTAGACAGTTTTCTCTGCATGCATGCTGGAAGAGTTCTGGTTGTCAGTAGCAACAAAGCTGCTTCGATTGACTGTTTCCATTTTGCTTCAGCATATCTGCTGAAAATACTTTTTCTGTGCTGACATGCTTTGAAAACCAAATACAGATCATGATTCCCGAGAGTTGAGTGAGATCTCTATGTGGCCTTTTCTATCATGAAGCCATGAATGAAGCTGCTCTGTTCAAACAAGCAGGTCCAGACGTCACATTTAATACACCTCTGCTTTTGACCAGGAAATTATTTTTTATGCTTAAGCCTTTTGAAACATATATTATTGTTTTATTTCATTAAAAATAAAATTAGGTTTGTGTCATTTGTTTGCATTTTAAACTCAAAATAATAGGATTTAGCGACCATTGTCGGTCTGTTTGGGAAGTTGGCCTCTTCATGCTGCTCCCTGTTTTTCACAGGATCCCACTATATGTCAAAATAAAAGTGACTCATAGCTAAAGTGAGTTAAGGCTTGTCTGATTATGTTAATTCAAAGTATAATTACATTGATCCGGCATGTGGGGTCTTGGGCAGCAGTGTATGTTATATTGGGCTATACATGACAACAAACAACACTTCTTATGGCTTTCCTTTTGGTACCTTCTTCAGATTACACAAATAATTACACAAATAACACTAGTCTGCATGTTTTTCCTCTCTGGCTCATATTCTCATTATTTGAGGTGTACAGCCAAATTAAAACTTTTAACTCTAAACTTTTAAAGTTTTAAAAATATGAGTTATTTTTCTTCCTATTCACAATAATAAAGCACTTTATGTTGGACTGCTACAGAAAAAATAAAAAAAGGTTTTCTAGATGCTTCCTATTAAAGATAATTTATTCTGTAAGATATATTTTTCAGTCATTAATTACTTGAACAACACATACAAGGTCGCTCAGCTACATTTCAAAACAAAAATTATACAACACCATATCATGGCATGATTGTATCTCTGCCGCATTGTGAGATGAGCTGAGGCAGGCCGTGGGCGGCGTAATGTAGGTATTATTAACTGAGACTCAGTTCAAGGTTCTGCTCTGCTCTGCAGGCAAATGTCTTTCTCTATGTCAGTGTCCAGCTTGATGTAGGCAGGCCTTACTATTCATTGGGTTTTCTGACTCACCTTGTCGTTTCTTACACTCATTCTCTGCTTTGAATGACCTTGAATTCTGATCGCCTTTCGATGCCTTTAGATTTACTGCTGTGAGACTTCATTGTAAAATGTTTTTTGATATCATAACTTAATCAAATTTTTTTTAAAGTCATTCAGTTCACACTCACAAACACACACTGATATATATATATATATATATATATATATATATATATATATATATATTTATTTATATATATATATATATATATATATATATATATATATATATATATATATATACTATCGTTCAAAAGTTTGGGGTCACATTGAAATGTCCTTATTTTTGAAGGAAAAGCACTGTACTTTTCAATGAAGATAGCTTTAAACTAGTCTTAACTTTAAAGAAATACACTCTATACATTTCTAATGTGGTAAATGACTATTCTAGCTGCAAATGTCTGGTTTTTGGTGCAATATCTACATAGGTGTATAGAGGTCCATTTCCAGCAACTATCACTCCAGTGTTCTAATGGTAGGATGTGTTTGGTCATTGGCTCAGAAGGCTAATTGATGATTGGAAAAAAACTTGTGCAATCATGTTCACACATCTGAAAACAGTTTAGCTCGTTACAGAAGCTACAAAACTGACCTTCCTTTGAGCAGATTGAGTTTCTGGAGCATCACATTTGTGGGGTCAATTAAAGGCTCAAAATGGCCAGAAAAAGAGAACTTTCATCTGAAACTGGACAGTCTATTCTTGTTCTTAGAAATTAAGGCTAATCATGCGAGAAATTGCTTAGAAATTGAAGATTTCCTACAACTGTGTGTACTACTCCCTTCAGTGGACAGCACAAACAGGCTCTAACCGGAGTAGAAAAAGAAGTGGGAGGCCGCGTTGCACAACTGAGCAAGAAGATAAGTACATTAGACTCTCTAGTTTGAGAAACAGAGGCCTCACAGGTCCCCAACTGACATCTTCATTAAATAGTACCCACAAAACACCATGGTCAACATCTACAGTTAAAAGGTGGCTGCGGGATTCTGGGCTTCAGGGCAGAAGAAACAGCCATATCTGAGACTGGCCAATAAAAGAAAAAGATTAAGATAGGAAAAAAAAACACAGACATTAGACAGAGGAAGACTGGAAAAATGTGTTGTGGACGGATGAATCCATGTTTGAGGTGTTTGGATCACAAAGAAGAACATTTGTAAGACGCAGTCCAAATGAAAAGATGCTGGAAGAATGCCTGACGCCATCTGTTAAGCATGGTGGAGGTAATGTGATGGTCTGGGGTTGCTTTGGTGCTGGTAAGGTGAGAGATTTTTACAGGGTAAAAGGGATTCTGAATAAGGAAGGCTATCACTCCATTTTGTAATGCCATGCCATACTCAGCGCTTGATTGGAGCACAATGACCCTAAACACACCTCCAGATTGTGCAAGAACTATTTAGAGCAGAAGCAGACAGCTGGTATTCTAGTGGTAATGGCCGGTGCAGTTGTCAGATCTGAACCCCATTGAGCTGTTGTGGGAGCAGCTTGACTGTATGGTACGCAAGAAGTGCCCATCCAACCAATCCAACCTGTGGGAGCTGCTTCTGGAAGCGTGGGGTGCAATTTCTCCAGATTACCTCAACAAATTAACAGTTAGAATGCCAAAGCCCTGCAATGCTGTAATTGCTGCAAATGGAGGATTCTTTGACGAAAGCAAAGTTTGATGTAAACATTTTTTATTTCAAATAAAAATCAATATTTCTAACCTTGTCAATGTCTTGACTCTATTTTCTATTCATTTCACAACGTATGGTGGTGAATAAGCATGACTTATTCAGGAAAACACAAAATTGTTTGGGTGACCCCAAACTTTTATATATACACATATATATATATACACATATCGTCATTGGTTTCAGGTAAATTCTTACTTTTATTTGTCTTTGTGTGAATGTAGCCCAAGATAATTGCATTGTTTACTTTTAAAAACCTTTAATTTTGATAGGAAGGTTAGTATAAATCAGGAATGTCATAAGTTGGTCCTCGATGGTCGCTGTCCTGCAGGTTTCCCTGCTTCAGCACAGCTTAGTTTTATTCATAGCTGATTCGCAGGCTTCTGCTGAACTCCAATTATCAGAATCTGCTAATCTGAAGCAGAGCAACACTGAAAACCTGTAGGCCAGCCATCCTCGAAGACCAGGTTTGGCATTAGCAGTTATAAAGCATTGTAGAAAATTTGAGATATTTTCCCCGTACCTGGCTATGAAACAAATAGACGCACCAAAGTGCTCTAATATTTTATGTTTGTGTAATATCCAAAAAATATATATTCTCCCAGAGTTCCTTCATGCTCATTTTGAACATAAAGCAATAAGTTATTTACCATCAAAAAATAGCTTGTTATGGTTTCTTCACATGAAATCCTTCTCTGGTTCTTCTTTGTTCAGGGACAGAAGTCATTGTTGGTGTGAACAAGTACCGTCTGGAGAAGGAGGAGACCGTGGAGGTGCTCGCAATAGATAATACTGTTGTTCGTCAGAAGCAGATTGAGAAGCTGAAAAAGGTCAGTCCAACAATGAATTTAAAAATGCTGTGCTGGTGAGAGGATTGTACTACTTAGACAGGCTTTATATGGGGGGTAAACGTAAGAAACTGTATGAAAGGCAACAAACAGAATTTTTTTTTTTTGTCATCGCTTCTAAAGCTACGTTCACACTGAAGACAAATGAGACCTTAATACACTTTAGTTTGCCTTAAAGTGACTCAGGTTAGATTCTTTCATGACTGGGTCAACAGACCAAGTCCTAAACAGTAATCTGACTGTTTCAAATCTGATCTGGGCCACATTTGTATGTGGTTTTAATTCTGATACAGGTCTGATCTTTGGGAATCTGACTGCAGTCTGAACAGCCCAGTGAAATATATCTGAACTGGCGGGGGCCCGGGAACAAAACAATTAGACAAAGAAAGATGAGGAGGATGATTTAAAAGAGATTAAAAATACACAGTGGGAAGGGATGGCAAGGTTCGCAACTTGCTGGTGTTTGACGCCACAACAAAGGAAATACTCTGTTGAGATATGTTTGGCTCAGAGAAAGAGAGATCAGACCAGACCTCTTAGAAACCCCAGTTTCTGCACTGATAGAGAAAGTTGAGGATTTCAGCTCCTCCTCCTCCTCCTCTTTGAGGATTCAGTCTAAACTCTATAAAAGGGCTTTTTACCTTGATATTACAATGAAATATGGTTTGGATTCTGCTTTACATTGTTGTCACCATTTACATAATGTAACCTGGATACAAACATTGACAAGCAAACAGTTAATTACATGTACAGCTGGGTGTCAACTAAATAGATCAACCCTAATCAGTGAGGTGATTGGCTGATTGTATTTTTGTATTTCTATAATTTTCCATTCTATGGAATGCTGGTCACATCAGGCAAAATACAGTTGCTATTATGTCATTATTATAGGTCTTGTCATAAATGACAAGGCAAGTTATTTATGTAGCGTAGTTCTGTACAATTCAAAGTCCTTAAGTAAAACAAAAGCACATGAAATAGAAAAAGCAAAGCAAATAAAACAGTTTGACCACAAAACTAAATGAATGAAACCAATAAATTAATGAAACCTCAGTTAATAGTTTAACTTTTACAATCAAAGTCTGTTCAGAACAAATAGGTTTCATGCTTTCAGCACTTTTATAAAGTTTGATCCAGATAAGTGGAGCATTGTGCTTCTACATGTTTGAAATGATATAAAGTTAATAACCCGGCACCACTGTAATGTAAAAACTCTGTAGAAGAGTTTTTAACCTTTATTTTACGTGTAAAAAAAACATTTTGGCTGGTAAAAAAAAAACCTTTCTGATAACGATTAAAGACCCGCCCTCTCCAAAAAAAAAAAAAAAAAAATGAGTCCGTTTACTTAACGTTCACTACTTTTTCCCCCTCATTTGGTCACATAGCTCCTCCTCCACTGTGCGGTGCCTGCGCCATCTTTGTTATTAGTCGCCACTGTCTCTTAGTTACAGCGGGCCACTGTGACAGCAAATCCCATAATAAATCCCACGATATATATGCCTCTTCTGGAGCCTTTCTTTTCTTCTTATACACTTCGTAGACACTTTTTCTCTTTCAAGAATTCTCATTCGGCATTTTCAAAGAACCATGGTGAGAAAGGCGAGCTTCAATGACTGGCTGAATCTGTAGCTCACCACAGATATACGCCTGAAAGTGTGCATGTGCAGAAAAAGATAGCTAACGAGACAAGCACATAGGTCAGCCTTACTTAAACATATCACCAGAATATTTGAAAGTTAGGAGGACCAGTTATTCTGATGATTCACCCGGAAATAAACATTTGTCCTGTATAGCTTAATTCTCAACCTTAGTGGTGTTTTTTTCTAGGTTATTTGTACATTACATTTTCTCCAAGCCCCTGATACACAGTAGAGTTCAAACTGCTTTCTATGATTAGAAACACTACTGGCCCCGATGTAGCAAAACGTCCCCAAACCATGACACTTCCATGTCTGTTTTACAAAGTTCCTATGAGATTCTTTTCCTAGAAGGTTGCATCGGCTGTATGACAAACATCTATTCCGTCATCTATATAATTCAGTTATAGGAAAGTGATTCCCTAAAGTCGAAGGAATGTGGCTGTTCCAACCGTTGCATTTCCAAATTCTCCCAAGTGGTGCCTGACTTTACATGAGTGAATAAAGTGAATGTGATCGGTCAATTATCAAGGGGGCAGGATTGTTGTGGCGGAAGGTTTGCAAGCAAGTTTGGTTGTGGCCGGTGTCTTGGAAGCATCTTGCTAAGCAGTTAGCAACTTAGTGCTGGTAGGTTCCCAATGGGAAATTACATTGGGTCCAAGTAGCACGACACTGTCAAGGACGCTATGGACGGCGGAAACATGCAAGAGGAGGAGAATTTTGTGTCGGAGGTCGTGGATGAGTCTCCTCCGTCATACATTTTGCTAGGGCGGCAGAAGCTTGGTTTTAGTGTAGAAGGCTTACAGCTGTACATCTTTGAGCCCTTGCCTCGCAACGCTGCCAGTTCTGTTAGCTCTACGCCTGCTGAAGACACAGACGTCCATCCCCGTGAACACTGGGAGGTAACTCAATGGTAAAGAAAATGATTCTTATTTGAACCGTATATTAGCTGCGTCATATGAATCAAGATGACGATTGATATATTATTGGCAGAATTTAGGTGTAGAGCTGACGTATAACTAACTGGCCTGCATGAAATAACGAAAAAAAAACACAGATTTTAAGACACGATTTTTTTAAAAGTAGAAATCTTCTAATTTTGGGACAATATAGTCTGATAAAGAGTACATTTACATACATGTTTAAACCAGAATGATTTGAAGTTTAAATATGACTTCCCTATGACTTTAAGTGATTGTCGTTGTTCTAAATTTCAGGGCCTCCTATAGGTCCCCTGTTTTTAGCATCCTACACTCTGCTTTCAGTTGGAACCAGCTTAGGAAGACAGCCTTAGTAGTCAGACTCAAAAGCACATTGGACTTCTTTTTTTCTGGTTTTATAGAGTAAATCTCATAAATAATTGTGAGTAATAATGTTTTCTAATCAAATGTGTTATAAGGCTGTGTGCAATTATTGCCTTTTTAGGTAGAGTCATGATTTATTTCTCTAAAGAAGTTGCATTTTTTATTTTATTTACAGAAAAAACAATCTTTTTTTATGTAGGGTTTATTGTTAATTTGTATTACTTGATTTTTTCAGTAGTCTTACAATTAACATTGAATATTAATGTATATGTGAGAAAAACATGGTCAGGGCAAGGTTGTCCTATTTTTTCATGACATTGTGATGCTGACCTTCACCCACTGGGAGAAAATTTCCTTTTTTTTTCCAATAAGATATATTATTTAGAAAGATTGGGAAGAAAAAAGTGGGCACTGCTTGGCCGGGGGTGACCAGTCTGCGCTCTGAGCTATATGCTTGAAACAGATGAGTTTTGAATTCAGAGCATAAACTGATTGCCCTGCAGAAATACTTCTTTAAAGTCCTAGAATATGATAATCATTTTAACCAACAGCAATTCAAAAGAAAAACCAAACTAACATTCCTCTCTTTAGTGTACGAATTGACTGTCAATTGCTGTTTTGTATCACAGCAATGCTGGGTATAAATAATAGAAAGAAATATTCATGGACAAAAACATGTAAAGAAAATATGGAGTGTTGGTAATTGGAAAAAGAAATGACAATAAAGATTGTACTCGTGGGTTCATTTGAACAAGTTTTATTCCCACCTACTTCCATCTAATTATATAATACATTTTTAAGTCTTTTCACTGTGCAGTTTAACTTGGTATTTCCTTCATGTGAAGTTTGTTCTTTAACTGTTATGTCTAGAACTAAATCATTAAAATTGTACCCTTTACCATCTAAACCTTTAATAAATATAAGGTCTGTTTTGATCAGGGTTTCTCTCTTGTTCCCTATTTTTTATTACTTATATAACTTGTTATATATTTAGTCAAATATTTCATATTGGTTCTAGTAAATCTTCAGACCAAATCCACAGGAAAATATATTTCTACCATTTTCTAAATCACGTGCTTTGCTAGGATTGCCTTAAAATGTATCTGTTGTGTCTCAGTTTTCTGCACCTCCAGCAGCTATCTGAGCAAAGAGCACAGCAGATGACATGACGCAGAGACATCTGCAGCAACCAATACAGTCACTCTTCCACCATTGTTTTGTTTCAACCCAGTTAAACAAGGTCTCATGAACTGAAACTAATGTAAATCATAGGAGTTAATTTAAACATTGATTTAACAGCTTCCTTCTTAGTCTCGATAAAAGAGAATTTGAAGTTGTCTTTGTCCATTCAACCTGCCGCCCATTGGGTCATTGGGTTATTCAGTAAACCAACAATCTGACAAATAGTTGGCGAAATGTATGAGTGGAAAGTAGGGCTGAAAATCTAAATTGCGATTATTTTTGACCAAAACTGCGATTTTATTTAGATTTTCCTTTGAACTTATCCCGAGCTTGCGGATGTTTCAACCCCAGGTTTCGGTTTTTGAAAGCTTGCTTTCCCATAGTCCATTGTTACCCGACTTTACTGTAACCATTGTATGAAAAAGTGTTTTTACTTCTACTTCTGTGCATGGATCTTCTGCTCTCTTCAAATCTCTCTACCCTTCTGTGTGGCAACAAACTTCAAGTGTTTAATCACCACCTAAAGGGATGGTGGGAGAAATTTAGTGTCATACTCTTCTTAATTATAGTGTGATTAAAAATCAGTGCCTGTACAATTTGGAAATTGCGTTTTGTTAAATTACAGTTATATTGTAAATGCAATTAATTGCCCAGCCCTAGTGGAAAGTCTTTTCTCAAGCAACAATAAATTGGTCTATTAATCTGTCCAGTCATCAGTTTGTCCTCCCAGCTGTTCATCCTTTCTTCTGTCCATCCATCCTTACATCATCATATTTAATCAATGACCACTGCTGAAGTGTCTTCTATGAAGTTCAAATGAACTTTTCCATTCATTTAAAAAGACTAAGGGATTCTGTACATTTTAGCAGGCAAAATAGTGTGTATTTCAGAGCTGGTTGATTAATCAATAATATCAATAATAATTTTTTTTTGTGCATTTCGATATAATTTTTTGGAAGATTGGGATTTTCAAAAGTCCTATGATACTGTTCTTATATATATATATATATATATATATATATATATATATATATATATATATATATATATATATATATATATATATACTCATATAAATTAACTCAATCTGTGATGTCTCTAGCTGCCAACATTGAGTATGTTTTCACCTTTTGCTCTGAAACCTAATTGTTTTATAAGCAGGATGGACAGCTTTAGATGAAGGTCACCCCCCAGAGGGGATGATTGCTTTTAAAAACAATATGTCTGTAGTTATTTTTATTATGACATTAAAGTGAGGGGAAAAAAGTCTATTAATTGGATTTGGTAGGAAAATGGGAGATTAGATTAAGTCATATTGCCCAGCCTTATTAAAAAAAACAAAAAATACAATCTGAATGAAGTTTATTGTGAAGTTGGTTTGCACTTAAAAGGAATTTGACAAATGCAGACAAATTTTATATATATATATTTATATTTATATATATATATACACACACAGAATACAGAATCTATAGCTATATACAATATAAAACATACAATATACTATTTTAACATATTAAAATGAATGTTTATGATTTTTCTGGTTATTTGAATAGCTTTAGTTGAATTACTTGAAGATATTTTCAAGACATAAGAGTACATTTCATTAATTTAACAATTTATACATTTTAAAGTTAACATTTTGTTTGACTCTTTGTCTATGTTACAACAAGTGTTGTGATTTTGTTTGTACGATCAGTTAACAGCAGAGTCAAACTCTCCATCTCAGGGATCTTTTTAGAAACTACATTCATACTTTCATTATTTCGTTATAAAACTGTGTATTTAGCTTGCCTTTCATGTCAGCCTTTACCATGTTAGTGATTAGAAATTGAAAATGTGCTTTTCGACATAGAAATTTTATTTTAAAATAATGTAATGTAAATGTTAAATAACACAAATGAACTTAATGATTTATATATTCTATAGAGAATAGCAGTTTCTGTAATTTCTCTGTGTATTTCACCCTTATAACTTATTCAGGTGAGACAGAGTCGTGATCCTGAAGTGGCAAAGAAGTGTCTGACGGCTATTGAAGAGTGCTCCCGATCAAGGGAGGGCAACCTCCTGGCCCTGGCTGTGGAGGCAGCACGAGCCAGGTCAGAGCTCCTCCACCAGAACAATCTTTATTTCTGCTTCAAGTCACATTCACATGCAGCACATCTTTCTTGCACTATATACTATATATATATATATATATATATTAATTTTTCCTGCGTGTGTAATTTCAGCAAGTGTGATGGTCTTACACTGAATGACTGGCACTCTTACTCTTATAAAGTAAAGTTATTCACATCTTTTCTTTAGAGGCTGTGAATGAGAGGTACTTAAACCTTGTAATAATTCTTCACCGGTTCTGTCATCTGGCTGATAATGAACCAACTGATCAAAGTCACCTCGAATCATCACCTTTTAAACATTCCCAGTTATCATTTTATGGACAAATTTTTACACTGGATGTCTAAATGAATGTATGAAAACTATCTTCAGATGCAATCATCTAGCTGGTAATAATTTCATATACAGTAGTGCTTGAAAAGTGTGTAGGAGTTTGTGAATACCAGTGTGGAAATGTTATATTGTGAACCTTTTTTGTGGGTCAGTGGGAATAAAAAAGGGCTTTTTACTCCACTTACAAAACAAAAATAAGGAAAAGGGGATAGTTTTAAAGCTCCTGTTTATAGATTAATAATATAAAAAAAAAAGATTTAGATATATCAGATCTGTGCTGGCTAGTCTCAGATTGTTGATCCGTTTCTTTAAGAGTCCCATTCTTCTGTGACTGCACCTTTATATGTGTATAATTATGTTTTGATTGCTGCAGATGATGGAGTTGTTCTAGAAATGATTTACTTGACCCCAGTGCAGCATTTGACCCTGCTGATCACAGTGTTTACCTCAGTGGGCTTAAACATCATCTCTTTTTTTCAGACTCTGGGGGACTGATTTTCCATATTTACAGGACAGAATGTTTGTCTGTAAAAGGAATTTCCTGCTCTTTAATCTGTGGGGTCGCCCTCAGCTCTGCTGTTTTTTTATTTATGTATTTTCTTCAGAAGCTATTTTTATGGTTTAATCTCCTCTTCAATCAACGTTACAATGAAATTTGGTTTTATATTGATAAATAACGTTCTGCTTATTATTACTTTTATATTATTTCCTGATGGATTTTAATGAAATTTGCTGTCTGATAATTTCAATGCTTTATTTATTTTTTTTTTTAACATAAACTAATTATTTCTTTTTATTGGGAGCCAGATGCAGGACCAAAACAGTAATTAATATTTCACAGAAAAACAAAACTTTGAGTCAGACACCTCCGACTGATGGTTTAAAGCAGGGGTTTGACAAAACTCAGCTTATTCCACGTTTTTACAGTATTAGGTTTATTAACCCCTTATCCACTCTGCTCATCATTAAAATAATTAAATTTGTATTATTTTATTATCTAAAAATATTTAACTGAGCTTCGAAGGCAGATTACAGTAAAACACTTTCAGATTAAAAGAATCAACTGGATGCATCATATTTAACCAATCATGATGATGAAATGTGAAGCTGTATACAAGGAAGTATTTATTTAGTGTTTTTTAGATTTTTACAGGCCTCCTTACCCTCTTTGTATTATTGCTTTGATTCTCTAAAACTCTATTATATAACCCTCTGATTGAAGGCATTTCTCCAGACATAATTCAAATGAAATACAAAAATCCTCTTGTAAAAAAGGTTTTTCTTTATTGAAAATGTATTTATTTTAATTTCAGAGGCAGCGGGGATGTGAAACCATGCTGAACCCTGTTCATTGTGTTTCTTTTGTATAGATGCTCTGTTGGTGAAATAACTGATGCAATGAAGAAAGTGTTTGGAGAGCACAAGGCCAGCACCAGGATGGTGAGCGGGGCTTACCTCAGCGAGTTTGGAGAGCATGAGGAGATCGCTGTGGCCAACAATAGGTAGAAAATAACCCCACTTCTCTTTTTGGCCTTAGTAATGTTTATGGTTGATTGACAGGTCATTCTCTTACATTAGAGTTACAGAGTTTAAGAGACACGAGGGCAGGAACCCACGGCTACTGGTGGCGAAGATGGGACAGGATGGACACGACAGGGGTGCCAAAGTCATCGCCACCGGCTTTGCCGACTTGGGATTTGATGTTGACATCGGGCCACTATTTCAGGTCAGTGATTCAGACTTGACAGGCGTCCTCCTGTCCATGGTGCACCACGTAACGGCGACCCTGCAGGGACAAGCAGGCATGGATGGAAAGAGTTTTCCTGGAGTTTGAATATGGCAGCCATGTTTGTTGTACCACCTCACACAATCAGGTGGAATTTAAAAGAACTTCTAAAGCTCACTACTAAAGAACTGCAGCAAAGATTGGCAAGAAGCCCGAAGTCTCCATGACAACTATTAGATATGTGCATCAGGAGTAGAGTTAACCTTGTATGTTCTGTATTTAATGTTTTATTATTTATTTTAAAGATAATAGATAAATCTGAAAGCCATCTGTCACTTTCGCACCCTGACCAATCGGTGGCGTGTGGAGTAATAATTAGCTGTTTTTTAACCAGATGTTCTGCAGATGCCAGTCATTGCTGACTTCCTTATTACCTTCTTTGGCCACATTTTCACAGATTTGCTAATTGGGTTGAAGCCTCTTTAGGAATGCAACTTGAGACATTTAACGATGCACAAACAGGTGCGCTTTAAGGTACGGAGGAAGCTGTTAGAATATAATTTATTTTTATAGTGTAGTCATTGGATTTGTTTATATTTTTATGCTATTACTGGGATCACTTTCAGAGAAAAAGTCACACGTATTTATAGATATAGCATCTTCAGATTGCTTGAAGTTATTTAATTATCATAAAAACAAAGTAAGGGATAAGAATAGACTATGGCAGGATTGTTTTTGACCTTGTCTGTCAAAATGACGGACAATATAAAAAGCTAGAGCAGCCTCTAATTTACATGCCATGTGTGCATGTTTGAGAGGCTTGACAGGTAAGAGCTCTTTTTGTCGCACCATCATATATAATCATCTGAAGTTAGCCAGACTTGACTAGGACTTTAACCAGAACCCTGTGCTTTTCTCACATGGACAAGTGAGCCATTTTTCTGCCACAAACACTGCAGGAGGGTTTGGGGTCCGCCCCCACTTCCTCTTCATCTTCCACATGGTCTCTGGAGTGGTACCACTGGGCAGACCTTACATCATTACAGTAGGAGAAAGCAATCAGCAACCAATCTAAGGAGGGAGGGAGAACACAGTTTCCTCTTTTACAGTAGTTCCCTTCTTCCCTCACCTCCAACATAAAAGCAGATCATAAAAAAGGTCAAATAAAAGCCTGGTCACCAATAAATTGCCAAATATTGGATAAACATTGAATCACTTTCTCTTCAGCCCTGAGGCTGAATTAAAAAGCTTTACAAATTTTTATTTCCTGACATCCATCTTATTATTCAGGCACTTCTCGCCGCTCATCGTATTTCCGCGTGTCGCTGTCAGAATGAAAAGAACGTCAGATGATGGGTTTGCTCTCAGCTCACCTCCTCTCAGGAGCTGTTTTTCTGTTTGATGCCTCTTGGTTTCTCTCACCCTCTGGAGACATATACAGGGACATGTGAGGGAAAATATTAGCTGCTAAGAAAGATATATAAAAAATAAATCCTTTATTGATGTTTTGTGGTGCTGGTTTATTGCTTTTTGTGTTTGTTATATTTCTGAGTTGCGAGCTTGTGTTTCCAACAGACCCCGCGGGAGGTGGCCCAGCAGGCCGTAGATGCTGATGTTCACTGTGTTGGGGTCAGCACGCTGGCAGCGGGACACAAGACGCTGGTCCCAGAACTCATCAAAGAGCTACGCAAGCTCAACAGGCCAGATATCCTTGTTATCTGTGGAGGAGTGATCCCACCACAGGTAACTTCTGAGTGACTTTACACTGCGTTATAACTTTAACCTCTTTTGTGTGAGTCATAGCATTAATCTATTAAAAATGCCTGCAGCTTCAGGGCTTTACTGATCAGTAAACTATTAGGATAAGTGTCTACCTACCTTTTTAAATGAGGTTAGAAATCCTAAATTAATTCAACTTTCACCTGTGAATGTGATGTTGAAACTGCAGCTTTTGTTAAAAAACGTATAAATTCATAAAGCTTTCTTGGATTCCTTAAAGGAATAGTACACCCAAAACATGATTAGCCTTCATTTTCTACTCACCCCCATGCTGAACAAAACTCTGGAGTACTTTTTTGATATCTCAAATGCATCTGGAGATCTGGGAGGCTTCTTGCTGTCTGCTGACATTCAAATAATGGAGGTCTATGGTGCCCGAGTCAGAAAGGTCCATAAAAGTCCACAAAAAACGTGTCAATATTCCTCCATACTGCTCTTCCAATGTATTCCAAGTGTCCTGAGTGGGTAGCATCCAGAATTTACTCGAAACGAAGTCATTTAGAATGTTTTTGGAGCATAAACAGTAGTGTATAGGATTTCCTGAAAGCGCGCGCCGGCGAGTTCATGCCGCTACGGAAACCGCGGCAGACCAAACCAGATGAAAGTGCGCATTCAGCGTCTGCTCTGCCGATAATGCAAGCGTAGAAGAAGAAATGTGCTGTTTACCTGTGCAAAGAAAGAAACAACGAAAGAAAAATGTCTGAGGACTTCAGTGTTGAGGAAGAGCATGAGTTCTTTGCCGAGCTGAATGCGCACTTTCATCTGGCTTGGTCTGCCGCGGTTTCCGTAGCGTCATGAACGCGCCGGCGCGCACTTTCAGGAAATCCTATACACTACTGTTTATGCTCTAAAAACATTCTAAATGACTTCGTTTCGAGTAAATTCTGGATGCTACCCACTCAGGACACTTGGAATACATTGGACGAGCAGTATGGAGGAATATTGACACGTTTTTTGTGGACTTTTATGGACCTTTCTGTCTCGGGCACAATAGACCTCCATTATTTGAATGTCAGCAGTCAGCAAGAAGCCTCCCAGATCTCCAGATGCATTTGAGATATCAAAAAAGTACTCCAGAGTGTTGTTCAGCATGGGGGTGAGTAGAAAATGAAGGCTAATCATGTTTTGGGTGTACTATTCCTTTAACATCTATTAGTTTATTTTTTTATTTCATTGTTTCATAACTTCAAGCCTCAAATATCTTTGTTTTGTTGTCTGTTATTTACATTTTTCTTCAGCAGAGGCCATTCTCCTTTGGATTACTTTCTTTTATTCCCTTTTATTAAAGTCAATGGACGTTTCGAGTTTTATCATCAGTGTAGTTGTGTTTTTATGTACTATAAAGCTGTGAAATAGACTGAAGGAAGAAGTTTATTTCTGAATAGTTTATTAATCACTGCATTTTGAGTTAATTTTGCTGCCAGTTTTTAAAAACTCAGACTTGTTTGCTAATCCTTTAAACAGTCTTTATGCTAAAAAAAAGACATTTACAGGTTTCTAAGTTCAGATTTCTGAATATTTCCAATGTAAGTCGATAAAGGTTTTCATTGCAAGAATGTGAAAATTATGTTTAGGGTTTTACATTGCTGTGGCTTTCCTACATTTTAAAATCTGCTGTTGCATGTTAAAGATGCCAACTCTGAGTTGTGTCTTACCTCTCTGTGTTTGTAGGACTATGAATTCCTCTACCAGAGTGGCGTCTGCGCTATATTTGGTCCAGGAACCAGGATTCCTCAAGCTGCTGTGGAAGTTATTGACAATATAGAGAAGAGCCTGGAGAAAATTCGACACGCCATGTAAAACAGTTTGATTTAACCTTTGTGTTACAGTATCGTAAAAGTTGAATTCTTTTCATCTGAATTTCTCTCCCCTCCTGGTGGATGGATGTGTTAAGTAGATCCTCTTCACATCGTGGATATTTCTAAAATGAGGGGAATAAATACTCATCGTGTCCTGACAGATGTAGACCTGCTATGAATGTAATTTTCCTTCCATTTCTAAGCAGGATGTAATTAAAAATCAACTTGTAGATAGAAACTGAAATAAAGTGTCCTTCTGTTTTATCTGTCCTGCTTCCATCACAGTAAACACTCTTTGTGTCAAAGGTCAATGTGTATTTTATTTCTTAAATCTGCATGTAGTGGTTAAAATAGTTTAAAAGAGCATCAATGAAAACAATGTTTAATGGGTTTGAGGTGGGATTTTTCTACTGGTGATTTACATTTTGATTGAACAGGTTGCTTCAAATAAACTTTGAAAGTGTGCTGTCATGGAGAGTACCTCATTTCTATGGTTTTTATTGAATGTATCATGATTTAGTTAGACAAACAAATTAGTGCATCTTTATGAAGCTGAAGAAAAAAATGCACAGTTTTAAAATTTGTATTTGTTAATACATAGTAAAATGACTTTTTGGTTTAATTGTTGCTGGGATGTGTCTCTACCAAATGATTGTGAGCAGTCAGATTAGGTAGATGGTATCTGTGAGCATCAGTTTCTTTCTCCATCCAGATTTAGGTTTGGATTCTCTTATTATTTTTTTTTTTCCAATTCTATTTTTGTTGTTATTTCTATTGGTAAAAAATACACCAGTCATCTACAGCAATCTGTTCATTACAACATTATTGTCCAGTAAACATCTGCAATTCCACAGGATATACAGGTGCTGGTCATAAAATTAGAATATCATGAAAAAGTAGATTGATTTCAGTAATTCCATTTAAAAAGTGAAACTTGTATATTATATTCATACATTACATACAAACTCATATATTTCAGATGTTTATTTTGTTTAATTTTGATGATTACAAATGACAACAAATGAAAATCTCAAATTCATCATATCAGAAAATTAGAATATTACTGAAGACCAATAAAAACAAAGGATTTATAGAAATGTTGGCCAACTGAAAAGTATGAACATGAAAAGTATGAGCATGTACAGCACTCAGTATTTAGTTGGGCCTCCTTTGGCCTGTATTACTGCAGCAATGCGGCGTGGCATGGAGTCGATCAGTCTGTGGCACTGCTCAGGTGTTATGATAGCCCAGGTTGCTCTAATAGTGGCTTTTAGCTCTTCTGAATTGTTGGGTCTGGTGTATTGCATCTTCTTCTTCACAATACCCCATAGATTTTCTATGGGGTTAAGGTCAGGAGAGTTTGCTGGCCAATTAAGAACAGGGATACCATGGTCCTTCAACCAGGTACTGGTAGCTTTGGCACTGTGTGCAGGTGCCAAGTCCTGTTGGAAAATGAAATCTGCATCTCCAAAAAGTTGGTCAGCTGCAGGAAGCATGAAGTGCTCTAAAACTTCCTGGTATGTGGCTGCGTTGACCCTGGACCTCAGAAAACACAATGGACCAACACCAGCAGATGACATGGCACCCCAAACCATCACTGACTGTGGAAACTTTACACTGGACTTCAAGCAACGTGGATGAAGTGCCTCTCTTCTTTTCCTCCAGACTCTGGGACCTTGATTTCCAAAGGAAATGCAAAATTTACTTTCATCAGAGAACATGACTTTGGACCACTCACCAGCAGTCCAGTCCTGTTTCTCTTTAGCCCAGGCAAGACGCTTCTGACGCTGTCTGTGGTTCAAGAGTGGCTTGACACAAGGAATGCGACAGCAGAAACCCATGTCTTTCATACGTCTGTGTGTGGTGGTTCTTGAAGCACTCACTCCAGCTGCAGTCCACTCTTTGTGAATCTCCCCCACATTTTTGAATGGGTTTTGTTTCACAATCCTCTCTAGGGTGCGGTTATCTCTCTTGCTTGTACACTTTTTTCGACCACATCTTTTCCTTCCCTTCGCCTCTCTATTAATGTGCTTGGACACTGAGCTCTGTGAACAGCCAGCCTCTTTAGCGATGACCTTTTGTGTCTTGCCCTCCTTGTGCAAGGTGTCGATGGTCGTCTTTTGGACAACTGTCAAGTCAGCAGTCTTCCCCATGATTGTGTAGCCTATAGAACTAGACTGAAAGACCATTCAAAGGCTTTTGCAGGTGGTTTGAGTTAATTAGCTGATTAGAGTGTGGCACCAGGGGCCATCAATTTTGAACCTTTTCACAATATTCTAATTTTCTGATATGATGAATTTGAGATTTTCATTTGTTGTCATTTGTAATCATCAAAATTAAACAAAATAAACATCTGAAATATATGAGTTTGTATGTAATGTATGAATATAATATACAAGTTTCACTTTTTAAATGGAATTACTGAAATCAATCTACTTTTTCATGATATTCTAATTTTATGACCAGCACCTGTACGGATAGGGATGATTGGTTTTCCCTCTATCACACACATACACCAAAAAAATTAAAAAAATTTATAACATACAAAGATTACAAACATAACAATAAAAAAGGAAAGGCTTAGAAAAAAAGAGGAAGAACGGGGAAGTGGATACAAGAACTATAGAAATGATGGACAAATCAGAGTGACATATCTTTTCCATCTTTTAATAAACAGATCCCTTCTTAGTCTTAAAATGAAAGTAATTATTTCCATCTTAAAGATGTTAAAATGTCAAACCATTCGTCCACTGTAGGTCTTAGTATCCAAAATAAATATTTTTCATTAGAAGATAAATTTTGTGATGGTAAAACACCAAAATATAATGTCACCAACCCAAAATTAATATCTGTCTGAAATACATTTTGCATAATTGTATATCTTCTGCCAGAAAGGTAACAATATTGGATAAGACCAGAATATGTGATAATGATGCTTCCAGGCCCCCACATTGTCTCTGACATATTGATGCATTGGTATAGTGTCTTTTTTGAGCTGGAGCAATAAAGAATCTACCAAGAGTTTTGCAACAAAACTCTCTCCATTTAGTTGGAAGTTTTCAGTTGTATCTGGCAGAATTTTTCCCAATGTTTTTCATTTAAAGTATGTGTACTGCCCCTCATTAGTTGCAAATCCCTATAGAGGTTTGAGATGTTTTTTTGGCCAGGACTTAAACATATGCATCCATAAATACTTTTATTACAATGTTATCCCATTGCTCTTGTTTTAATCTCTTTAATCAGTTGTTCAACATCATGGTGGACCTGTAGAAATCTAAAGAGGTCACCATTATTTAGACATATTTGTGTCTTTAGATTTTGAAAACTGTTCACTCACCTCTTATATACAGTAGTAAAGTTCAACATGCTGTTAATCCTTGAGATTTCTAGGTTTTGAATCTTGTATGTAGATTTTCTCGAAGTCTTTCTAACACTTGAATATGCTATGATTTGAACTATTCAGTAGCAGCTCTAGTTGGATATTCACACACATTCCCTCTCCCAGAATCCTCTCTGTTTACTTGCAGGCTTCTTCCTAGCATCTCTGATCAGCTGCTCTCTCAGCTTTGAGGCATAGCCTCCCCATGGCTCACTACGGTTGTGCCTTTGGCCTTTTTATCAGTGTTGAGGTGAAGTGAAGTCTTTGTTCTCTGACCTTTGCGTGTCAGCAAAAAAAAAACACAAACTCCTTTTGGGTTTCAGCTGAGCAGAGAACCTTCTTCCACATCTTTGCTGTGCCCCACCACATGGCTTTAGGGTACTGGCCCATCTAGCCATTTTCAGATGAATGATTTAGTTGCTTCTCAATGAGCTGTCTGCTGTGTCCCTGAGTCTTCATTATGCTTTTTACTCACCAGGGGAACTTCGAGGCTTTTACAAAAGTTCTGGAAGCCTGGGATGTATTAAGGGTTTGAGAGTTAAGCTTGTGAAATTGTAATCCATGTCACACTTCTGTTTTTGTCGCTGGATGCACAACTTTTCAATCACAAAATACGTTTAAAATTTCATTTTAGTATGACAAAATAAGGAAAAAATGCAAAATCTATATTCTTGCAGGGATCCATTTACGGCTAAAAAATGGTAATACATTTTATGTTTACGATAAAATGTACTGCTATATGTTTTTCCTTTCATTAGTTTGAATAAAGGTCATATTTAAGCAGGGTTGTAGGGTTTATTTTTCAACATTTGTGATAATCTTCTTGATATATATAGGGTTTGAAAACAAGATTAAGGGCATACAGTACATGACGTTTCGTCACATTCAGTTTTTTTTGCTTTGAAAATCACCCTAAAAAAACGAATCGGAGAAATTGCCTCACAGGCAAACACTGACAGCAAAAATTTACTAGGAATAACTGATAAACCACAATGAACATGCACATATAAACGTCTCTTGTGTAAACATTGGTGTAAAATACACAAAATGATATTAAAGATTGATACTGTATTCGTTTAAATAATTAAACTTGAGATATAGTCGACAGCTTGTGTTTATTCTGCCTTTATTAAAATGACAATTTGTGCACTTAGAAATGCTCAAGATTCTGAGCTTTAAACTCACAAAATCCTAAAGAAAATAGTCAACAGTAGTTTATTTCAAGAAAAAAAAAAGTTACATTCACAAAAATTCAAGTAAAATTATAAATATTTACTGTGGAGGGAAAAAGTTATATTTTTTCTTTTTTTTTCTTAAATCAATGAATACATACAAAAAATATACAGCCAATAGGAGAACAGTTCATATTAACAGATGCTGAAACACACCACACAGTACTTCAAAAACAAAAAAGAACATCTTCCAGACAGATTCATTTAACAAAATGCAGATGAGAGCAGTACAATAAATAACTGCTCCTTTCTTTGGAATGACAAAGATGCAAATCCCAAAATATGCCTGCCAGATGTCTCCTTTATTTCCATCTTTCCAAAGCATTGATTAGTGGATTTAAAATCTCTTTTTCTACGCTAGGCTCTGTTAAAAGAGACTGTAACCTGCAGAATGTACTGTAGCTCTCCTAAGTCTTAAAAAGTAATATTAGGTCTGTTGATGTAAAGTTTTAGAACATTTTGGCACGTGCTGATAAAATTTCCTGAAATTACAAAAAATAATGGACTTAAAAAACATTGATGCAAAGGAAAAGAACAAGACTAAGAAGAGTTGCTGAATCTTGTGCACAATGTGGGGTATAATAACAATGTAATGTTCTTATTCTATACCTGTTCTTACTCTCTTTTTATGTGTTTTGTTCCATTTGGCTTCTCATTTGCTTTAAGATTAATTTGACAGCTTGGCTTTGGTGCCAAGACAAAAGTCTGTCCACTAGGTTTAGGAATGTGTTCATGGGATTTAGTGAATGAGGTGTGCCAGTAGTCTTTACTTCAAGGTATTCTTTCTGGTTCTTTCTGGTATCCATGCCTCTGAACAACTTGCTTTGTGCAGAAGCCAGCTATTCCTGCAGAGTCTTAATCTGGAAAATATCTAAAATGTATAGGCTGCTGAAGCATTAAAAAGTTACCCCTGATCCTGAAAATCAGCTCACCATACCACAGTCTCTTGTGCACCAAATTTTAAAGCTCAACACAATACAGTCAGATAAGTACAGCTCCTCTGGCTACTGTCAAAGTAAGACAAATCTGTGGGATTTCCAGACAGAAAGCGTGATTCAAAGCTCAGTGGAGGCATCCATTTTACCACAGCATTTTGGGACATAAGGGTTGAGTTTAACTTTATCAAACCAGCAAATTGTTTCCCTAAAACTCTGCACTCTTGCAGCTGTGGGTTCGCAGTAAGTGGGTGGACTCTTTGCACCACACACCTCGCATCACCTGATCCCTCTGATTTTACAAGACTTGGCTCTTTGGAGCAGAGTTGCTGTCCTTTCCAATTGCTTTCACTCTATTATGAAACCACTAACAGCTGGCTGGGGAATAAGCAGCAGAGAGATACCACTAGATTTGGCTGATCTCCTGAAACTGATCCATTCTGTCACGTTTGCATGAACAGTCTGAATGCTAAGGTGGAATTGGTGTATATGGAATTATTAATTCAACGTAAAGGTGATTGCACTTCAAGCTTTCACTAAATACCTTCTCTATTAAACAATGTGACATATTTGAAAGATCTGCTGTTGTTTTAACATAAGGAAACCTTTCCTGTTGACCTGGCTCATACTTCCCAGTACCAAAACTGTGAAGACGTCACCTAATGATCCTGTAGACCTGAGATGATTGGGGACTTAGTTATATTAGGGTTGCCATTTTTCTCTCCATACAAAATTCAAAGCAGACTTTTTGAATGAAGTCTTCCCCTCTATAACTATTATGTTCCTGAGAATATCAAGAATGACACCTTTTCATCTCCTGAGATGCAGCTTATTCTAATCAAGTCAAACACCTTTATAGATAGGTGGCAGCTTTTACTTCATCCTCCCTCCACTTCTGGGGTATTTCTGTCCGTTTTCTCACTACACACTCCTTTTTTACGATTTTGTTAATCCATAAGGCTGTTTTGTAGTCAGGTTTTTGCATTTGATTTCCCTAGAGGGCACTGGCACCCTTTTATTTGCAAACCAGGGTTCTCTTCTTTAATCTGCATCAGAGGTTAGTTGCACATAAATGAACCAGACTTCCCCAGCAAAAGATGCCACTAGTGAACCGTTCAGTCTTACAGTGGCGTACAGACACCATTAGAAAGGTTTGGTCAGTAGTCTAGAAATAAATACTTCATAAAGTTTTAACAAAGCCCAACTTAGAACTGTTAGTTTGGAACATAAACTAACGTTAAATCACTTGACATTTATTCATTACAGGTGATACAATTGAAGGAGACTTGGTAAACTCTCAGGTTAGGGTGCAGTGGTCCTGGTTAAAATACATAGCAACCAGGTGAAAATGTTAATTTACAGCAAAAGGTGCTTTATGAACAATATTTTGCAGTCTTTTTAGCAATATGACAGCAAAGAAAAACTATGTTAATCCATCCTTCTGATCAGATGCATTAAATATTCCGTATTAAGCTACAGTGTGTTGGTTTGGTCAGAGTGTATTTGACATCAAGCAATGTCTCATATCTTTATAGGTTATTAATGGTACAGTGTCCTGAAAGAGTATTGTGATATTTTTGGCATTGTCACATTCAAATAACCGACCTTTGGGTGACCTATTAAGCTTTTAGACCAAAGCAAAGCGTTGCATACATTTGATAAGTAGATATAGTTATATGTGGTTTTCAGAAGCTTTTTGGTTCCAATCTTAAAATGATTAAAGTGTGAGATGCTCTTGTTTTCACCACCCCCAATTAAAGAGGGTCTTCTGGTCAAATGGGACAAAAATTGAACAGAAGGCTGAGACATGTTGGTGGCAGAATCATGCTGTGGGATATTATTCAGTAAGAACAGGGAAGCTAATCAGGGTGAATGGAAAGAAGGATAGAGATACAAAAATAATGCAGATTAAAAAACTGTTTCTGACAGCAAATTAAGTCTATCTTTCAACAAGGCTCCCTGTTAGGGTGCCACCAATTAGGAACTACAAGCATTAAAACATGTTAATCTGCTGATCAATGTGCTTACCGTAACTGATTGCTGTGTTCAGTTTGTTTAACATTTACTGGATGAGGATTATGTGCCAAAACATGATGGGGGAACATATATAAACAGCTGCAGAGCAGAAAGGTGAATGGTTTAAAGGTTTATTGTGTCATTGTAAATCGACATCTATTGGGCCAATATAAATGTCCAACAGCTAAACAAATAAACAGCTTTATGGTGCTAAAGTATTCTCCAGTTTATGAGCTATCTGTAGTGTGAAAAACATTTAGATTCTTTAAAGTAGTGGTAAGACCGTGTTACTGTGCTCTTCAGTAGGTCTGTCATACAAGGCTTTAACAGTATCAACATGCAATACATGATGTAACCAGTTACTTTAAGTATACAAACAGTGACTTTTAAAATGCATTTACTTATGTGTTGACTCTGTTTATAACCAGGTGTTTTTACCCACATTTTAGCCTTTAGAAGTCTTTACGGGTGCAAACTCCAAGCTTGAATTTAATACAGTTTCATGATTGTTGTTGGTTGAACATTCACAACATTTAACACAGTGCTTTTTACTCATCCTGCCAGTGCACCAGAGGACCCCCGTTATCTGGTGATGAAAAGAAAATGCAGAAGATGATTTTCTATCCTGAAAAGATGAGAGTTGATAAGTTTGCTGTCTTAGATTTGATGCATGTCCCGATTCCTTTACCCCAGAGTCACTTTGTTGACTCTGTGATCTCCTGCAAAGTTTCAAGCGCTACTTCTTTGGACTTGATGTTAGCGCTAACCATGTAAATGTTGTTGTCGTTGACGCTGTCGGTAACCCTGCACGGATTGGAGCCTCTGCAGAGCCATGACAGCTGCTTCACCTCCCTTTTGAAACTCTGGCTGAAGAAGTAGTAGATCAAAGGGTTGTACACGGTGGAGCTCTTCGCAAACATGCAAGGCAGCAGACTGACCTCAGGAGGGATTTTGCTGCTGTCATTCAAAATGGACCAGAGGCTTACCAATCCATAGGGCGCCCAGCAGCCTATGAAGCCAGCGCTGATCAAAACAGCGATCTGCAGCAGAACATCAGAACACAGTCAGTAAAAAAGATGTCCCACTGGGTATGTGGAAATATAACACAAATACTTAAATGGTTCAAAGAAGATTTCTTTAGCTGATTGTCTTAAACATTTCTGTGTTTTTGGTTTCAGGTTCTAAAAAATGTGACTGACATCATTTGACATCAGTAAATAAAAAAGGGGTCATATCCCTCCAGTCTGCACATCACTCAGTCTCAAGATACAACAGGGGTCAATACCCAAAGGTATCTGCAGTCATGACGTATACAAACAAAAGCTTATGCATCATGTATAATTCTCAAACTACATACAATCTCTAAAAACATTAGTTAAGGAAATCTATTTACAGTATATATACATTTAGTTTTTATACATCTTAACATTGAAAATTAGTTTATAGATGTAAACTTCAATACTAAGTAAACTCTAATATTAGCTGCTTTATTTTGTTGAAAAATCCAGTATAAATATTTTGATTGGATTTTAACTGAAGATGCATAATCATTGAACTGTTATTTGCTGTTTTTTTATAGTCAATAGAGAATGGTAAGGTCATATTTATACAGGTAGTATTGGGGATTAACAGCTCTACCTGGCAATCCAAAAACGTTAAAAGAAACAATCCACTGTTTCCAAGTTTAAAGACGTTTCGCTTCCCATTCAGGAAGCTCTTTCAAAAAAATGTAAAAAAAATCTACCCAGCAACAGATAAGATCAAGGGATGTGATTTATCTATTATCGTATTTTCGCGACCATAAGGCGCACTGTACTAAAAGGCGCAGTCTCAGTTATGTGTGCCATTACTGTATTTAACACACACATAAGGCACACCGGATTACTGTATAGGGCGCGGGTTTTATATACGTCTACTGCGTATTTAAAAATAGAGCGGGAGCAAAACTGAGTATGTTTGTGATTTATTCATTTATTTATTACAAAGTATTAATCAAACCTGGGAGCTGGCCGTGAGACAGACACATCGTTGATGACACAGAGCGCTGTGATCACTCCTCTGAAACAGTTTAAATATCTATAAGTTAATGTAAATTTGATTGCTCTCATTGTTCTACTAACAACTAATTGACTGTTTCCTTTAAAATCTGACTTTTCTCAAGTTTAGAAGGGTTTTTCCATAACATGTATGTCTCTATTTTGACCATATGTTGAGTAAATAACAAAAACAGCACATCATTATATTTCATTGTGTCAGCTGTGTTAAATACTGAGTGCATAAGAATGTGGTCTCCTCCCTGCCTTATTATATACATAGGCATATCTAAAGAATATAAGTAACAAGAACCTATTAGGGTGGTGGATAAGAACATATGTTAACAGGGATGGAAAACTATTATTTAAAGAATAGAATGTATATATAACCAAAGAAAATGTCTGTAAACTGTTGCACCAATTTACATTCAAACCTTTTATCAATATGTATGCAACTCTATGTGATTAACAGTCTTAGAAAACACATTAGCATATATTTACCATTTTACATTAGCTTTGTCAAACACTAAAGCTATTTCTGCACACAAGCTGCAGGAAGGCAAATCCCATCAAGCAGGCTGTAAGTTTGGCGTTTTAAAAAACTGTGCCAGGATTTAAAATAGGGTAGAAAAATATATTGCACTAACTTTTTTTTTTTTAAATTCTGTTCCTGTGTTTGAAACAAATTTCCCCAAGGAAGCTGATGAAATTCTTAGTGACCCTACGTGCTCTCCAGCCTTAAAACGGCAGCTTTCTGATCACAGCTTCTGCTGTCTGATATGTAAAATCCTTCGAAGAAGACCAAAATTTGTTCCTTAAGCTATTCCCCTGTTGAATTTTAAAGGGTTTAAATAACTTAAGATTCCAGCTTATGTCGTGGGGTACAGTGCCTGTTGCATAATTTGCCGCTTATTATGCTGTTTTTGATGTTCAGCTCTTTGCTCTAATTGTACTTACCCCCTGGGTACAGTATATTAGAAGATTTTCTGACTCTGAACACTGAAACAAGAAGTGGTTCTAATGTAGAGGAGATCTTAAAAACAACTAATCTTCATTGTACAAAGCAACTGAGGGAGGCAGAAGAATTTAGAGACAAAAAAAATGTCTTATAGAGAGTTCAGAAATAAATGATTTACTGAAGATGAAAAATCTGCATTTTTTCAGTTTTCATCATGAAATAATCCTAAATCAACATATTACATAAAAACTTATTATACTATCCAGTACATTTTCATTTAAATAGGGACTTGTTGTCTTCAGAACAATTATATATATAATTAGAAGTGAAACAATTAAAACTCAATTTACTGCCTTTGAAAAATTCTCCTGCACTTATAAGAAAAAAAAACAAGAACAGAATCAGTTATTGATTTAGAAACACATTTCAGAACCTCCCTCTCTGTTAAGAAATTTCTTTTTCAATATTTTCCAATCATTTCAGAATCTAGTGAGTGAAACAAAAAGCACTTCCAAAAAACTGCGACCCTTTGATGATCACTTAATCACTTAATGGTCATTTTTGCTTTATTTCAGTTTGTATCACCTCTTGTATCTGGAACAGGGCTGCATCTAGATAAAAATAGTGCATGCACACTGCTTTAGGAATTTTTCCCACAAAGCGTTTCTTAAACTGAATCATTATTATTCTTTCCCATCACACTCACATGCGTTGTTGCTCTTTTACGCTCACTGCAGCGACACTGATCAGTTGACTCCATCAGAAGGTCTCCCCCCTCTCTAACAATTCTCAAACTGTTTTATCAGCTCCATAACGACATCTAATCTCCAAGTCCTCTTCTATTAACCAGGGAAATGTAACGGCTGGTAGGATACAGTCAGCAGTTTTCATGCAGCTGTCATGCATAGCAACATGTTTACTGTTTAGTCCAGCAAATAAGTGACATAAATGCTCTTAGCTCAAGAAAACTTAATCTAATTAGCTTTAATGACCCCATTATGCTAAAAAAAAAACACACCTTAAATGATGTCTTGATATCTTTATCAGTATTAATCATCAAAAGGAAACTACAGGGTACTTCTATATGCTGGCATATTCAGGTCATTAACAAGTGTGATGACATTTGAGCTGAGCCAAATTGAATATAAGGCAAGAACCAATCATTTTAAAACCCACAGTCCTCTGAGTATCTCATGAAAACAAAGCTTGTGTTCTTGAGACAGCAGCTTCCCATCATATTAGCAAGAAAATCCCATTAATGAGGACTGATAATACTTGAAATCATTCCTTTTTCCATCTGAATCAAATAGTTGTGCTTGTTAAAAGGTGGAACTCCATTGATTTGGTCTGAATTTCTTTAGCTCCAGAAACTGTCATTAATTAGGTCATAAAGAACAGTACGGTAACTTACAATTAGAAGCCTTCGATGCAGTTTGATGATATTGGGGACATGTTTGTTGGTCGGAGACTTCTTGTAGGTGAAATAAAGCCTTATAGCTATGCCAAAGTAGCAGAAAACGATGATGATAGAAGGCATCAGCAGGTTCATGGAAAACAAAGAGATGACAAAAGAGAAGCCTTCATGTTTCATTTGTCCCCAGGCGAGAGAGCAGGAGAGGCCGAAGGGCTCCGGACCGTACCGGCCCCAGCCCAGAATAGGGAACAGAGCCCAGATCAAGGCGTACAGCCAGGTCCACAAACACAGTATCTTCACCTTCTTCCAACTGATCTTCTCCTCTGCAGAGAAACAAAGAGTAGCAGGTAAAAACATGTATTATTTTCATCTGTCTGTACAACGATCTCTGGCTTTCACCTTTATTTTATTACCAGAATCTATTTGAAAAGAAATGACTACAGATCAATGGAAACATTTCCAAAGAGGGTTGCTTTGAAACTATAAGATACTTCCAGTCATACCAGTGTGCACACTGGAGTTTTGACTTTATGCATATGATCATCAAACACAATTCCCCCAACAATGTTTAAAATGTCTTTATTTGATAATATACAGCTAAGTTTGCTTTGTCTGTGTTTCATGAGACCATTTCCCGAATCACCATAAAGAGGTAGATTTCAGCAAACAACTGTAGGATTATTTCTTAAAGTGAAGCTAAAGAAATGTCGTCAATGAAGACCATGGCTAACAACTAAAGATCAGTATGTGACAAAAAGGATTAAAGCGTTTTCTTTCTTTCTTTTATGTTTTTATCAGAGTCAGGTTTCACAGCAGGATTAACTGATTAATATTAAGCTGTTGTGACAGCGTTTGCTATTTACTGTCTATGTTGGAGCATCTAAAATTGAAATCACATGAATCTAAAGACTTGGACATCTGCTTATATCTGACTCTCTATGAATAGTGAACAGATGTCCTGAATATTGTAAGAGTGTGCCATTTTTTTTTTTTTTTTTTTGCGCTGTTTCCCCACAAATTGAAACAAAGTCCAGTATTTGAATGTTTTCCCCCAAAATATTCAACAGTTTTTTTTCTTAAGTTTAATTAAAGCAGAGCTGCATTTATTGTCACAGAGCCAAGCTGGCTGTTAATTAAAATACAAAGCATTGTCCCACGTCATGACCAGCCTGCGCACCATGCTCTTTAAATAAAACACAACAGGGGTCCGTAACAAAAAGCAGATTCAAATCTGCAATGCTAAATTGATCTAGACTAAAGTCGGGAACTCTGAGTTTTCGCTTTCACAATGGCTTGTTCAATCAAGTCTAAGTAGGTCCATCAGAGTTAAGTGCATTTGTAACAAGTTTAAAAAGCCATCATTAGCAGAGCCCCGATTCGATGAGTCACTATGAAAACAGGCAACAGGAAGGGCCTATTTCAACCCACTGGAACTAGAGATGTTAATTAAGAAATGAAAAAGAAAAAAAGAAACAGAAGAATGCAGCTGCAGCTGTAAAGGAGGGGCGAAGGAGAAGATTGTTGCTCAAGTGAATGCATCAGTTTATATGAAGTGGGTTATGGCAGGTCTTTTTATATTTCAGAATCAGAATCAGATTAATTGTGACTTGGTATTGATGGTGCAGATAAATTAGATATATATACAGAATACAGAATCTATAGCTATATAATTTCTTAAAAGCACTCTCCTCTCTGTTGTTTCATTTGTAGATCACTAAAATAAGATTCTTACCAGATCAAAATCGCACCCCTAGAATTAACTGTAATAATATATTTTCAAAATTACATTTTTGCAGGAGAAATTGAATTTCAGAAAAAAAATCATAAAATTATGCTAGTAAGAATGAAGTTGTATATACCTAGAAAAGTTTACAAATTTAAGGTGGACATGTTGACATTAGACTCAATATATATTTATGATATCTGAAATACATTTGTTCATAGTCAAAATAATACAAAAGCTGACCGGTAACAATAAGAATATGGAGATCTGATATTAATTTCTAGACACCCAGAATGTTTCTTCTAGATGTGAAGAATGTCACTTTGTTTGAAATGATGATTTCAACAAGTGAAAACGTTTTTTTTTTCAGATATCAGTAATCCATATTGAGTTTTACTAATACATATTAAAATGGTTTGCCATAGACTGTTGTCACCACAATAACAATATGGGTTTATTACTTGAATGGTAGTGAATCAATGTATCTATTTAGGTGAAATCATCTGGCAGTGGGTGTAAATGAAGAATAAAAACATTGTTCTAATAGATAGAACCTGTTCATCGTCTCATGGGTTCTCAGTTTGATTCTGTCTCCCATTACACAGTAAATACTGAGTTGCCCTTTCCAGCCGCCTCGGATGTTTTCAATCCCATAAATGGTCGTTATTAGCGGGTATCGGTGTCATAGAATGGCTTCAGATTGTACCAGTTGGCCCAGGTAGTATCACCGAGTGAATCCTAATCCTGACCCTATTAGTACTAGTTTTAATTCTCTGTAAAAAATTTGCTGATCATTTTTCAGTAAGATCCTTGTCAAATGGAAATGCAGTGAATCTAATGTGTCTAACGGACATATATATATATATATATATATATATATATATATATATATATATATATATCCGAGTTTGCTGAACAAAACCTGCTACCGACCAGTTTACCTCTGGGGAGAATGTCACAATGTGACTGAAACAGAGGTTGACCAAACTCTCTTCGTGAAACGGAAACCACAGAATTTCCCTTTTTTCAGGTTTAGAAAACTTTCAGTAAACCTACTTCATGAAACGGACCCCAGGTAAAGGATTTTAATATACGGTATACAAAATATAAGGAAAAATACATAAAAAAAAAAAAAAAAAAAAAGAAAATGTGAAAAAAAAGACTGGAACTGTTTAAATAGAGTGAGGTCAGAGAAAACTGATTCTCAGAAAGACCTCTTTTAAAGGTTATTTTTCTATTTCTTAAGAGAGTGTGAAGTAAAGCAACGCTGAAAAAGTGAATTGCATAATAAACATAAAAATGGAAAAACAGCCTCCGTCCCACATTGTCCTAATAATCATTCTTGTTGTTGTGCATTTGTCTTTTCGAAGCTCAAAGAGGCTCACTATTTCACTTTTTCTGTTTTTCTGTACTTCTGAGCTCCAATCATGAGTAAAATGCACAGTTTATTTGGTTTTACCTTACAATTTAGGGATTTTATTTTGTGTTTTGCCCAAAGCGGATATGTTTAACAATGTCACTGTGTCTCTTTTTCTGTCTATCGCATGACTTTGCCACTAAATTGCTTCGTAGGTTCCAAAATAGATCTGGGTCTACATTGGTTGTTGCTATTCAGACACAGTTAAAGAGACCAGACCCATGCATTTCACTGAGATGTAATTGCTGACTGTCCATCTGATCGGACTCTAAATCATGTCCAGTTTGTTTTAGCCATAAATGTGGAAAAAAACACCATACTGTAACTAATTTATTCAAATGAATCACAAACACAGAGAATCTAACAGTTCTATTACAAACACTTTGCTTGACCAAGTTAGGCCCCTCTTTAGCACTATATAAAATTGAATTCAGACCAAATGGAATTAAAATCTCAAATATAACCATATATCTTTAATTTTTATTCCAAATCTTGAGTTTCAGAATTGTTGGTGCATGCCCTTGTTGGTGTTTATATTTGCAAATATAGACTAAATACAAAGAAAGTGGGCTAAATAACAGAAATGTAACTGTGAATTTTTTAGTTTGTTAAATTTTTATATTTGGCACCCCATATACATTAGTGTGCCATGGAATGCATATAGAACATATTATATTTGAAAAGTGCTTTGGTTTGTTGTGTAGCCAATATATGTAATCCCCAAAGTCAAAAATGTTCTTGGATAGATTTTATTTGTAGCTCATCAGATTAACTACGTCTTTACCTAAGTAAACTGAAATCCATAATTACTCCAAAATGTTCTTTAGACAAGATGTGCTTTGACAAACTCTAGATATAAACCTTCTTCCACAGCGAAAACCAGTGGAAATCAGCAAACAGGTTATTACACTTTTAAAGGATATAAGTCACATTAAGCCTGGAAACGCTTTGTTATCAATCACCAATTACGTCTTTTTCTGTCTCCAAAACCTGGCATCTATGACTGAAATTACTATGGTTCTATAATCTGCTGAATGGGACCAAACATAAATGCAGTTCTTATTTGACACATTTGTTTGGCATATTGCTTTTTCGTATTATAAAAAAAAAAATCATGTCTTTTGATGTATAATTATCCCAAAAGGTACATCACATGTCCCTTCTTAATGTTCCCTCACTCTGTACTCCTGTAATGCTAACCACAAGGCTCTGAGCTGAGAGTACTCCACCTCCATCCATGTGAAATTGTCCTACTCTAGGTGTTGTTAACAGGTTTGTTAAAAAAACAACTAATTACATCTAATGTATTATATTTATTGTATATCCGAGTTTCCTGATATACATATTTTGTGAATTCTTATTTGTAACCCTTGGCTGAGTGGTAACGCCTGTTCTTTAATTGCGTAGGTTTTCTTTGTGTACTCCAGTTTCCTCCTGCACTCCAGATTCATGCATGCGAGGGTAATTGGCCACTCCAAACAGCTCTTAGGTGGGAATGCGTGTACAAGGTCTGTGTGTCTCTGTCAGTAACCTTGTACATAAAATAAATAGGACCTCATTTTTAAGTTGTAGATTTATAGATTTTTTTTCTCTGTAAATCAGTCACATCTAAAAAAAAAAGATGTCATTTTTTGACAAAAACAACTTATTGAGGTAAATAAGGCAATATTTAACCTCATCTTGGTCTAAAAGAAAAGCCAGACTTTTTGGATATTACGCTGTTTATTCAACTCTTCTTTGCTGGCTATTTGGAAATCTGGTAAAGATCATTTGATGTCATTTCCTGTGTGAGGGACATAACTTCGTGTGCTCCTGTGTTTTAATACTTTATAATTCTTCAGGAGCAGTTCAGACTCAAGTACTGACACATTTATATTCAGTTATTAAACTGAGCCACAATGCTGCCAGCCTAATGCCTGACAGATGCAAATTTAACATAACATTTCTCTTTCAGCAACTATTTAACATGGCAGCACCACAATACTTTGAAAGACTTCTAGAATGTTTTGAAGTAAATTATGCCAACCTGGTAAAGCAATCCTCCCCCTCTACAGACAGAAAATACTTAACTGCACGTTTGCTTCTTACATTAGAAATTGAAAAAGAAAACACTGCTTAAATTATAATTTTTTTTCTAACCTAACAGTCCTTAATAGGCATTTGAATTATAAGCTTTGTTCTTACTAAATAAGAATTTGTCTCCAGCCACAAAATAAAATCTTTTTAAAAACTCCATATTATAATGATTAAGGGGAAAATGTAGCCTGCAGCTATTAAACTTTTAGTTATTCTGTTAAAGAAATCCAGAAAAATTGCTTAAGCTAGTTGTTTTATAACCTTTATATTTAAAAGCACAGTCCTACAGTATGTTCTATGTTGTTAAACCTACAGGAGAGCCAAAAGAGCCACAAGCAGTTTTCTCAATATTTATTTAAGACGTAGGTTCCTCCGTGTGCTGTTTTAAAAATACATATGACCTTTAAAAAAAGCATGTCTTTCTTTACATTGGAAAATTGATGAAAAAAAGGGGGTCCATCCTCCTTTAAGTCTGCACTTTAACAAACCAGCACATCAAAAGAAGATCCAGATTTAATATGAGCAAATAATCTAGATGAATATAAAGAAATACGGTTTTCTGTATGCAAGTCATTTGTAAAACCATCTTAAACATCAGAAAGTCACATCGATATTATTTTAACATAATTCTGCACAGCTTCACAGCATTATTTTCGTTGTTTCTTTATTTTATTACATGACATTTTGTTGTAGATTTTACCCTTTTTTTGGGATCACCATCAATCATAAGAAAGTCTTGACTTATTAGACACATCCGTTTAATTTTGAGACATGTAAAGAAGGTAGGTGGCAGGAAATCAGGCCCAAATTATCAGAGACCCTTTTCATAGCAGGTTTACCAAATTCAAACGTAAATCATTAACTCTGAATAGACCTACCCTAAGCTTTGAAACTCTGAGTTTATTTCAGACCTCAGAAATAAATTTACACAGTCAATACTAAGTAGCTGTGCAGTTGTTTTCTGTAGTGCTGTTATTACACATCAATGTGTTCTGGCTGATGTCAAGTTCTGTTAAATACCTGTGTAATCTGTGTAAGTCTGTGTAATCCTGCAAATGTGGACAGATACAATCTGAATGTATGTGATGAGTTGTAAAGTGAAACATACTCATGAAGATAACTGAATAAGAAAGGACATCTATACGTGGTCTGACAACCCTTTCCCTATAAATATCTAATTCTCTGTGACTTAATGCTCGTCACAAGGACATGCTGTGTTTTTTATTTTAGACACCTAATGTGTCTAATGGAGCTAGTGAATGATTTATTCTCTAGTGCTCATGCAAAACTATGACAGAACTCTGCTAATTAAATCAGGAAATAGAATTATTGAATTATTATTACTGGGTTTAAGGAGGGTGGAGACACAAAGACATTCTGAGTATACTGAAAAAAACCTGCCCCTGAGCAGGTTAGCTTGGGAGCAGGTTTGTTACTATGGGAGCAGAATGTTACTGTGGTAACAGAAACAGAGGTTGAGTAAACTTTTTTTGTGAAACGGAAAACTCAGAGTTTTCAGTACACCTGCTTCGTGAAACGGGCAACAGACCTTGTGTGGTCTGTTGACACAAGAGTTAAATAAAATTAGGATTCATTGCTCCTCTTCCAGTAAGCAGCAGCTTAATCAAGCGTTCTACAGCTGGAGGCTGTCGTAGAAGAACGTTCACACAACAGGCCAAGATGACCCAAGTATGACTTTTTCCTTCTATGCAAAACATATAAGATGTTTTCACAGCAGCCTACTGGCCCAATTCTGATCTTTTCACCTTGCACTAAAATCAGCTTTGAGCCACTTCATATGTTGAAATGAACTGAATACCTATTTGATAGCTCTTATAAGAAATACCGGATATGTAACATGTATGCAGTTTTAGTGGTCATGTCACATTTAATCTGACTTTTACGTCTTTGCTTTGGCTCCTACAACACATCATTGTTAATAGTTATGCTCTGCTTTTTCTTACCTTCATCTTGATAGATGAAGGTAAGAAAAGACATTTTCGACTTTGAATGCTTAACAGCTAATATATAAGATATTAGTACAGAGATGCTGGCATGTACTATTGTTTCTGTAAACAGCAAGCTACTGTGTTGTTTAGTCCTGTTTTTCATGCCTGTGGGGCTCTGAGTTTAGAGAGGCTCAGACTAAAGTCTGACAGAAGTGGCTTGTAGACATTAGTGTACATTTTTAATTTTTTTTTTTTATTTAAGCAAGGACTTGGAATTGACCATCCTAACTAATAAACATCATAACATAATCTAATTAAGTGGTTCCCTTGCAGAGTTCCCACCAGTTTACAAGACAAGTAAACTTGTCTTCCCCCCATCTAAGTAAAGAATACAAGCACAGAAAATGAAAATTCACTGAATAATAAACTACAAAGCTCTTAATAAAGAGAACCATTAACTTACAAACGTCTATCTGAAATAAGTTTGGAAACATGAACTAACATTGTAAAAACCAAATAAAAAAAATAAAGACAGAATATGACTGTTGGGATCCGGAGGCTTGCCCACCAGAGGGCGCCAAGGATCCCTTCCTGGGGTTTGTCTTTCTGTTTGGTTTCTGGGTTCTGTCTGCCTTTCTCCTTCAGAGGGCGTTCTGGGTCTCCTGAAGTTGGAACTGACTTCACCAGCTGTTTCTCATCTGCTCATCAGGAGACCAGGATATAGGCAGTGGCAGGACTACACTCCAGCGCCAGAGTGTTAAGCCAGTTATGGTTAGCAAGCCTGAGCCAACCAGCCTGTCTGATTCTCTGACTCCCCTGAAAACCTGAACTTGAATCTAACCAGTTTTTGTCCTCTCTGCTTCTTAGGAAGAAACCTGAGAGAACCCTGGAACTCTGGAAGAGTTTTTCAGCTGAAACCTGCCTGCCTGCTCTCAGAAGGTCTGCTGAACTCAAACTATCAGAACCTGCCTGTCCGCTCTCAAGAAGAGAACTGGAAGAAACTCTGAACCTAAACACTGACAAGTCTGAAGTCGAGCCCTGCCGTTGCCTAGCCCTCTGCCAACCATCTGCCTCGGACCCTCCTGGTTCCCTCCCTCAGCTGCTTAGCCTGAACCACATCACAGGTATAGACCTGCACAACTCCTCTGACAAGATCATCAGCATCCTGGCTAATCTAACTGTCCCCATCTGCAGAGAACCCTGTTTGACCGGTTCTGGATCTGATTCCCTGCATCAGCCTGAAATATTCATTGTTGTTTCAATAAACTGTTGAACTTTTATTCCAGTCTATGTGTGTGTTCTGCATGTGGGTTAGGAACCTAAATCCCATCATGACAATGACAGGCATAAACAGAAATAACTAACATCGATTAAAAAAACTCCAGGCAAAATTATAAGCCTTAAAGGTAAAAAAAATAACAGGTAAAGTTTACTATCAAAGTAGGGCTGCAACTAATGATTATTTTGCTAATTGATTAATCTCTTGATTAATTTAGCAAGTAAACGATTAATAATCCGATAGCAAAAGGTTCCTTGAAGAAGCTTTTTTTTTACAGAATTAAACCAGGTCAAACTTGAGGAGTTCTGGATTGAGCTATTGACAGAAGAAAAAGTTTGCTTTCATCTTAAATACAAAAAATAATTATATATATATATATTTTACAAATGTATTTATAGTTAGTTATATTAATTACTGCTCTTAGTGGGTTTCTCTGTCAGCTAAAGGCATGTTTTAGGCTCTCAATCGATTACTATATTACTTGAAAATTATTAGTAATTGGATTAATCATGGTAAATCCAGTTGTTTCAGCTCTAATTAAAAAACAATCAGAAAGTTTAAAACTAATACACTAAAAAAAAAAAAAAAAAAAAAAAATGAATAAAGTTACCTTTACTTTAAGCCAGTCATTTCAGGGTGTGATTACTTACTTGGAGAGTGCAGATTGAGGGACACAACAAAACGCACAATGGCCATGACGGTGAGGTTCATGATGCTGGCAATCCCAAAGAAGAAGCCTGCCAGGCCGTAGTAAATGCAGGAAGCATTTCCACCAAGCCAGTGGTGACTCCAGGCAGAGGCAATGGCCAGGGGATACATGGTGACGGCTGTTCCAAGATCTGTCACGGCCAAATTCACACTTAGCAGCTCTGGCGGCTTCAGCCTTGATGATCTCCTGAATGCCATGGTGAGGACAAGCAGGTTTCCCACAACAGAGAGCACAGCTAAGACAGAAGGGAGAGAGAGAGAGACAGCTGAAATGGAGAGAAACTTTATGCAAAGATCCTTAGATTTGGATTAAAATGAAGCAAGGGAACACAAAGTTACTTAAAGGGAATTACTAGAAGCGGTTATTATTGTTTTTTAGAAAGGTGAAGGAGAGAAAAATAAAGTCAAAACACACTGATCCTATTTCCTTTGATCATTTTGGCCTGAACAGGATAGAAAGGAGCATATCCCAGCAAAACCCTGGGAAGAGCCTAAGCAACCTGTCGTTATGTCACATGGACACTTTAGTGCTGTGATTACACATAGCAAAAAATCCTTACATTTTTTTTCTAAAAAAAATCACTATTACTGTCTTTCTGTTTCAGAAAAGATATCTTCATACAAACTTTTGCTCCATTATAAAAATTACGTTGATTACATTGTTTAAAAGTACCAAGCATTATGTGTTAGAATTATGATGTGTGAGTCTGTTAACCCTAATAATATTTGTCTATTGCATGTCAGAACTAATGTTTTCCTGAGTAGTTTACTTAATTAGGACAGTTCTTCTGTCAGGCTATATGGTTATCTTCTTCATTATATACATAACACACAGAGTGGATCTTTCTTAACAGTAAGTTTTCTGTGTTTTTATCTGGGACACTGTGTAATAGTTTTATAATGCTGGAGCCATGGATGTCTCCTCTTTTACAAACATCTATGATGTAATGATGTGATGATGTGGCTGTTGAATAAAATGCTTCTTTAACTGTGATTCGAGGCCGAATCCAACGAGAGGTTAGCCCGGTTGATAAGCGCTGCCTCCTGTTAGTCAGGGAGACTTCTGTGGTCTGAGTAAGAGTACAATTTCTGTCAAAATCTGTTGTCATTTAATACATATATATTATGTATGTATGTATATATTTATATTATATTTGTCCTGAGTGAATCTCTTCTCTGGAAAAGAACTGGAGAGAGAAAGCTTAACACAGAGATTTCCTTAACATACCAAAGCCCTGAAAGGCAACTGAGAGAAAAAAAAAATCTTATCAGGAAAAGTTTTTTTGATCTTTATTTCCAAACCTGAAAATGATTTATTATTATTATTATTTTATGTATTTAGTTTAGGAACTGCGAAACTGATTCTTGGAAACCAGGCCTCTGACTATCCGTTTGAAGAATACAGCTGTCATTGAATTCTCTTGTTTTACCAGTGTTACATTGCTTGCAACATTTGATATCCAAGCATTAAGGCTAACATCTGGACCATTAGATGACATTCACTCTAGATCTACAGGAATTATATTACTCCAATAATTAATGAAATAATAATAACTTTACACAATCTGAAGGCAGAAACAGGAGAAATTGCACACCTGGATAGTGGGAACAAGCTAGAAGTACACAGAAAGAACCCAAATCTGAAATACAAAACAGTGACCCTCCGGTCCTAAATATTTTATCTGAATGGCTGCACTGAAAATAATCCCCCTTCTCAGTTTGTTTGGTAAGCTTAAAAATTGCAACATAGATGTTTGGCAGATTTGGATATCTCTTAAGAAAGGCCACGATATTGTTCCCTATGGACCACAGTGGAACTACTGTTGCTTTGCAGCAAGAAAGTCTCAGCCTGTGTGGGTTCTCCTGTCCTCTGGTCTCAGAACAAGAATATGATTATTAGCTCAGTGATTGCTTTTAAATTGCCCTTAAGAGTGAGTCTGTGTGCATGGTTGCTTGTCTTGTACATCTCTATTCGCATCTCCAGAAGGATGACTGAGATGGGATCATGGAAGCATAGAGGGCTGGATATACATCCTGCCTGTTAAACCAAGGTTCTTGAAATGCCAGAAATCCAACAAAAGTCTTAGGAAACTAAGGTGGTTGGGTACAGGTGACAAAATCTATGTTACACAGATTTCAGATCAAGCAAATCTACCCTTCACTGCCCCTTCACCTAAATAATACTGGAAACATCTTACCTTGCATGCAGGCAGTAATAGTAAAGACTGTGACTATGTGTTAGGGGCATTCGCTGATTTAAAAAAAATGATAGGATTCTTGAGTTTTCTTATGGCAGATTGCCCGTCAGGGCTGATGATGCTGAAAACTGATGATTTCTCTGTGCTCCTTTATTTTCGGAATCAAAACCACTCAATTATCCTAACCGGTACACTCACAAAGGAGCAGATTGATGAGTGCTTATTTATTTGGTTATTTGTCCGTCATGAGACCCCATGATTTTGGTGTCTGGGAAAATTTCTCTGAAACAAAACAACAGACTGAGTGCACCATATCACAGCCTAAATAAAAGCCATACCTGTGTGCATAAACAGTCAAGCCTGTAATGCCTCTAACTGTGAGAGAGAGTTTAAACCAATACCCAATGTTGAATTCCGAAAAGTGTTTTTGAAGCAGAATGTTTCCAGATAACAAAATTGACGAAAGACAAAATTCTGAATCTATAACAACCCATATGAAGTAAATGTTAGGGTTACCAATAAGGGAATGCAAAAACAGCTGTTCTTAAAACACAACAGTATATAATAAAATCCTTGTTCTTAGTTTAGATAATGTTGCTAAATGCAAATGTAGTGCTGAATTAAATAGTTTCACAGTTATCTGGGAACATATGATTTTCAAATTCGATTAAAAATGATCCGTTTATTTCGGCATCCTTATTTTTCAGGGTTTTATAACTCCAGGATGAATTGATTCAACATTCCTTAACTGGATAAATCAAGATCTTGCAAAACATCTGACAGGCTAATGGAAAAAATTACCAAATCACTTATTTAGCTTACAAGGGGCGCATTTGTTCTTGCTAAGCTGCAGCTTTCTAAAACCGTTTTCACCAGAGCATTTGACAAATATGGGAAAAGTCCAAAACTATGTCTTTGTTACTATGGTGACAATTATTTTCCAAATACAGATGCACATTTACAAACATTCCAGCAGATATAACGAATGAGAAATAAACCACTTAAAAAACAGAATGCTGTTATTCTCAGTTACATTTTCATTGGTATTTTCATCCTTACAACATGAGGAATAGTCCTGGAATTAAGACAGCACATACGGCTTGGCTGCATTTTCTCTAGACTTTAGACAGATTAAGTGTAAAATCCTTTTGCCAGAGTTGTGCAAGTCTGATAAGGTCATCTCTATCTGGTTTGTCAGGCCATTCTGAGAATAGTTTGCTTGTCCTTGTATATTTCAGCTTTTTTATTTACGCATTAGAGCATCCAAGTGCTACAACATATGTCCTAAACTAATTGGTTGGACTATATTAACTTTAGCTTAGCCATATGTTTCTATGTTGGTCAAGCAACGGGACTGTGAGCTCCAACTCCCCATAAGCCTGATCAGAATAAAGCAGGCACAAAAAAACAGTGGGATTGAAGGTCTCTATCACTATCATCCTCAGTAGACAAATACATTGATTCCAACACTGTAAAGCTAAGTATTGCCCATCGGTGATGGATTGTAAAAACAGTTTGAATCCAAAAAGGTTATTTTATTAAAGGAGAACATGCAGCTATTGAAATACTGAACAACGTGATTGCACTAATGAAGCACTGAAATTTCAGTTCAAATATTGGCAGATATGCATGTTGTCTTTTTAAATATCATTAACAAAATTTCAGCAAAGAATAATATTCTAAAAATTTTTTTATCCTAGACTGGATTTTAATAGCCCTTTAACGTTAAGTGATATAGGTAATCTTATTTTTGTGCCTGTGTAGGATCATCCTTCAGAAGGACTATCAAGATATCCAGATCTGCGCTCCAATTCAGTCACGTGGGTCGGAGTAGATTATTGAGTTTCCACCGCCGTACTGGAGTCAAAAGAAGTGATAGATGACTGTATAGCCTATGCGCAAACAACAGAGTGTAAAATACTTCTGATTTGCTATTGAATGTTAATTTTTTTCTATTCTGCAGATTTTTTTATTTAAATTTGTATGAGAAGCAGATACATTCAAAAAAACATCTAAAACTGATAAAGTCAGGTTCAAACACCCGTGAAATGTTTGTGCTCTGTGTTGGCTAAAATATGGCATTGTGGACTGAACTTGAGTATATTGCTAGATATGCATGTATTCTGGGTTTAAACTCAGCTTACTTTAGAGTTTGAGCAGGATTAATGGGAACAGGAACTATATAGATGGCAGTGGCTGGGCTGGGGGTTGGGTTGGATGTTGTACCTGGGGTAGGGGGTCATCAGAGGGTGGAGAACACATTGGGGTCAATAGGGGAGCTGGCTCCCTGGAAGAACCCTGTTCTCATATTCTTTGCTCCCCATCTCAGATGCTTCCCCCTCACCTGCTCTGTCACACTGCCAGACACATAGGATCTTGGGGGAAAACATCAGCGTGAACTGTGCCTGCATTTGGGTGAAGGGACGCTCGGGGGTGTCTGGCGCTTGGGCTGGGATGCCGTACTTGTCCTGGGGAGGTGGACTGCCTGTGTTGAGATTTCCTGGCAGCCATTGGTATTAGAGGATAGAACAGATGTAGGAGCCTGGAATGGCTTTGATTGGCTGTTGTGGGGGTGGGCTCTTTGGGGTTGGCTACATACTCTGGCGTCTATGGGGGTGGGTGTGCCACTTATGGAGGGATTCCATGGAGGGGCTCTGGCCTGCAAATCAGGAGATTTTTGTTGTAGTTCGATACTTAAAATTAAAAAAAAATTATTCACTAGATCAGTTATACGCATTAGGTTTAAAAAACCAAACCTTGTATGTCCTTTAGACGAGGATCCAATCAAAGAATTATTGGTGTTATTTCACAGAGAATTCAATATTTATTGGGAAAGGATTATTAGACAACTCAGTTGATAGGATATGAGATGTATTTGGTTTGTATGAGAATGCACAAGTACAAATATAAATTTAGAAACAGACTCCTTCTCTTGTCGTGTTGTCAAACACCTTGGGCTTATGGCATAGGAGCTGGTGGGGGTGTCTGGGGAAAGAGAGAATCTTGGTGTCTCTACTAAGACAGCTGTCCCTGCAACC